AGCTCAACAAGCTCGACGCTAATCACCTCTTGATCAACTATCGATCGAAAACAGGCGCCCATTTGACCTGGACCCAAATTAAACACAACATTGACACATACGAATATACCTCAATCAAGCTGTTTGATACTGATGTTACCGGCTTCTATCACATGGTAATCAGAGAAAACAAATCCACGAATAATATTATCCGCGTAATCAAGCGAATCTACAAAGACCACCGCAACTCGTTGTCGCATCTCGCTGAAATTGAAAAGACAATGCACAACGACTACAACAACGGCACCCTTAAATTCCCGTTTGTCGAAGTTAATGGCTCCACCCTAAAGTTCTCCGATTACGATCCAAAACAAGTTATCGACCTCAACGACCTTAGTGAGGTCGAAGAAGCCTCGGAAAACGATAATATTTTGTTACATAATTTTATTACCGGGAGCTAGCTACATGGCTGTTGCAATAGCATTAACAGGTGTCCTATTGCATCTCATCTTGCTCTAGAACGACTCAAATGCATGTGCCTTAAACGAACAATCATTTATGGTTCTTTCTGGCTCCAATTCGTCCCAATTCGCCTGATTCTTTTCATTCATGTCTGTAATTATATAAAGGTTTATATACGCTTACTACATATAGTGCTGGCTATTCCTACGCTGTATATTAGACGACTTCGTATTGTATCCACATTCAGGGGAACTAGGCACAGAGACGACTCAGAAAAAAAAATATTGCGTGAGGCTTATAAACAAAAATAGAAAACACGAATACACGATAATTTTATTGACAAAATAGCGAAGGCTGATAATCAAGAGTAATTTAAGGCGAAATCTAGACTTGGAAGATAAATTGACATAAGGTAAAGACACTCATTTAATAATTTAAACATTTATTACCGTTCGATTGCTCTAGAGATATTTCAGACCCGATTATACTAGGTCTGAGAAGGTCAATAATATAAGAAAAAGATAAGATTACCGTTGCACACATTCACTCCTTTATTATCCAACTCAACGTGTAAAACATTCTAATTAACTTCAGTCACTCATTAATATGTCACATACACCCACACAAACACCCAACAGAACGGGTCGAACTAACAAGAAGTTGCCTATGATTGTGGATATTGCGCTAGATGATGAAGGACAGCAACTCTACCAGGTGCACGAGTCGTCAAGACATGTACGGAAAGAGATGCCCATTTCGACCAATTTTTCCTGCAATGAGGCAGAGAAGACACCGATACGCAAGATACTCGGAATCGTGTCGCCCAGTACGCTCAACCAGAAGAGGGTGAAGGACGAGAACGAGGACGAGGAGAGTGGGTTGGGAAGCTTTGCACAGCCGGAATCTGCCACCAAAAGAACGGGCGACTTGAACATCTTCACGGGTAATGTCGAGGATAACTATGAGTTTCAAAATGAGACAGACAGAGCTTCTACCACAGATATTTGGTCGGACGATGTCGAAATGGCGTTTGAGGATATTTTGGCCATTATTCCCAAAAAGAGCTCCAACAAGATTAAAATCAGTGGTCGGTCCTGTGGTAGAAATGAATTAATTTCGGATTATATTTTGAATAAAACTGGCAAATTTAGAAGTAGAAAACAAGTCTCCAGTCACATACAAGTGATTAAAAACTTGGCCCAAAAGCCCGATATTATTAAATTGATAAATGAGGGCCCAAGCTTTGAGACTGAGCAGGAGAAGGAACAAAACGAGAAGACATTCGAAGAGATTTTTTCCAAGATCAACTTAGATAAGTCGTTAGGTATGAATGACGTGAAGAAGCGTAAAGAGTCAACCAGCTCTTCTACCCAACCCGCTAAAAAACCGAGAACTAACCAAATTATTAAGGTTGAAAACTTTTATATGCTTATTAACGATGTTGCCGGTGGGAATCCAATCATCTTAACGTTTCAAAATTCCAATGAATTGAAAAGCTTGAAGATAAGAGAAAACGCTAAAATATCGAATAGATTTCCAGGCTTAAACGAATTCCAGAACACTGATATTCCTATTCTTCACAATATGGTTAAAATATACTTGCCCCATTTTCCCAAGAATTACACTATGGACGGCCTTCAAACCAATTACTTCCTTCTGGATTCCTATCAATCGGATTATTCAATCTTCACTTGTATATATTCGTTTGGTAATGAGGTGTTGAAGTTCAACGATATAAACATCAAAGCTAACGAAAACCAACCATTTTTGCCAAAATTTTGGAAGTTTTTTATTTCCAAGTTGATCAATAACCCCAACCCGATGGAAGCTAATATGGCATTCAAGGGAATAACCATTAAGCAAATCATTTATGAATCGAGTGGTGATTCAAATTTGGTTTTAAAACTGAAAATTAAATCGGTATCGTTATGGGAATTCGCCAAAGTGGACCAATTCAAGGATGCTACTACTTCGGTAACTAAATTGATATTACCCACGCAAGCAATTGCTGATATTCAACCGCTGGCCGTTGATTATCATCCCGCATCATTGGACAGTACTACCACTACATCTACGGCTACGATGCCTCCCACTGTATCAAGCATATTGGACGACCATGCTTTTGAGACAAAACCACAACTATCCGTCCAGCAGAAGTTTGAAACCTTGCAGCACCATCAAGATCAGCAGCAAAGTCAACCCTTTCAAAATATGCTTCATCCTTCGGTAAACACAAACCTCATGACTGTATCGAAGGATAACCAGTCAAATCAATTCGGAGGGGCTCTCTTCTCCGAAAATGAATTTATGAACATTAATTTGGATGAATCCCAATTTAACTAACTTTTCAATCTATACGTAGTATCTTTATGTATTTGCTTCTATATCTATGTATGTATTTTTATGATAAAACTATACTATATATATATGTAACACAAAATTGAGTGATTTTTTCAATGACTCGGGTTAATTAGCGATTATCTGAGAGATGGATTAAATATTGCTTAGATCGTTTTTTCTAAGTAATACTAGAATCAAGTATAAAGTAAACTCTATAACAACCGAATATGGACGGAAAGACTATAGGTATTTTAGGTGGTGGCCAATTAGGTCGTATGATTGTTGAAGCAGCACATAGATTGAATATTAAAACCATTATCTTAGATGCGCCTAACTCACCAGCGAAGCAGATTAATGCATTGGATGAACATGTTAACGGTTCATTTTCAGACGCAAAGTCGATTATGGAATTAGCCAGGAAATGTGATATTTTAACAGTAGAAATAGAACATGTTGATGCCCACGCATTACAAGAGGCTAAGAATAAATATGGTATTGAAATCTACCCATTGCCTGAGACCATCAAGATGATTCAAGATAAATATTCGCAAAAAGAACATTTGATTGAACACGGAATTGAAGTTACTGAATCTATTGATGTTAAGGAAAATAATATCGAAACGTTATCGGAAATCGGTAACAAGTTCCAATACCCATTCATGTTGAAGTCAAGAACTTTAGCATATGACGGTAGAGGAAACTACGTAGTCAAGAGTAAGGACCACTTGTCAGAAGCATTAGAATTTTTAAAGGATAGACCATTGTATGCGGAAAAATGGTGCAAGTTTTCTAAGGAATTAGCTGTCATGGTCGTAAGATCTATTGAAGGGGAAGTTTTCGCATACCCTACTGTGGAAACAGTCCATAAGAATAACATTTGCCATGTTGTCTATGCACCAGCTAGAATCAATGATACCTTATCTGTCAAGGCATCGATTTTGGCTAAAAATGCCGTCAAATCATTCCCTGGATGTGGTATTTTCGGGGTCGAGATGTTCTTATTGTCAAATGGTGAATTATTGATTAATGAAATCGCACCAAGACCCCATAACTCTGGTCATTATACTATCGATGCTTGTGTCACATCACAATTTGAAGCTCATGTTAGAGCTGTCGTTGGATTGCCAATGCCTAAGGACTTTACCAAGTTCTCCACCACTAACACTAACGCGATTATGTTGAATGTGTTAGGTGACGATACTGCTAATAAGGAATTAGAGATCTGTCGTAGAGCATTAGAAACTCCAAATGCCTCAGTCTACCTTTATGGCAAAGGTACTAGACCACAGAGAAAAATGGGTCATATTAACATTGTTTCATCATCCATGAAAGACTGTGAGAACAGATTAGCACACATCATAGGTGACGAAGAAGGAGTAGCCAAAGACCTTGATGTTTCTGCAGAAAAGCCATTAGTCGGAATAATAATGGGTTCTGATTCCGATTTACCAGTCATGTCAGTCGGTGCAAATATCTTGAAGACTTTCGGGGTACCATTTGAAGTGACTATTGTAAGTGCACACCGTACTCCCCACAGAATGACCCAATATGCTATCGAGGCAGCCAAGCGTGGTATCAAGTGTATTATTGCCGGTGCCGGTGGTGCTGCTCACTTGCCAGGAATGGTTGCAGCCATGACCCCATTGCCAGTTATTGGTGTTCCAGTCAAGGGATCTACCTTGGACGGGGTCGATTCGTTACACTCGATTGTTCAAATGCCAAGGGGTATTCCAGTCGCTACCGTAGCCATCAACAACAGTACCAACGCCGCATTATTGGCCGTCAGAATCTTGGGTGCCATCGATAACAAGTGGTTAAACAAGATGTCGCAATACATGGACTCCATGGAGAGTGAAGTTTTGACGAAGGCTGAAAAGTTGGAGTCAGTAGGCTACGAAAATTACAAGGCGTAATGCCTCTATATATGAATAAACGTGTGCTATATCGATTTCGTGTAATGAAGTACTTTATCTTATAATAATAAACTATAACTTGAGAATTAAAATGCCAATGCCATAACTACTATACAAAATTACGACCCATGGTCAACCAGGTGTCTGTGCCTCGGCTCTGCACCTTCACCTTATCCATTTCATGTTCTCGCACCGTCTCCCGTGCTTCTATTTTTGACCTCTCCATCGCTATCGGCCTTCCTCTTCTATCTTATCTGACTGCAGCTACCTCTGTCGTCTACAATCCCTCGTCTGTCTGTATCAAACCTAAAACTTCATGTTCTTCTTCTTCTGGAGCTTCTTCTGCTTGTACTGCTGCTTTCTCGAGTCCCTCCACCCCGAAGTGCTTACCTTCTTCTTCTTTTCACCGTCAACTGCCATCTTCTCATCTTCTTCGACTCCTTCTTCCGCTTTAGCAGCCTGCTTCATCTCCTCCTGTCTCTTGGTCTCCTTTTCCATCTTCTCAGACAATCTCTTGTTTCTAGCATCGACTATTCCCTCGAACTCGCCCTTACGCTTCAACGACTTAGCCCTCAACTTAGGTTTGGATCTTAATGATTTAGCCATTCTAATATAATTACTTTATAACTGTTTTCCACAAATTAAATCGTCAATTATACGAATAACCTCCAAAATAAACGTATAAATACTCTATATCTCTAATTAGTACCTTATCTTGATCTCATCGCGTACTGAAAAATTTACTCGGATATTAGGGCTCTCTCATAACCCCGTGATTTGTATTAGGTCTATAATCTGTGACTGCTTTATTCGTTGCCATACTGTATATAAGTCGAAAAAGTTGGTCGTGTGATTTGTCCAAATTCTTTGTTAGCGAAAAAAAATTTCAGGCTCTTCTAACCCTCACTGTGGGCTCAGGAGACTAGTGGTTCCCTTTCCTGTTACAAAAATTTTAACGTTGTTGAAGAGGATTTTTCCTAGTATAACGTTTGATTAACTATATCACACATTAATTAAAATGTAAGTGGAGTATTCAAGATATGATTGTAGAGTTTAATTCAGAAGCACGGATGATAATGGACTAGAAGATAGAGCAAAAGTGGGACATAAATAGAAATCAAAGAGGTTCAGCAAAATTTTTAGAGAAGAGAAATAAGGAATAGGGTGGGAATTCACAGGAAGTAGAGCAGTGGGAATGCTTGGTAGAGAAGAAGCATCGTGGTGTGAATAAGACAGCAATCATATAATATTCAAAACGATATACTAACATATATAGGGCTAATCTTAGAACTCAAAAGAGACTTGCAGCTAGTGTTGTTGGTGTTGGTAAGAGAAAGATCTGGTTAGATCCTAACGAAGCCACTGAAATCTCCAATGCCAACTCTCGTCAAGCTATCAGAAAGTTATACAGAAACGGTACCATTGTCAAGAAGCCAGTTGTTGTCCACTCTAGAGCCAGAGCAAGAGCTTTGTTAGAATCCAAGAGAGCCGGTAGACACATGGGTTACGGTAAGAGAAAGGGTACCAAGGACGCTCGTATGTCCGCTCAAGTTTTGTGGATGAGAAGATTGAGAGTCTTAAGAAGATTATTGGCTAAGTACAGAGACGCCGGTAAGATTGACAAGCACTTGTACCACACCTTATATAAATCTGCCAAGGGTAACTCTTTCAAGCACAAGAGATCTTTAGTCGAACACATCATTCAAGCCAAGGCCGAAGCTTTACGTGAAAAATCATTGAAGGACGAAGCTGAAGCTAGAAGATCTAGAAACAGAGCTGCTCGTGAAAGAAGACAACAAAGAGTCAACGAAAAGAGAGAAGCTTTATTAAATTAAGCTTGACATACTGATCACTAATTTAATCTAAGTATTTCTATAAAATTCTCTTTGTTTATTATATATTATAATAGTAACACACTTTCTGTATTTAATTATATGTATGATACGATTTAGCAATCGAATGTAGGATCTAGCGGATTAATAGGATTAACTCCTCGTTGTGGTAACAGATGCGATGAGGAAGAATTTTTATCTGTGGCTCTGCTCTCTATAACATTAGCTTGTTTCTAACAGCATTGTGTACACCTACTGCAATTGATCGTAATGCTTAGATTTGGTGTATGGAATGTTTCGTATGAATCAAGAATCTATAAGTGCTAGATCTACATGGAAAGTTATTATTATATTAATGCATATATTCGCAAGATTATTACAATCTATGACCGGGAACTAAGCTAAATAGTACTGTAAACACAGCTGTAAACAACAAAATTAGTGCTGTTACCCACAAGCTTCTTTTGATTAATAGTCTATGTATGAATTTTTCTTTGATCTTAATCAAGTAGTTTTCGTTTGTAAATGATTCACTATAGCCAAACCACACCAATATTGGATCTATGAAGTAAATCGATGATATTAAGCAGTATGCAGATATTATGAATGGTATGATGATATAGAGCCTTTTCCCTTTGCTGTAGTTCAAGAATACAAAAATGTAGCTCATCCAGAACCCAATAAATAAGAAGAAGAATCCCAATATGGTTCTTCCGTAGGAAACAAAGAAGTTATTACTAGTACGGTTAATGTTCTTTATCGCCACTAGATCCAAAAAGTTTGGCAAGTAGTAGTTTTCTAATCTATTGAAGACGTAAATTTTCACGTTATTGAATGCATCTGGATCGTCTCTTCCTTCCACTTCTATGGCTCTTACAATTTCATTCTTAAGGCTTCCTGGTAAATTCAAATCTTTCTCCGAATCCTCTACGAAGTATTTTAACAATAAATTCTTGGATGATTCTTTCAAGTTATCTCTTGTGATGAACGAACTTCTTTCTGACATATTTGGTGAGTTTTTGATGAGCTTTTCGATCGTGCTAGGGTTCACTGACGAAATTCTTTTAGGTGGTGGTTGTTCTAGCGGCATGTATTTAGGCTGGGAAAATACTTGCGACTTGTCAGCATCTGTAATGTTTAACTGGTTCGAAACGTACGAATCGTCTTCTAACAACCTCGAATTCGACGATACTCTCTTGCCATTGGTATTGTTATATACGGGACTGTGTATGGAAGTAGTAGAATCATTACCCGTGTATCCTGCGTAGCCCGTGTGCCCTGTTTGTTCTGTTTGTCTCACGTTGTTGGCGACCGTTTGTTCATCATAGATACTAATTAACTCGGATAGCCTTGGATTTACCTCTAAGTCGCCTCGCAAGAACTGTGATAACCTCTTAGAATCGTTGTCCTGCAAAAAATTATCATTCAATATGAGATCTAGTAAAATGGAAGATGAAACCGACTTCGCCTTGGACCTGTCCAGTATAGGCATAGAATGACGATTCTCGTTATATGACTGTCTGACTATGCTTTCTCTCAACCCCCGAATATAATGCTTACACAAATTCAAGTGATTCACCAAATCAAACCAGAAGTCTAGATAATCTGAATTGTGGTCCGTTACTTTCATATAATCGTAAAAGTTATGCAAACTTACTGGCGGTTTCGTCTTATTTGCCAATATTTCCCCTAGTGTTGGAAGCCGGTTTCGTTGAACCGACTGGTTCGTCATATTCAAGTTATCGATATTTGAGAGCTTGTGTGAGTTCGGAAAGTCCGTCTGATACTTTTCGTCCATTATGCTCTTCGGTAGGTATGGTATAGCTATGTACTAATCATAAAAACTTGGAAGCCTTTTCATACAATGATCTACTAATACACAAAATTTTGGAAAGGTAAACAAATGCTTATTATGTAAGCATTTGGAATATCGGTCTAAAACTCTCCTACAATTGTTAGACGAAGTGGATCGTCCCCGGTACACGGGGCCACCTACTAGGCGTTGTTTGAGTGTGTATATCGGACTGCTCTAATGGTTGGTACATTATAAATATCCTTTGAAGTAACTGATTCACACAAAGCTGTTTTTAGTGTACCATTAATGTAGCACGACTGAGTGTAGCATGTACTACTGAGTAATACTGAGTTCTCGTAAGTAATCGTACGTATACCTGAAGAGAGAATACTTAGTAAGTTGTCAATCTATAAGTCAGGGTAGAGTTAGAATAGTAGAATACCAAAGTGTTGGTCATAAAAATTACCCAATTTAGGCCCAGTTCCTTACAATTGGTATTATCAGTGATTCAACACAAATTCGACGGCTATTAGACTCCATTCAATCTAGAAAAAATTGTGCACTAAAAATTTATTCTCGTGTTAATATGGAACAGGTCGGTCTTCTATTTGTGAGATATGGCATTGACTAGTTAACGACTTCTAAATAGGGCATTCTTGTTTTTCCAGAGATTTATCTTGCGAAATAGAGGATTTCTACAATATACTTGTCTTGTAGCTCTAAATATAACTAGATGCAAATCAATTCCGATTGATTCCAATATTTTTATGTATTAATCAATATGCTTAAATTAAATTCAAACTAAAAAAATATGATTTGACTAGATGTATTTCGAATTCTAATTTTCATGGAATTTTGCAAACTTCGCTCAACTACAGCATCATTACAAAATTGTGGCTCTTACTATCAAATCCTCCAAAATATATGCTTCCCAGTCAATATTTACCCAATTTGCATACACGAAATAATATCTCAATCGAAGCATCCCTACATTAATACAATCCTCTACATACTCGAGCTCTTCTTTTGTTCCCCACCTACAGCTGGGACAAGTCCAATTTCGATTGCCCCTAAGTGAAAGCAACAGAGGCTTTATTCAATTGTGAACATCCGAATCCGGTACACCCCCCCTTGACTTTCTCCGATTTATTCAGACAATAGTCAGATGTGCTATCTGAAAATCGCCATATAATAGATTGCAGACCAATGCAACGAGGTTACTTTTGGACTTAAATATGGGTGTATTTATGTCGGAATTAGTCGGACATCCATACATCGAATTTTCTCACCAACCATTTTCACCCAGAGGTAATACAAGATCATCACTAATGGTCACAATTGAAGGTGCTAAGGTATGCCCAAGGTGCCAGACCATGTGCAGAGCATGTAGCCGCGTTGTAATCAATATGTGGAGGTGAAATTAGGGAAATGGAACCGAAATACCGAAAAATGATAATTCTAGTTGCAGAAATGCCGTACCAAAAATTGAGATTAGTTTCTTTAATTTCATTGGCTAATAATGACTGAAATACAATTTATTGCAAATGGAGAATATATACGATAAAGTTGAAGTCTATAGGTAGAGAGAAGTGTTATAAAGAAGGATAAGTGACTGTTTAGAAGTATATTGTCATCTTGGAAAAAATAGTCTGCGACGTTATATTAAAATATAGGATATATCGATGATATGTTGTCTCTTGGAATATTAAACGACTCCCCCACCAAATTCAACAAGGATATCTTGAACATTAAGCTCAATGTGTTCAAGTTTTTGAATACAATCTTCTACAGCAAGGATAAGCTTTTCCCACCCTTAAGTAGGAGCAGCTTTCCAGGGTTGGTCAGTAGAGGGGCCGTGGCATGTGCGGCCGACGATTTGGAACTTTTCAGCACCAATACGTTTGATTTCAGCTATGAGTTAGGAGCCGCAAACTACAATTCCAACGCTTGTTTGGATAATAACTTACTGGCATTCAGATACGGGGCCGGAGAAGAAAAGCAGAAACCTGAAAGGTATCCTTCTTTAGAAGAGCCGTACGAATTTTACTCTTCGAGTGAAGGGTTCGTAAGTCCAGAGGAAGATGATTCGTGGAAAAGCGGTTTCAAAAAGAGAAAGTACGAAGAAGATGTTTCTGCAACGTCTAATACGTCTTCGGAAGCTGCTACCAGTATCAAGTATCAATACGATATGGATCCGTTGTCATACAATAATCTGTCGCTCTACGATGTTGATCGCTTATTTAACGACTTAATCCAGGATTTACCTAAATCACAGCCGTACCACCACGGCCAATCTTCCCACGAGTTAATGTCTTCAATTTCGCAACCTCCAAATCACACTTTGCATTCGATTTCAGACTACGTTACTGAACAAACTGGTTCACATACAGAGAAAAAGCTTCAATCTCAACCTAAATCTAATGAAGAAATTAAGAATAATAAAGACAATGATTTATTGAAGTATAAATGTCCGCATTGCGAGGCCAAATTCAAAGTCAAGGGATATTTAACCCGGCATGTTAAGAAGCACAACTCATTGAAGGCATTCAAATGTCCGTTCTATAAAGATCCTGGTAACGAAGCTACCGGCACAAAATGTCACCCTACGGGTGGCTTCTCTAGAAGGGATACTTACAAGACACATTTAAAAGCTTTACATTTTATCTATCCTCCCGGAACCAAATCAAGCGAACGAAGTTCGGTCAGTGGTCGCTGTGCTGAATGTTTCCAGTATTTTGAAAATAACATGAAATGGTTAGAAACCCATATCGAAAGCGGCGACGGCTGCCAGGGGTCAGTTAATTGTGAATTGAAAGAAGAGTTTTAAATGCATCGCATCTACAGATCGGACAGTTTCATAGAATCAGTACCTTGAAGTACTTTAGAACTAATACGAAAACAAACTAATTGCTTCCGTACCGGCTTATCGGGTAGGAAGCTTACACACACCACGCTAGACTTCATTTGTGATTGCATCTATGTTAGATGTCAGTCAATTATCATACACTATTGAATGCTACTTTGCACTAATTGGCAAATATCTGATGCATTTCTTCTATTGACAGGCTCATAGTAGACTTTCAATTCATCCGTCAATGGATAGGGGCCTTAAGCCACTATCTCATTTTCATCTTCATTTCTAATTAATCATTTTGCGATAAGATATTCTCTCATAGCAGAATTGCTAAAACATGCATTTAATTTCCTCGTATAATATATAGTGAAACTTTTAATTAATTTCACATGGTTGTAGCTCCTTACAGATTATCTGTTGAATATACGTGAATCTAGTACTAAATGACTTCTGTTGCGTATATGATTATAGCCATAGATAAGTTAATACGCATCGAATATTTTTAGTGTTGCTTAACAACCTACGTTCTATTGTTATCTTAACTATTTCTTATCAACTTTTCGCTAGTTTTATCAATTTTCGTCTATTTTTAACAATCAATGAAAATTTTATCAAGAGAATTAATAAAATCAGCAGAATTGCACTAACAATAAGATAACTCTACATAATTTATAGATTCAAGTGATTATGACCCAAGCATATCTTATCCCTGTAGATCTATGAGCTTCATAGATGTCAAATATTGATTGCAAAATCATATATGTGTAATTATAGTCCTCGTTCAGCGTAAATTATATCACGATGAATTTTCGCCCTTCGCCGATTTTAACCAGCAGAATAGGACTAATTATACTTTCCTTGAATTACTTTACATAAGTTAATTAACTAGCTAATCATTCAAAAATGTCTTCATTAGATAAGTCATTAGACGATATTATTTCCACTTCCAGAAAATCGATTAAATCCAAGAGATTAAATCGTGGTGGTAATGGTAAAGTTGGGAAGAAAATTGGTGCATCAAACAAAAAACCAATTGTTTCTTTCAAGAAATCAACCCCAGCTGCTCCTAAGAAATCAACTGCTGTAGACGTGTCTTATGCCACTAAAGTTGTTGTTTATGGATTACCAAGAGATATTAAATTAGATGCTATTAAGGTATGTTTGAATTAATCATGAAGATTCTTTTAATTCAACTTTGATACGAGTTTTTCTTTCTATTTTGTTAATTTGTTTTTTTGTGTTTTATTTATTTATTGGTGTGTGAATGGGACTTTTAAATCGGTATAGGGTATACATTGGGAGACCAATATTTGGGTCTAAAATTGGGAATGGATTATAGAAATGGCATTTTTTTTTCTTTGCTAATTAGGCTAATGGTTAGACCGTTTAGGCCTATGGAGTGCTTTCTTTTTTTCACTATCAGTGTTGAAATACAAAGAAATAGATATTTTTAATATCACTACCTTCTAGGTAACCGTCTGGTACGGAAAATTTATTATTTATCTGATAATGGCCTCACAATTGACTAGAGTCTGCATTAAATTGACTGATTCAACGTGATATACTGTCTTATCTTAATAATACGTCGCAAAATGTTGCGTGTACTAATGCTCAAGTCATATTATCGTAATATGTTCTTGAGTAATTCCACCACCAGCAACTGTGACCAGCAACTGTGACTCTCTTCTGCAGACACTGGATACTAAGGACCGGAATTTTCTCGATCATTTCATCTCCTGTTCAGGATATTCAAAAGACATAACTACATTGCTCTTGAGACTTCTAGATCGCATTACTGGAAATTACTTTTGAAAATTGTAATGCTTGTCGTAGGGACTGGAGAAAGTATAGGGTACAATCATGTGGAACGATTATCAGATAAATAATAGATGAAATTCATTGCATGACAATAATTAATAAGACATAATCGAAAATTAACAAAATTCTTCTTATAGGAATAACATTAACTAACATAAATAGGATTTTTTCCAATCGCAGGTTGGAGGTGTTCAGAACATTGCTTTATCTTACAACGAAAAGGGTCAATTTAAGGGTATTGCTACTATAATTTTCAAATCTAGTAAGTCTGCTAGTAAGGCTGTTGAAAAGTATAATGGTGCTCCAATTGATGGTGGATCTTCTAAATTGAAATTAGAATTAATTGTTGATCCTACTAAGAAGCCATTAACCTCAAGAATTGCCCCTAACAAGGTTACTGGTCCTAAGGCCGCTGGCCCTAAGGTTGCCAACCCTAAGCTTGCTGCGGCCAAAGCTGCTGCTAAGGCTAACTTGAAGAGTAAGAAGGATAAGCCTGCTCAAGCAAAGAAGCCAGCTAAGAGATCTAAGAAGACTGTTGAACAATTAGATCAAGAAATGGCCGATTATTTCGATAACTGATCTTGTTTTCATATATAATTGATTTATATAGTATGTAATTGAATTGTAAAATTATTATTGTACCGTTATATTGAAGAATGCATTTGAAAACTTCGGCAAACACTTGCATTGTTTACGCGTTAAATAATCTAAACGAGAAAAAAGTCCAATTTAGAACGTTCATTTCCATTAAATATGAATGAAATTGACGGGCTTGGAGATTAATTAATATCGAAGAAGATAAAGTATGAGTAATATTGAATATATAATAACAGCTGAATTTCATATCGATAAAGGACCGTCCTTAATTCATCAGTTTCCTCGTGAAATCCCTGGATTGCAAACGAATTTGACGTTTCTACCAGAAATAATGATACCGGACCAAATACATAAAAGAGAGGAAGATTTTACGCTATTTTTATTGTTTAAAGACAGAGAAACAGGAGAATTTCAATATCTCTACGACAAGGCCACTTGTGACGAAGAACCTTATTATTTGTATACTATCGTCAATAGCTTGAAGCATGATTCATATGAGCGAGGTTCCAGAATAAAATCAATATCGATTATAACAAAACTTCCGTATTTTAAGAATTTCCTGCCCTTATTGACGCTATGTTTGAATAGTTATTTCGAGGAGAATGAGATAGAACACTTGCAGAATTTGTATGCAGCAATCAACGTCAAGAACTTCAGTTTAGGAAATTCATTGTCTATAATTAAAAAGCTATTGATTACTTCTATCCTAGATTTACCGATAAACGATAGGATATATAAGGATGAGTCCTTTCGAATGACAATATTGGAATTAAATAAGGTGGAAAATCTTAATTTTGACTTGTTCATTAGAAAGGATTTAAGTTTCAACTCGATCATTAACTTTAATAATATGAACATTCCTATTAAGATCCCAATGATAGATTTGCCCGATACTATAGGAGATTATTTAAACCCAACTGACCTAAGTTTTAAAGCCGATTTGATAAATCTTTTAAGCGCAAGGCTTGTTACTGATTTACACAACAGTGAATTGACAATCTATGGACAGCAAACTCCACCAATTATAATATTAATTAATGCAATTTTGGTAGGGAAAAAGATTGTTTTCTTAAGTTATGATAAGCCGGCTGGGTATATTATTGACAACATCTTATTAATGTTGAAAATAATTACTGGTGGAGGAATTCTAAGCGGATTATTGACCAACTACAATGTTTTCCCGATTCTTGATGTTTCGAAGATTGATTACCTTGAAAAATGTGATTCATATATTGCGGGTACAATTAATCCATTTTTCAAGAACAATGACAAAATATGGGATTTATTGTATGACCTAGACTCAAATGAATTATTCTTATCTTCTAATTCTTCGAAGCCTGTAAGCTCTGAACAGAACATGTTTAAAAATTCTATCATTTCGGAGGATGCAAAGTTTTTGTCTACGTTACAATTGTCGCTTTTTAACTACAACGACGACTTGACTACAGTTCAAATGATATTCAGAAGGCACATTAACGAAATTGTCCGTATACTATTAAGTCTGAAAAATTTCAATAGCGACTTGCTACCCCGGAATGAGCAGTTTACGTTATTGCTTGATGGAATCGGATATTTCTGGAATAGTGATTCCAACAAGCTACTTGAAATGTCGTGCTATCAATCGATCTCCAAGAAGTTTCAGAGCCAATTGTACAGTGGTAAAATAAAGTACAATCTATTGTTGCCCAATTTGGCAAATGAGATGAATGTTATGATCGATTTGCAGTACCATTTGCAAAGCTTGAATAGCTCGTCTAATAAGCTCAATGATTGGGATATATGGTACAACGTGTTGAAGTACTTGATAAGCGGCAAGACTCTTGAGGTGTTCTTGCTAGCCACGTATTTGATTCCTCCTAATTCGTCTGCCACTTTGCAGACTAGTTCTGCCCATGGCAACCCTACGGTGTTCGAAAAGAACAAGGGCATTGAGCTCCTCTTGCTCAACCTTTTCAACCACGATGACAAGATCAAATCCATCGTCATTATGATTCTACAGGAACTCCAAGAAAACTTTCTCTGCGGGTGGTGTTTCGAAAATTTTGTCAAGTCAAACATGATGTACGAAATGGCCTTCAAAGATTTATTAGCTATTCATCAATGATCTATATACACTGCTATTTATTGCCTAATTCCATATTAATACCGTATTTGCAATTTTTCCATTTCACCAGCTGTAATCTCTTATCTCTACACCTCTCCTCTTTATCTACTAAACTCCCTAGTCCTTGCCGAAGTATGCCATGATCGAGAGCCTGTCTCCAGGCTTTCTGCTCGAGTACGAAGATCCTGCTCCAACATACTTCGATTCCCTTTTGTATTTAGTTTCACCATCATTCATGGGAACCCCTGGTCTCAACGTTCTGTTTTCAAACTCCCGTTGTTCCGAATCTACAAGCGCATCACTATCGCTTTTATGTCTGATATCCTTTCTCATTGAAATGTGTTTCTTCCCAGCCACAGCAAGTGTGACGGCAATAGCGCCGAATATCCCTAACTTGGTAAACAATCCTTTTTGCGTTTCCATCTTACAATAACCTTATCTAACTGGACCTGATCCAAACTCCAGGGTAGTCCAATCGCTATGAATGAAATATTTATATAATAAGCTGATTCGTAGACTTCCTAATACAGTAATAATACGAATTTCCGGCAATATTTTCTAGACTTCCAAAGGTAGTAATAAGTGATATTTGGTCATACATAACAAATTTAAGATCGCTCGTATATCCCCACGAATTACATGTGACTGGAATCAAATAACCACGGTCTATCAGAAATCAACATTTAAACGTATATATATACGATTTAAGAGACTACGCGTTGAAGAATTGACTAGAAGGTCAGAGAAGAGAGTAACAGAGACTAATAAAGAACAAAATGGCCGAAATTGAAGAACTTGCCCATGCTATTGCCGGTGCTGGTGGAGGTGCGTTATCTATGATAGTAACGTACCCATTGGTGACATTATCAACATTAGCTCAAACCACACAAAAAAAAAAGGAGGAAAAGAAAGTGGAAGAGAAGGATATCGAGGCTAAGGAATACCACTACCGAATTGTAAATAAGATAGTTACGTCGTCGTCGTATCAAGCAGCTCGGGAGATCATTAGGAAAAATGGGGTTTTAGGGCTCTACTCTGGGTTGGAGAGTGCATTATATGGCATCACTTTGACTAATTTTATCTACTACTACTTCTACGAGTTGACGTCGAACGTGTTTTTGAAGGCCAATGTAGGCAAGAGACGGGGAGGAGGGTTGTCGACGGTGCAGTCGATTATCACGGGAGCCATTGCTGGGGCAGTAACTTGTGTTGGGTCGAATCCGTTCTGGGTGGCTAACACCAGAATGATGACCGATAAGAACAGGGGATCGGAAGGGGAGAAGGAGTCCAACGGATCCACGTTCAAGGCGATTGTCAATATCATTGAGAACGATGGAGTGGGTACTTTGTTCGCAGGTGTGTTACCAGCGTTGGTGTTGGTGATCAACCCGATCATCCAGTACACCATTTTTGAGCAAATCAAGAACATCATCATTGCCAAGAACGGTAAGAAATCGTTTACTGCGGTTAATGCCTTTTTCATAGGTGCCTTCGGTAAGCTCATTGCTACGTCTTTAACGTATCCGTACATTACGTTGAAGTCGAGAATGCATGTCAAAAAGAAGAAGTTATCGAAGCAGGTTTCTGACGATGAAGAGATAAAGTTGTCGATGATCCAGGAGATCAAGAAGATTATTAAGGAAGAAGGTATCGAAGGCTTATATGGGGGTTTGACTGTCAAATTGATTCAATCGATCAGTACAGCCGCGTTTTTATTCTATTTTAAGGAGGAATTATTAAGCGGTTCCGTCAAATTGGTTCAAATCTTCAAGTTGATGAAAATGAAGAAGAATGCTGTTAAATAGAGTATATGTACTATGTATTTGGTTAAATACTTCAATATATTATTAGGCCATTAACTTGACGTCAATTACCGAGAACCCGAAAAATTTGGTGATACTGCAACATATGCGCAGTATCTGGATTTATGCTTCATTTTTCTGCCCAATAAACTGAATCTTTTTCTAAGTAAAGTTTGGGTAAAGTATTTGATGTCTGACAGCATAGTAACAACAACTGATCAAGATACTTCTACGCCGAGGCGGTCAGTTGCCAGAAGGGCTTGTTTATCGTGTCGAGAAAAGAAAATTAAGTGTGATGGTGAAGATATTAGTCGAATGAAAAATGAAAATGACAGCGATAAAAATATGCAACATAACCCAAATGTTTGTACAAATTGTAAGTTTTTAGGGATTGAATGCGTTTTTGTACGAAGCATGAGAGGAGGCAGACGAAAGAGAAAAGTCAATTCTGAGCAAGACAATGCTAAAAATATAAAGACCGAGACAAACAACGAAAATACTACGGCCAGTACCATAAAGAGCTCACATACTGGGTCAACGTACTCAGAACATGACTCACCATCACTTTCAGATATCAGGTCCAAAGACGGACCTCCTTCACCATCGTCGTTTTACTCTATGCCGCTTGGAGAGCCAGGTGTTAGGCCAGACAAGCCAAGAAGAGAGTATGTTGGAGATGGTTACGGCCAGCATTATGCCTATGATTACAGACACTATCCGCCAGCGCCACCTCATCATTTTTATCCGGCACCACCACCAGGACCTCACATGATGGGTTACCCACAACCACCACCACCGGGTGCTCCACCTTTCTTCCATCATTTAGGGCCACCACCTCCAGGGCCACCGCCGGGACCTCTACACCATACTCATTATAGCAAACCTTATTGGAATGATCACTCGACAATTACTGCTCCTATGATGGGCCATTCACACCCTCATCCACATCCACATTCACATTCACATCCACATAGACATCCGCATAGACATTCAAATAAGCATCATAAGAAACATCATCACTGGCACGAATATTCAACACCCCCTCATATGATGGGCCACCCACGTCCACCGTGCAAGAAACGACACTGGAGTGATTACTCGACACCATCTCAACTGATGGGGCAACATTATCCACGATCTCCATCACATCATGAACACGATGGAAATAAGATGAAACCCGAGTCTTCTATAGGCTCTAGTTCGCCAATAACTACAGGTTCATCTGGTCTTTCGAAACCAGACTCGGATTCATCATCAAGATCAGTATTTTCAAATAGTGGACCACTTTATCAATGTGCGTCCAAAGAGGAATCTGAAAGCCGTCACCCTCCATTCATTATCCCTCGTCTAGAAGGAGCACTGGCTTCGGGATATTCACTGTCATATAATTCTAATGATACCAAGAATGACACCAGCTTATCAGTTGTATCAAGAAGTACCTACGGGGCGTCCGAAAAAATATATTCGCCCCATCAAAGAAGCATACATGGTGATGAAGAAGATTATGAAGAACCATTTTCAAGTTATGAGTTAATGAAATATGAGTTACCAAATTGGTCCTCCTTAAACAAATTGCTTGATGATTATTATAAATATAATCATTCCAAACATCAATTGCTATCCGGCAAGCATGAATTGATCAAGAGGATATCATTAAATTCAGATAGCTCGATTCTACATGCAATAATTTCAACTGTTTGTCTATTTGATGACAGATTTGAATGTGAAACATATTGGGTTGAAAGAGTCTTCAAGTATTGGGATAACTTAAATGATTTTGGGATGTTATTATCATACAGCTTAATATCTAGGAATTCTCTAGTGCAATCTGATTTTAATAGGCTAAACGACTTGAATTCCAAGATATGGGACCTTATAAGAACCAATAAATTCATAGACATAGTCAATGAACCGAAAGAAAATCTTAATTCAAGGCAAAGATACGAAAAAGAAAGATTAATAAGAATAATATGGAACTATTGGATTAACCACGTTGTTCTTGTTCAATTCAAACAAGGGTTCCCACGTTATCACTTATCCAAAGAACAAGAAAATGTCAAATTGAATGATGAAGTACATAAATACATGTCTAATTTAGCATTACCATTAAGTGATGAAGAAAATCTAGGAATGCAAGGTAAAAGACATTACTGCGAGGAATTGAACACTATTGATTTGTCTAAGGATGATTTAGCGGACTCACATTCTGTAATATTAGCAACTAGGAGATTAGAAACTACAATTAAGAGAATAAGTCTGAATGAATTAAAAGAGGAATCAGGATTCAGCAACGAATTGAATAATTATATTAATGATAAGGTTTTAACAATAAATCAAAATAATACGGTGTTAATTATTAACTCATCATATCTATTGGCGAGCTTTATAACAAAAACTAACGATTGTTTACATAGTTCGTTTTTCATCAGTGATATAATATTTTCTGGGATATCTAACCATCATCCTGAAGCTAATAGGTTCATTCCGTTGGCAGATGACTTTTCAGTAAGAAACATATTCAATTTTGATGGTTTATCTAAGATGATTGAAGACTGGTCAACATTTCAATGGAATTGTTTGACTAATCTTATTATTTCAATATCAGATATATTGAAATTGATTGAAATTGGTGATGGTGTTTTACCAAACGAGGACTCTAAATATTTGGTTATTATAGGAGTTACCGCGACCGGTAGAACTGATAGTCGCCCCTGGTGGGATAATTCTGAGTTGGCAACTGATCTGAATGACTCGTGGTACAAATATCCAGAGTTTGCTCTTTATTCAGCGTGTTCGTTAGTTTCCATGCTCGTCAGCTTAATAATATTAACAAAATTTGTTAAATTCAAGAAAGACGACTCGAAATTAAAGATTGAATTAGTAAACACTAATGGCGAACGCCAATTAAACCTTCCTACCAACCATCAATTTGTTGATGAATTTAATGACCATAAAATGTTGGAAAAATTATCAGGCTTAATTAGTTTTATCAAGTTTAAATTGCAATCAAATAATTATAAAACAGAGCTAATTAATGAAACGATGGAAAAGTTTCATCAAATAAATCTCTACATAGAGGAAACTTTAGGTGCAATTTCGACCAAGTAAGCAATATGTGTTGCAATATTTGTTGATTCGGCGATTTTTCGCCGATTTAATTGCGATTGCTTACCCACGCGGACACATATGGAAACATAGTTTAGTATTAGAATTTTGATAATTTTATAAAGAAATAAAAATACAATAGAGAATAGATAATGATAAGTGTATTTAGACCATTCAGCCTGAATAACGGGATTAGTGATCAAATAGGCCAAGAAGTCTCGTCATTTTCACATACAATTGAAAATTTAACCAGGGATACCGAGATAAAACCGTTACATTCACATAATGATTACTGGAGGAAGCAACCATTATTTGATGCATTAAGTTATGGATGCCAAAGTGTTGAAGGCGATATATGGTACTTTCCAGAGAAATACGAGGTGGAGAGAACGGTCACTGAAACTACGAAAGATGGTAAGGAAAAAGACAAACTAACTACCAGCACGTTTGAAAATAATGAAATATACGTAGGTCATAATCAGGTTTATTTAGATCCAAGTTTAACATTATCAAAATTGTACTTTGATCCATTGTATCGCTTTCTAAAATATTCCAATCCAGAGTTCATCTATAAGGATAAGAATCCGGTGACAGAAGACTTTGATTCGAAACATGGGGTGTTCTACAATTCACCAGAAACCCCTTTATATTTCTGGTTAGATTTCAAGACTGATCCTCATGAAACTTATCAGGCTCTAAAGCCATTATTACAACCTTTCATAGACCAAGGCTTTCTTGCACACTATGACGCTGTCAATGACAAATTCGTTCCCGGGCCGTTAATAATTACTATAACTGGCAATTCACCAGTAGAGGAGATAGAAAGAGAGACCAAACGTTATGTGTTTATTGACGCTCCACTAAAATTGTTTAAGAGTGAAACCCCACATGAAGAACTTGAAAGATACTCGAAATTATCCATTATTGCTAGTGGATCTATGCAAGAATTGATAGGACAAGAGAGTTATACAAGTTCAAAGACTAGAGATTTGAATTTTAACGACGAAAAAAATTTAGAAGAATACTTTCAAACAGCTCATAAGTACAACTTAAAGACAAGAATTTGGGGTGGTGTTACATGGCCGAATTATCTTCGGAACTCTCATTTAAAAACTTTATGGAAATTGGGTTGTGATCTATTAAATGTTGATAATCTAGAGGATGCAAGTGAGGTGTTTTAAGTCTATAGAATAAATAAATAAATATATGATACTTTTAAAAGGTTCGTTTTAAAACTTCATATATGTAAAAAATCAATGCATTTGCAGGGGCAGCCTTCAATAATGTGATATTTAAGCCCTTGTAGAGATTCTTAATACCCCCTGGCCTGCTAAGAAGTAGTTTACCCATTTGCATAAAGCTGGAACCCGCGTGATCTTTATGTAAGACATCAAACGTTTGGATGTTTGATTTAATTGTATCAGCTGGGAAAGCCGATAAGTTGAATACAGCACCTGCTAACGCACCGCTTATCAAGAAATTAATGTCATTTAGTTCGTTAGTTGGACTTGCTCTACGGAAAAGCTCATTAGTGTATTCATAGGTACCAAACCAAACAGCAGTTCCACCTACTTCTCTGATCAATGTACTCGATAAGCCATGCCATAAACCACTAAATCCATCCTGCTTTATCACTTGCTTAATAATGGTGGAATATAAATTTGGTGATGACAATGATTTCTTAGTGGCTAAGTTGGTAACTTGCAATTTACATTTAACTAATTCGATAGGGGTCAATACAAATGATGCCATAAATCCAGCTACTCCCCCACTAAAACATTTGCTCCATAATGGTATCGTCTCTTGAGTATAGTTTTTACCTAAATTTGCATTATAAAGGTCAACAAACGTAGCAGTTGATAAGTTATACGAGTAAAACAATACAGCACTCTCCAAGCAAGCACCTAACAAAGGGGCATTCAAACCCTGGTAGAACCCTTTTAGAAAACCTTCGTGTTGATAAGTATATTTTATGGTGCTGAGGGCAGATAGTTGTGAAAATTGTGATGATGATTGCAATCTGACCTTGATTGTATCGAACGGAAACTCAACGATCTTACCACACATTCCAGCTATGGCACCAAAGGATATTTCTTTCCAAGGGTTTACATGATTATCCGACATACTCACGAGATATATATGCAAAAACGAAAGTATACTGAAGAAGTAGGTTACCTAGTAATTTTTCTGTCCGAGATGCCATCTGACAGACGATGACTAACCAGTACCAGGATCTACATACAAACCAAGGATGAATCGGGTGTAATTTAATAATTTACAATGTGTATTTAACCGTAAATATAGATTAAACCATTACATAAGAAGTACAAGTAATAGAAATGATTTTAATTATAGAACACTAATAACAAATATTAACCAACTTATTTCAATGGAATGAATCTGGTGGAAGCATTACCAGCTCTACCGTGTCTAACTGGAGCGTAAGTGATAGAGAATTCACCTAAGTAGTGACCAACCATTTCTGGCTTGACTTCAACGGTGTTGAAAACTTTACCGTTGTAGACACCAACAACGGAACCGATCATTTCTGGGACAACAATCATGTTTCTTAAGTGAGTCTTGACAATAGCTGGCTTTTCATTTGGTTCACAGGCTAACTTGGCAGCTCTCAATTTGGTGATTAAACCCATTGGCTTGGATCCTAAACCTCTGGAGAATCTTCTTCTGACTCTAGCACCACATAACTTGGTGAATTCTTCAGTTGGCATTTCCAACAAGTCCTTTAAGTCGACACCCTTGTATGAGAAGGTCTTGAAGACTCTCTTTCTTTTATCAGCTACATTTTGTTAGTAATATATCCTCTACTGTATTCCCTGTATCGTTTATGTCCGTTGCGTGGCCCTAATTACTTCTCACCCCAACCTCTGCTTCTCGTCAATTCATTTCCTTGTCATCATGTACTCCAACCTCTATTTAACCTATGTCTATCTTTAATTCCTTATTTTTCATTCATGGTCGTCAATTTTTCACCTGGCCCATTTTCTCGTCCATAATTCGTTCTCCTCCGGTGTTGCTTCCACTATATCATCGGCCTTATCTCTATTCTTCCACTCCCACTACGCTGGAACATAAATCGATACTTTCTCTTTCATTACATACTAGTTTCAGCCATGTTGATTGATATGTTTAACTATGTGAATCTATTTTCAATAAAACACCTCTCTTTTTAATTAGGGTATGAAAAAAAATTGCAATACAATTCCACGAACGAGCACTCAAAATGGCAATCTGCAGGACTTGAAGGTTTTTTTTTCTGGTGGCTCCGGCGGTCTTTGTATCACTTTGTCTCTCGACAAATACGGCAAGGACGCTGTGACTGCTTTTTATTTGACATCGGGGAGAGGGTCGCGCATCCATGCTGAAATATACGCCAGTATTAGGCAATACGGGACAATATTCGCTAGTTACCGGTACCAGACTTACTGAGACAAGCAAGTCGGTCAGCGGACACCACTTCCCAATTGAGGGCTTCATTAAAGAGGGGACCACCTGCAGGAATATGGACTGTGAAAATTCTTCACGTTTGGGACATAATGTGAAAAATTATGGTTGATGGTGGATTGGTTCAAGATTTCTTTACATATCAAAGGATAGTCTGCCATATTATAGCTTAAAGTGATTATTCTACATCAACAATGAAATACTTAGCTGCTTACTTATTATTAATCGAAGGTGGTAACACTTCTCCATCAGCCTCTGACGTCAGTGCTTTATTAGAAACCGTTGGTGCTGAAGTTGACCAAGGTAGAGTCAGTGCTTTATTGAAAGACTTAGAAGGTAAGCAAGTCGCCGACTTAATTGCTGAAGGTCAAACCAAGTTAGCTTCTGTTCCAACTGGTGGTGCTGCTGCTGCTTCTGGTGCTTCCGCTGCTGCTTCTGGTGATGCCGGTGCAGCTGCTGCTGAAGAAGAAAAGGAAGAAGAGAAGGAAGAATCCGATGAAGATATGGGTATGGGTTTATTCGATTAAGTTGATGGGTGAATATATTGTATTATATACTAGGATTAATTTAGTCAAGTAATAAATTGCATATATTAGAGAGATGTAGACGTACGTTGGGACTTGATGGGACTGGGCATCTAGTATTCGGTTTTATTAGGTCTTGTGTTTTCATACGATTGGAATTAATAATTAGGGTTGCGTGATGGATCTATGTAGTATATATTAGCGTATCTATTGCGAATTGATCGAATCGAGGGCTGCTTGCAACTCTTGTTTCGAGTGGAGTCGATACGAGATTTTCTCCACAAGCACTCGAAACTTGTTGATTTCGTTGGAGAGACTGGTGTTGGTCGCATACTCCAGATTGTGTTGGTGGCTGAGAGTGTCGTTGGCTTCGTCATCACTGTCAAAAGGCTCGTCGTCGTTACCAACTATTTTGTCCTGGCTGTGAAATGGATCTCTTTTTGAGTGTTCTTCCGGAACCAGTAGCACGCAAAGTAGCTTCTCTTTAAGCAGGATTAAATACTCGAGCTTGGCGTACTTATACTCTAGTCCTTGGTGTAGTTCAATTAAATGGTGTCGTATATCGTCGTACTTGTGCAACAATTGCGTACTGCTTGATTTCGATTGTTCCTGTTCTGTTTGTTGTCTGAGCCGACGATTATACTGCGACTTCGTCAATTCGTCGTCTTCAACTCGTTCTTGTTCGTCCTGGACTAATATCCCCTCGTCATCGGATGATGCGTGGCCTGGGTCCTTCTCATCTTCGTCTGCGGTTTCATCGTCGTCCTCGTCAAAAAGATACTTCGATTCGGGTAATTCCCTCACTAATTCTCCAAACTCTCCCATAAGCGTCTTGACATTGCCCGCTTGATTTACCTCGGGCAAGAGTATCGGCTTCAAAATCATCTCGATACGCATCAACTTCTCGTTCACCACCATCAATTTGTTCTGCTCACATTTTATCACCTGCTGGATGATCTGATTTACCACCTGTCGCGAGAATATATTCCTATTGTGTCTTTTGATTAATACGTTCACTTTGCTTATTATTTGCTGCAATTGCTTCTCTCCTACTTGCTGGCCATCTGGATCATCTTCTGCAGATTCTTCCGTTAATATGCGCTCGAGCTTTGATGTCACCATCAAAGGTTGGCTTAACCGCCTTACCTCTTGATCTATGAACCGCTTGGTGTACAAATACGTCGTATCCATATCTACCGATCCATACTATATGTTGTTATTATATAAGTATAGATTGTTTTGATAGACATAGTGCGTGTTACACTCAATATGGATTTTTCACCATCACCTAGATAAGATACCTTATATTTTAGTCCATGTATACAGAAGCATTAAACTTGATCGACTCGGCCATATACATGTGTGTGTAACCGTGATTACCATTGGAGCGTACTATCGTTTCTATAAGATTGCAAAACATACTTGGACTTATATTTGGGCTAGTGCAAGCTGCAATAATCACTCTGATCTCAGAGTAAAACAAGCTTGTATCATGCCCTGAGCTAGTACCCACTAACATAGTGCTGGTGATCTAATATAGCACGATAAAGTAAGGAAATACAGAGAACTGGCTTTATCAGCTAAATTCAAGGAACCCAAAAGATCGTCGTGTATGTACCACGTATGCTACTTATCTTTGCAAGCGATTCAGACTGGTATAGATTATGGTTTATCTTGATCAGAATCTAAGTTGCAAATTGTATATCATAATAATAGTATTGGAAGGTGCAGAAGTGTATTTCAATGTTCCCACAGGTAATTTTTAATGATTTTCGACAATCAAACTATTCGGGTCCTATTGATACCCAGAGACCACCTACTAGGGTTGCTAGTGTACAAATAATTGTTTCATTAATCTTGGGGTTTTCGGCATTCATGCTATTTTCGATATTAAGGCTCAGATATCCAAAGATTTATGTTGCTAACTTCAATCACTTGAATAGTAACTACGTACATAGTTCGTCGAGGCAGAATTTGCCAAAGTTGCCCTCGAGATCGCTATTCGGATGGATCCCTATCCTACTCAGAATTAATGAACAACAAGTGTTGAATCATGCTGGGTTAGATGCTGTTGTATTTCTTGGGTTTTTCAAAATGTGCATCAAATTATTGGCGGTGTGTGCAATTTTTGCCATAACTGTTATATCGCCAATACGATATAAGTTTACGGGTAAATTGGATCAGGACGATCCTGATGAAGATTTGGATACTAGCGTCGGAATATTCAAAAAGAAAAAACAAAGGTACGAGCTATTCTTATGGTCTTATACCGTATTCACCTATGTTTTCACCTTTATCGTGAGTTACTTCTTGTTTAAGCAGACAGTTAAAATCATAGATATGAGACAGAAGTATTTAGGTAAACAAAAGTCTATTACCGATAGAACGATCAAGCTTTCGGGTATTCCTCCAATGTTACGAGATGAAGAGGACTTGAAAAGACACGTCGAAAGCCTAAATATAGGAGAAGTGGATTCTATTGTAATCGTAAAGGAATGGAATGACTTGAATAAACTCTTCCAGTTGAGAAAAAAAATCTTAAGAAAAGCAGAAGTTTACTGGGTTGCATATTTTGAGGCCAATGGAATTAAAAATAAGAATGATATCCTCTGTAGTAATTTGCATCCTAATCTTGGAGATCTGTTCAATATGAATTCTACTACAGCATATCATGATAGAGAAGAGGAATCAAATTCTCCAGAGGAATCATCTGCAGTTGCAACAGAGGAAACCATTGGTGCTACCGAATCAAGACGTTCAAGTATAATAGAACAAATAACAGATCACATCGGACAAGAGAATATAGATGAATCCACGGGTCAGTTACCTCTATTAGATGATGAATTACATAGCCGCCCAAAAATAAGAAATGGCTTGTTCGGATTGTTTGGACCCCGTCTGGATGCTATTAACTACTGCACACAACAGTTGGAGGTCATAGATAAGGAAATTGCCAGAGCGAGACAAAGAGACTATCCAGCAACATCAACTGCATTTATAACTATGAAATCGGTTAGCCAGGCGCAAATGGTTGCACAGGCTGTATTGGATCCTAAGATTAATCATTTAATTACTAATTTAGCACCGGCACCGCATGATATTATATGGGATCACTTGTGCTTAACTAGAAGAGAACGTAATCTTAGAATTTTTTTTGTTACTTTATTTATTGGGATCTTCAGTCTTATTTTAGTCATTCCAGTTAGGTATCTTGCACAGTTCCTTAGTCTCAAATCAATTTCGAAGGTATGGCCATCATTAGGTAAGTTTTTGGAAAGTAATAGGTTAGCTGCAACCTTAGTCACGACTTTATTACCAACTTATCTTTTTACTATTCTCAATATAATTATGCCATACTTTTATATTTGGATATCATCGATACAAGGTTACACATCGCACAGTGATGAAGAGTTGTCTACTGTTTCGAAAAATTTCTTCTATATTTTTGTCAATTTATTCTTGGTTTTCACAATGGCTGGTACAGCCTCATTGAGTGATACCACAGAGATTGCATATCAACTAGCTCAGTCCTTGAGAAAGCTTTCCTTATTCTACGTTGATTTAATAATATTGCAAGGGTTGGGTATATTTCCTTATAAATTATTATCTTTGGGAAATTTATTCAAGTTTTCCATTGGAGCATTATTTTGGTGTAAAACTCCGAGAGACTACTTAAACCTATATAAACCTCCAGTATTCAATTTTGGATTACAATTACCCCAACCGATATTGATTTTGATTATTACTATTGTGTATTCGGTTATGTCCACCAAAATCTTAACGGCTGGCTTGGTTTACTTCATAATTGGTTACTTCGTTTACAAATACCAATTACTTTACGCATGTGTCCATCCTCCACATTCTACCGGAAAGGTATGGCCATTGGTATTTAGAAGAATAATCTTAGGCTTATTGATTTTCCAATTGACGATGGCAGGGACATTGGCATTACAAAAAGCATACATTTGTGCATCATTTTTAGCTCCATTACCAATATTGACTTTAGCATGTTTATGGAATTTCCAAACGAATTACATTCCGTTGTCTATATTTATTGCATTAAGATCAATCGATAACAATGAAGTATCTTCTCAAGATGAAGATAACGGAGAGACAACGAGTGCATCATCACAAAATGTGGAACCAAATTTTAAAACTTTAGATGAAAGGCGAGAATTGAATAAAACTTACGAATATCCTCATCTTATTGACAATTTAGATGGTCCATTGATTGCGATTGATGGAACTGAAATATTATTAGTGAACAATGATGGAATGACCGTTAGAAAAGCTAAAGATTTTGAGGAATGGGACTAAATATTTATATAATTTATTCATTCAATTAATTAGACTATCTTTCAAGCTTCGTAAAAAGTCTATAGAATTACTTAACAGGTCAATAGTCTCATTATATTCACTGGTTTGTATTTGTGATATGGTGCTATTCGACATATAGCTTACTAGTACACCAAGGATGCTGCGAGATATTAAATTTTTTAAAACCGTTGATATGCCTAAAATGACAGTAATTGATATATAGTTCATATTAGTGACCAACTTCAATGCTTCAGTAGTATTTAGGAATCCAATTACATTAATAATCGTTGTAGAAATTGTTGTTCTATCATACGGCCATATTAGCATGAGGATTGGAAATAGCTTGATTGAACTTGAAACTAATACAGATACCAACAAGACGTATCTGCGATATCCATTTTGAAATTGCTCATTGATATTCTTACTCTCAATGGATCCCCATTTAAAGAATTTATGGGAAAAGTATTGAATTGAAAAATTTAATGTTGCTTCTTCTAGGATCAGCTTTAATATGAAAAATAGATATTGATAATGTATTTCCTGGTCCAAAATAAATGCCATTATAATTGAATGATTATCCTTTCTCTCTTCGTAAGCACAGGTTAAATAGACTTCAAATAGGATCATCACTGTTATGAATCTAATTAGTGCTCTATACCGTAAAATCGACCCTTTTAACCCTGAAACAATTGAATCACTAGCGTTACGCTTTGCATATCCTTTATGAGTTGCTTCATCTTTTAGTAACCTAGATTCTGTTATGTTATACGTCAAGTGTCTGTATGCTTGGGGTTTTAACAATAATATGTCAAGAAACAAAATAACATTATCATATTCAATATATTTATCAGCTACTCTTCCACATTTTGAACAAATGGTTAACTTGATATATTCACTCTTATATCTAAAATACAAACAGTCAATGTCAGGATTTGTACATTCGACACAAATCATTTCAATTAGTCTTGTTAATTGACATCAATAGATCTTACTATTCTAACCGCACTAAATAAATTTCACTCTTATCGATCCCCAATTTTCCTATATTGTACACTATGTATTACATACGCTACCAAAATCTATAAAATTTGTAGAATATTCTACTGGCACATCATTGCAGGCGGTGGAACTTCAGGAATCTTACCTAACTCAAATTTGGCAGCTGAAAATGCTTCAAGTACCTTAGGGTCATATTCATCAACACTGGTGTCATTAGACACATTTGACGGCTGTGTAGACGACGAACCAAAGCCAGGTTGACCCAATAATGCTGAGTTATTTGCGAAACCTGAGCCATTATTACCAGATCCAAACTGTTGTGTTGTGTTGTTCGAGGCTCCAAAAGCATTACCATTAGTACTCCCTTGTCCAAATGCAAGATTAGTATTAGCAGAGGGGGCGAATGCCAGAGTTGTATTTTGGTTACTCATAGTTCCAAATGGAGATGCTCCTTTTCCTGCTGAAGATCCAAATGGGTTCGAGCCTGTTGATCCGGACCCCAAACCACCAGCTCCAAATGCACTGGTAGCATTATTGCCATTAGTAGAGCCAAAGGGAGATGCCTTATTATCATTATTCAAATTACCAAACGGCAGATTAGTTGTATTGTTTGTAGGCTGGCCAAACCCTGATTGACCAAAAGCACTTCTGTCTGGTGCCGAACCACTAGATGTAGATGCATTTCCAAATCCTGATGAGCCAAATGCTGATCCGCTCGGTGGATTGCCAAATCCAGTTGAACCGAATGCTTTTCCAGTAGAAGGGGCTCCAAATGCAGAGGTTGTTGCAGCTGGCTTTGAATTACTGAAACCTGATGATCCAAATGCAGATCCGGATGGTTGAGCGCTTCCAAATCCACTTGAACCAAAAGCTGATCCTGTAGAAGGAGCTCCAAATGCAGAGGTCGTTGCCGCTGGTTTTGAATTACTGAAACCTGATGAACCAAAAGCAGATCCGGATGATGCAGTGGGTTGGGCGCTTCCAAACCCAGTTGAACCAAACGCTGAACCTGTTGATGGCGCTCCAAATGCCGATGGCGTCGTTGAAGCAGGTTTGCCAAAAGTACCACCACTACCACCAAGTGCTGATTGGTTATTTGTATTGGAGTTACCAAATCCTGAATTTCCAAATCCCGAGCCGGTGTTCGACTTTGATTCAAATGGATTCAGCTGAGCACCAAACGCACCAGAAGAGCCTGCATTTCCAAACGTCGTAGCTCCGAATGGATTGCTCTGATCATTTGCCGAGCCAAATGCATTGTTGCCTGGATTTGAGAATTGCGCTATATTTTCCTCCAAACTTAATGGAATAAATGGTTTAGCTGGTCCAACATTAGGCTCGGCACTCTTTTGTTGATATCTAGCTGCAACCTGCTCTTGTCCCCGTATACGATCTACACAATAATCCATATCCTTACGCCTGGCCTCTATGTTTCTCTCATATTCTGGAATTGAATTAGATGCAACTGCTTCTAGATATTGTAGCCTGATTTCTTCGTACGAAAGATCCCTTCCCTGTATTAAATTATTGACAGCAGGAAACCCTAACCCATAACTTGACAACACTGGGTTGCTCTGAAGCAGCTTGTAGTCGCTTAAGTCTTGCTTAATTTGTGATGTCTTGTCATAAAGCGTATTTGGAGATATAAATTTCTCTAGTACAGATGCATTGTTTTGAGAATTGCTATTATTATTATTCACATGAGCAAACTTACAATTATTTCCGAACTTACAGTTACCAGTTGCATAGAATTTGCAAGGAAGCTTGTTATTTGCCATGGTTCTGTAGTATTATGCTACTTCCTATGATATATTCTATATATTTTAGTCTAATTGATATTTTAATGAAAAAGATTATTTCACGTGAGTGGGTTCATTAAAATGTATTGATGCAAAATATGACAAAAATATCATAGAACCTATCGACTTTGGTCACCTTGGCTATTATTATTGATAATATGATGACAAGCTTGTACAAGACTATTTCCGTTTTGGACACTAAGACCATATGCTTGTTTGTATAGTTGAACTATTTCCTGTAAAACATTTTGTTTAGATCGCCGACCATCGACTATTTCTTGAAGAGAGTTTTCTAGCCTTTTTCTTAAGAACGGTTTGGATAAAGATATGTTTTCGAATTCTACCTGATTAAAACCCTCAATAAGCCCCATACCGAGTTCTGAGGGAATGATATATTCTGTCGTCAATTGTCGTATCTTGACTATGTAACCCCTGGTAAGGACCTTATCGATATGTTCTGCAATGGTGGCATCAGTGCCTATACCATTGACATCCATCAAAGAAATTAACTCTGGTTCAGTCATATGTTGAGGAGCTCCAGTTCTGCCTTCCTTCATCTGACTGTTGGAAATTTTAATTGCCTCACCTTCTGTGAATGAAGGCAATTGCCTTGTAGATTCCCAGCTACGATATGGATACACATCCAAATAGTTCCTTTCGAGCACAGTTAATCCACTGGCGGTGAATGTTTCGTTACCCCATTGCAATGTCGCTGAAGTTTGCTCACCCTTTGCATCGTCAGAACAACATGCCAAATATCTTCTAACAACGTATTCGTATACCTTCTTCTCGTCTGCTTTATCTAACGAGTCAATATTTACATAATTCACTGGGTGAATTGGAGGATGGGCTTTATCATCGTTGTTACCACCCCGTGGAGTTCTGAAATTCTGGTCTAACAACGCCGATGCATAAGTGCCCCACCTACTGTCCTGTCTTTGTTTTTCTATTATAATCCTTAAGTCCATTGTAGGGGGGAATTTATCTGTTTCAGTTCTTGGGTAGGAAAGAAAACCCTTGTTGTATAGCTTTTCTGCCGCATCTAATGCCCGTTTTGCACTCATCTTAAAAAAACTAGAACAGTCCTTTTGTAATTGCACGGTTGTCAATGGCAATGGTCTCCAATTTTTTGTGGGTTTCTTGGTAAGACTTGATATTTTACCTTCTGGGTTCTCGAGACAGTTCTGATATAATAATGTAACATAGAACCGATCAAATAAATGATATTTTGTCCAAGAAAAATGCACGTTTTCGTTATCCTTTTTTATGTCAACACTTATATACCAAAAATCCTCGGGTATAAAGCTTTTGACCCTATTATATCTATCAACTATGAAACCCAACGTTGGAAACTGACACGTACCATATGATATAAAACTACCTTTTTCCATTTTTATCACTTGTGAACGTCTGAATAATTCAGTGAGAAACCTGGTGAAACTAGCGCCTACCCGTAAGTCGATCTCCATCCTACAACTCACAGCATAAACTGAATTCATATCAAGCTTAATTGGGTTCTTTGCGGCCTGTAGTACATGCGATCTTTCTAAGTGTGAAAATTGACTCCGCCATATATCTTCAACTTTAATGGAACTATTCCCCTTATACGCAGCCAAGAATATCTCGTGTCCTATGAACTCTCCCTCTCTATCACAATCGGTCCATATCATTAATTTAGTCGCTGTTCTCGCTTCACTACTTATATTGTTGTACACGTCTTTGTTGGATATTACATCTATTAATGGAGCGTCAAAAAGTCTTCCAGGGTTACATTTACCCCAGCTGAATGTATTCGGAAAGTCCATGTTTGTTATATGTCCCATAACGGCTGTCATCGTAACATCAACCAACCCATAACCTGGAAAATCAAATTTGAAATCATAATTCTTAATGTATTTATTCTTCGAATTTCGTGTCCTTACGTTACCACCGCTCAACACTTGTGAGACGGCCTTCGAGATTGACGGTTTTTCCGCCACACAAAGGATCTTCATATTTTCATGTTCATTCAATGGTTCTATTAAGCTAGATCAATTGATCTTAGCGTGTTTATAGATCTAAAATAGTGTGTCTTTGTGTCACTATCAAATTGAATTCGTTCTTCTGCAACAACTAGCCTAATTTATACAACGATTCAGCAGAAATACTATAGGGTAGGTAACTTGCTCACAGCTGGTATTTATTGACTATCATATTTTGAAATGGTTACGTTTTGCAACAAAGTATGAATTACTGAAGCATATAGCTGATGCTCTTCTACATGCATTCTGATGGATATAGTAAGGATTACTGTTAACCTCAGATAAGCAAACCTACTCGGTCGAACATATTCGTGAAGGTGCTACCAGGGCTTACTATTAATATCAATAATAGTATTGTTAAAGTGAAATCAAATCCTATAGACATCATCACATCGGTCGTGTGATTACCTTCAATATGAATAACGAAATTTAGTACTATCTAATCTAACATACTGCAAATATAGGTCTAGAATAGCCGCAATGAGAAGTATTGATCAAAGGATAGAAGAGCTACTCAGGTGGATTAAGAACACTCAAGATGAAAAGATCCTGCCTTCAACGCATTCATACATTTCGCCTAATATTGTTGTTAAAGATATGAAAGATTTTGGTAGAGGTATTCGAGCAGCCAGTCCCATTAAGAAAAAGGAGATGCTCCTTAGAATACCGCATTCGTTTCTCTTAAACTTCAATACGGTCGTTAGACATATCAGCAGACACAACGAGTCCATAAAATTACAAGAAGCATATTACACAAGCATTTATGTTCCTTATGGGGAGATTCATGAAGATCAATACACGAAAATATATTCCAGATTAACTATGGAGGAGATGCTTGGTTTGTCTTCATTTCAATTATTATCTCTTTATATTTGCTTTGAGAAGCAAAGGGGATCCTCGTCGTTTTGGAAACCTTTTATAGACATGCTTCCAGAAACTGGTGACTTTGACTTAGCTCCGTTAGTTTGGAAAGTATTGAAAGTGGGCCATCATGAAGAATTATTGAAATTGTTACCTAATTCCACCAAGAGACACATGGACAAGGTATATGACAGATTTCACACTGATTACAACGTAGTAAAAAATTTACTTTCAATTAAATTGAAGGAAATATCTGATAATGAAGCAAATGATTTTAACGATGCGATAAGCCACATTGTACCAATTGAATTATATCTATGGTCTTGGATGTGTATAAACTCTCGTTGCTTATACATGGAAATTCCCCAGAGCAAGAATGCTGCAGATAATTTTACTATGGCTCCATACGTAGATTTCCTAAACCATTCTTGCGACGATCAATGCGGACTAAAAATTGATGGAACTGGCTTTCAAGTTTATACAACATGCTCGTATAATCTTGATGAACAATTGTTCTTAAGTTATGGACCACATTCTAATGAGTTTTTACTATGTGAGTATGGTTTCACTTTACCCGAGAACAAATGGAATGATTTAGATATATCTGACTACATTCTTCCTCTCATGAAGCCTCAGCAAATTAAATTCTTAAATGATTATAGTTATTATGGTGAATATACTATAAGTGAAAAATCAGGGATGTCTTTTAGAACTGAAGTTGCATTAGCCGTGCTCCAAGAACTGATCCCGGAGGAGTCCAGGAAATTATTGGCATTAGTCAATGGGTATAATGATGGAAGTGTTTATGAGCAAAATTCGAAAACATTACTCAAAAAAATATTAGAAAGAGTTATTCATGACTGTGATACTAAGCGCAAGCTAGAATATAATGACGATAACTGTTCAATCACGCAGAATAGAAAGAAAAGTATTGGGATTTTATATAACAATAAAAAAACTATTGCCCAAAAGACTATGTTAGATTTATAGACTAGAATTTATTTACAGAGATATGTACATATGTAATGCAAATTTATACATTTAATAATCGATTCGTTGCTGTTGATTCTAATGATCTATCAATGCTTAACTTATTTTTGACCATGGAACTTATCATTTTATTCGTTGGAGTTGGTATCTTGTGTTGATAGCCTAAGCCCACAATATAGCCATTGATCCAGTCAATTTCCGTATTGTTCAAGTTTCTGATATCTTCTCTCATTGATGAACTATTTTGCGATGTAGTTTTACAAATTTCAAATACGGTATTTAACAACCTATCATCATTCAAAAAACTATTTGCTTCGGGAATATTCTTCAAGATTTTGTATTCGGCCTTGAACACTTGAACTGCTTCATTTATGACTCTTTTCGTGATCGGTACAATTTTTGTGCCATAAAGCAAATCACCATTCAAGCAATCAAGTATTGCTGTCAACGGATTTATACAAGCATTGACTATTAATTTTTCCATTTGCACTAAAAGGAATGATTTGTATGGCAGATAATTTGCGTTTAGTTCTTCAACTTGTAATAATAATTTGATGAATTCTGGCAACTCGTGTTCCTTCATCTCTGGCTTCTGAATATCTAATTTTCTAGGTATTTGAGAAATCGTAAGCTTTCCTTGACCAACATGATGGATGACATTTGGTGATGTCTTGTAAGCTCCGTGTGTACTGATTGCTTGCAATATATTAGGTCTATTACTTTCGTTGGGCCAAAATGTCTCTGTTAGGTGTTGAGCCATTCCCATTCCATTCTGAAGTATTAATATGTTAGAATTTGAATTTAGATTTGGTATATATGGTTCTAATGCCGCTTTAGTTTGATACGTTTTCGTTGATATTATTAAATTGTTAATTGGTGCCGGTCTTTCACCTTTCATTGTCGGTGGGAACCGACCAGCCGCAAGTTGTGATGTGGAATTGATTATGTTTTGTCCCCTAGGTTTGACAATAGTCAATTCTGAGTTGTTATTCACAAAATTATTCAACCTTTTCTGTGTCTTGAAGAGCAAGATCATCTGCAATGCATTTGGATATTTAGTAGTCATTTCGTGTGCAACCAAAGATCCCATTGATCCAGCACCCAAAATGTATACTTTTGGATTACTAACCATCCTTATTTCAATATGTATGTTGTGAATAAATGTTTATCTTCTATACTGAATAATTTTGCAAAAAATCTCTTGAAAAGTTATTTGTGCTATTTTGTGTCTCAAAAGCGATCTCCATAAAAAAGATTAAGATAAAAGATAAGATAGTTCCATTCGTTATTAAATATGCTTATCGTTGGTCTCACTGGTGGTATTGGTTCTGGAAAGTCTACTGTATCTCGTACATTGCATGAAAGCCATAAATTAACAATTGTCGATGCAGATTTAATTTCTAAAGAAGTTGTAAATCCGGGTCGAAAGGCTTATATTAGAATTTTGGACGCATTTGCAGACGAGATTCCTGATCTTGTCGACCCAAGTAATGGCTCATTAAATAGAGCAGCCTTAGGAAGTGCTGTCTTTGGTAATAAGGAAAAACTAAAAAGATTGAATTCTATTGTTCACCCTGCAGTTAGAAAGGAAATCATATGGCAGATTTTACAAGCCTATATGAGCTTTCAAAGTATTGTTGTTTTGGACGTTCCGCTATTATTTGAAGCAGGATTGAACAAGATATGTGGTACCACCATAACTGTTACATGTGATAAAGAATTGCAAGTAAAAAGAATAGCTGCCAGAAATTCAGAATTGAGTGAGGATGATATCAGGAAACGGATTGACAGTCAAATGTCGAATGAAGAAAGAAATTACAGATCCGATGTAGTGATAGATAATAGTAGTGGTTTAGATGAATTGAAAAAATCTGTCGCATCAGTTGTTAAGGAAATACGCCCAAATGTCATATTTACATTACTTGATTTATTTCCACCATTTGGCTTATTGTCGGCAATTTACACTTTTACACTTCGAACCGTCAGCGATAGATTTAAAGGAACGAAGCCTCTGCTTAAGAATGACTAAATACGCAAAATGGTATGATTTTTTAATAGAAAAATTCTATATTAGATTATGCTCTCCAATACTGAGCTAAACTATGTAACCTATCAATAACAACAGGTAAAAATGCATTAACACTATCGTTAATTAAATTTTGAAAGTGTAAAATGGCTTCTTCTTCGCTCATTTCCAAGCAAAACTTTTCTTGTACCTTCTCAACTGCCCTGTTCGGATCAATTTGAATGTCTGGTATATTTGCATCCAACATTAACTGGAATAAATTCAAAATCAAATTACTGTTTTTTCTTAATGTTGTATATGTAATAAAACAATAATTCTTAAAAATATCAAAGTTTTCATGGTTTAAACCACCCATTCCATCAATTACTTGAATCGGTAATTTCATTAAAGGTGGGAAAGGCTTTGGGTCACGGCCAAGTATGTAACCAAAATCAGCGTGCCAAAATTTTCCATTTGGTGATAACAACAAATTATCGAGATGACGATCACCGACTCCAAGTAGATATGTAATCACACAATAGCCAGCACAAGATTTTACATAATTATCCATAACAATTGATGAAACACCAAGATTAGACGTAATCGCGTGTTGCTGTTGTGGTTGAGGTATAGAATTTTCACTCGCTCCTGATAATACACTCAGCATTTGAGGCTCCACTGCTTGAACGTCACGGCTATGTAACTTCAAATAGTTTAATATTCCATTGTTGGCATTATAATTATTAGAAACACCATGAGCTCCAGATTGCTGGTCGACGAGATCTATATTTTCAGAAATTGAAGTTGGATATATTCGGCCTAGAACAGCATCGAGAGTTTCATTAGGAACAAACTGTATCAATCCAGCAATTGGACTTGTAGCCAAAATTCTGTATGGCGTTAACCTTAAATCCAAATTTTCATTCTTTAGTAATTGGTCCATTAAATTGATTATTTGTATAACAAGCTGATCTTGTCTTAAGTCATCTCCAATCTTAAACATTAACGAATATTTACCATATTTATAATGTTTCTTCCCAAATAACTGCGATGACTGTGACTGATGTAACTCTCGGTAATTTGTTATTGTCTTGAAAGTTATTTTTAAAGGAGCCAAGGAACTCTTGAATACTGATGATTCCTCTGGATAACAACCGCATATTATTATTGATGGATCTAAAGGTAGTGGAAATGGTTCCGGAAATTTATATAGATCATTTGATGAATTGGCCAAATATTCTCTCAAAAACTGTACCTTTTTAACTGTAGCTTCATTTTTCTTGAAAGTCGTTCTTAATAATTCGACCAAATTTGTCAATTTTTTGATGAACCAAATTTGCCTTTTCAAATGATTATAGTTAGGTAGTTTATTAACTTCAGAATATTTTTTTAAATTTTCAATGTATTTGTTCAATATTAATGAATAAATACGAACAGGTTGAGAACTGGGTACATTTATCTGATCTTCATTTTCTACTTTAACATACCAATAAAAAAAATTTCCCAAGTTTTCATTTTCGACAGACTTCTCTATCAAAAATGTTGCAAGAGGTGACGATAATAATGAATCAGAGGAATTACTTTCAATCAAAGTAAAATTTTCCGTTTCTGAGTCTCCTGAATTAATCCTCTTGTCAAATATAATAGACTCATATTTCAAGGCTTGGACCAATTGCAAAAGATACAACAATATTTCTTCACCGTTCGCTAATTTTAATCTATCAACAGCAAATTTTCTTAAGAATATTACATATTTAAATATCTTTTGGTAACGACGTTCTTCGTTGTTTATTTGATCACTAGATGAGTGTTCTTTTGGAGTCGCTGCTATTCGTGATGTCAATGTGTGAGGATTGAAGTAATTTCCTAGCAATTCTAATGCATCCCCAATCTGAATTTTATCTACTGACCAATAATTTGGGATAATTTCATTGAAAGCATGATCCAATTCAAAATCATTATCCCAATTAATTGATTTCAAAAATTTAGGTAAGAAAAGCTTTCCGCTTCGTGTAAGCTTAGTTGATGGTGGGTGATGACTTGCATTGTCTTCTGCTAGAACGGTTGTAGTTGAATTATTTTTGGAAAAGTAATAACGGAACTTCCATATTAAATTCTTCTCAACGTCTGATAATTCAATATTCGAGGGCTTTCTAAGAATTCTCATTAATTCATCTCTTAACTGAGGGGACGGTTTTAGCTCTTTATCTAACAAAGAATTATTATTAATGTTTCTTTCTAGCTTGTGATATTTCATTTCAATTGGGTCAAGAGTATTACTTGTAGCATTATTCTGTGTCGTATTTCCGTTGGCGTTGATGTTATTAAGGTGAGGTATCTCGTAATCAGGGTCATATACCTTCAATAAATTCGTATGTGCTTCCTTAGACATTGGTATATCAATGGAATTGATGATTACACTCGTGTTGGTAGTGTCATTCAAACTTAATGCTTGGTTATTATTTCGATCTTCCGAAGGTGTTTGTATTGGTAACTGATAAGTTATATCAGAATAAACAACAGGTAGTTCAAAATGTGGAAATTCAATATAAAGGTGGAAGAGATCTTTGTCAGCTTCATCAAGTTCCTTGTAATACGGACTTTTGCCTCTTAATTTAATGCCTCTCTGCTTTTCTATATCTGATATAACTAGCTTATCGAGCCATGGTACCCGAGGAAACTCTCCGTTTTCGTAGTCTATTAGTTTCTGTTCTAATTCCGTAATTCCTGATATGGGTCCATATTCAATTTCTATATCCTTCGAAAAGTCAAAATTCCTTCGTACGGGGACTTTCTGTGAACCTCTTCTCAATGTAGAATCATTTTTGTTGAAAAGTGATATGTTTCCTATCCCAAATATTACAGGTCTAGTATTACTGACTTCATATACAACAAGTCTTAGATAAGAATCTATAGTCAATTGATTGTAGTTTATCGGAAGTTTCAATGTCCTATTCCATTCTCTTTTATTGTTAGTAAATGCCTGATATGGTGTTTGTACAGGTATTGTAATTGGATTATTAGTGCCACCAAATACTTGAATTGCCACGAATAGGTCTGAATTTATATATATATTAGATAGTTTCTGAAATACCAGTGGATTAGAATATTTTTCTGATGATGGGGATAATTCATCATAAACTTTTGATATATCGGAAGGCTGAAGATAACAAATCTTTACAGATATTGGAATAGTTAAATCTTTTGACAAGCCAAAAGTAGCTGTATTGGTGGATGAAGATAACGAATCCTTTATGATCTGAGGATCAACCTGTGTCATATTTATCCCTTAGGCTATACGATTGGATCCAATTTTACGATGATTATCAAGTTGGATAAGAACTTGTTGGATAAGAACTTGATAAATGATTTTAGCGCGCTTTTACTATCTTTACAAGAATATAATTTTAAGTGCTTTAAGTATTATTAGATATATATCTATATATATAGAGATCAAGGCTTTAAATTAATGAGTAAATAAATAAGAATATGCATATATCACAGTCAAAGCATTTTGCTTATCTTCTATTCTGACCAAACCAAATATACTGGTCCTTCTTCTTTTTTGATTTTTGTTTTTCTTTATCCACATCCATTTTATCATCTTCATCACCATCACCATCACCATTGTAGTCATCAATATCAGACGAAGAATCGCCAGAATCACCAGAATCACTATTCGAACCATCATCAGAGTTAAGGTGGTAGAACATTGGTTTCTTAGACGTATCCTTCGAACTCGACACGCTAAAGCCTGTTGGAGTAGACGTACCGTTAACAGGATCATTCATTCCATCACCGTTAAATACAGAGGGTATAAACCTAATTGAATTTCTAGGTCTTGGACTGGTGCTTGCCACAGGTGATGGAGGAGCTCTCCGTTGGGGAGGTGTAGAAGTTGCTTTCTGGTATTGATTGTTCCTATTCAAGCTGTAAGGTAATGCAAATGCTTTCTGATGAGAATCACTATCATCACTTTCATTATTAAGCTGATGTTGTTTATATTTAGCTAATAGAGATGTGCTTCCTTTATCATTTATAGAACGTTTGTAGTTTAAAGATTTAGATCTACTCAACAATGGATTTTCAGGCTGTTGAGGGCCTTGAATTGGTCTCACGTTATGTTCTTCGATTATATCAAGGTCACTGCAGGAGCCATAATCATCCACTGGAGATCCAGAATCTATCGATGCCAACAGGTCATTGCTCTGTCTTTGGCTGGCCTTCCCAATAACAGTCAGTGGGAAATACGAATCCTTTGAATTATGAGCCACCGTTGCCAAAATAGGATTCGAAGTAGATCTCTTTCTTGGTTTATTCTGAAGAGATGAAAGGAATCTGGGCAAATCGGTTGTCGAGTTATCATTCGACGATGCATTATCTCTTTGATACTGAGCTAAATTAACTTGTGAATTAATTTTCGAGTTCAAACGATGAATAGGAATTTCGGACGTTGTTGAATATTTCAATCTCATGGGTTTGTTAACCTCTTCGTTATCAACCAATTTCGTCAAATCAATAACCGAATTATTCCTCGTTGGCTCAGAATTAGGTGAAACATCGGGCGAAATGGGCTTTGATGGACGATTTTGAAGATTGAAGGTCTTCTTGAATGAATCATCATTCATTCTCTTTAACTTAAAGTCTGATTTGACTTCGAATTGTTTAGCCATTTGTGGAGACCAGTCTTTTGCCGCCGAGCAAATAGGATTGTAGTTTCTGATAACTTCGGGCCTATTAGGATCTTTCGTTAATCCAGTGGTGGACATCCTGAACGACGCTCGTGGTTGGTCTTGCGCAGGAACAGTAGGAAGTTTCAAATTATTAGATTCATCAAAATCATCCTTTTTGAAAAAATTGGTCTTGTAGTATACTATATCGGTCTCCAAGTTAAGAGTGCTATCGATATCTTCTTTCTCTAAAATATCCAAGGAATCTTTAAACAACTTCCACTTATATTGATCTAGATCAAGAGGATCTTCAATTTCATTATCCTCTTCCACAAGGACCCTCCTTGCAAAGTTTAAGGATGCCTCGGGTATTTCGTCAAATATAGGATGGTTTATGAAGTACGATAGGAAATTATTTATAGCGTATCCATGAGATATGACAATAATTATATCCTGGTTTTTAAGATGCACCGATCTGTTATACGTGGCTAGCAACTTCTGAAAATATTCCTTACAGTTTGCCTGGTAGTCCTTATAGCTTAGACCAGGCCCATTATACGGACCCAACGTATTAGTCGGACGGAAGTTAGACACACATGACCGATTCTTCAACAACTTGATGTTAGGTGTATACATATGGTACGCGTCGTTCGAATCGGTAAACGGTGGTTTATTCTTCATCTTCTCATGTAACCACTCAGACAACGCAAAATCCCCCAAAAGCTGAAACCTCACCTTGTAATTTGGGTATTTCTCTTCAAATCTCGCCTTGAGATCACTCACCAACAAATCTGCCGTTTGACAACACCGTAAGTACGGCGAGAAGTGGATAAACACATTTTTTCTGACACTTCCGCTTTCAGTGTCATCAAATACCTGTGTATGTTCCAAAATCTCCTTTCCCACCGTCTCAAGCTGCTCGATGGCGCTACTTGCCAATGACGGATCGTACTCCTTGTAATCCTTGTATATCGCTTCTATCCCCTTTTCCTCCTTATTGCTGACATGGTCTATCCTCTGGCCGTGTCGTAAGAAATATAATTCTGCCATATCCTATACAGCGTGTTTCCTATCTTTTCTAACTTTTCTTCTTGTTATTCCGATAACTATGTATCATGTGGGTATATCCCGTTTTTCTGGCGTAGTTCGTTAGATATTTGATCCTATTAACTTCTAAAACGGTACCTTACTAATATAATATCCCCTCAGTTCGATGAACAACGATATTCTCCCATGTATGTTTTTGCCGACCTATTATGTTATATATTGTTGATAGTTCCACTGCTTGAATCATATGATGTCACTTCTCATTGTCGTCGATTCTGAAAATTCAAATGCTTATGTAATCTCTCGCAAAGCAAAAGACACAGGTTCGGAATATCAACAGGTATATCAAGGTAATGGTTACCAGAGAAGAAGCAGTAATAAACTACGCTAATTGCTCATGTCACATCAAAAGACCCATTCACGTTCGCGGGGGTATGGATCGCAATCGATATATGGCCATGGCGAGGGAATTGAGTTTAATCAGGGGTATGCAGAGCCGTTTGGAGCAGAAGTCGAGGTGAAGAGCGAGGGAATCAAGAACCCATTTGTGAAGATGGAGCCGGTAAATGCGCAAGCTGGAGACAGTGGCGCGAAGAGAGGTGTGTTGGGACTGATTGTAGGGACGTTGCCGGTGCTTGTGGCGTTTCCATGTATGCTTTTGTCGGGAAGTTTGTCGTATGGACATGGTACGTATGGTATTGGAACTAGTGTGTCCTTTGTGTCGATTCTGGTGATGCTAGCGGGGGTATTTTTGTTGGTGACGCATATGCTTGTACGGGGGAATGTTATTTCGTTGACTTCAGAGGCTAGAGGTCGCGATGGGGTATCTACGGGGGAGTTCGTGGGTGCGATTTCCATGATCTATGTAGCGACGCACTTGCTTTCCGTGAGTCGCCTCGCAGTGCTATATCTAGGGTTATATGTCAGTCCGTTCAACTTGTACACGGTAATAGTGCTTTTGTGGGACGTGTATTGGAATTCGGGCACGGAGAATATCGTGAGCACGGTGGTAGGATACGTCGTGGTGGTGGTTTCGTTCAGAATATTGTACAAGAAGACGGTATTATCGTCACTCACAGCAGCATTAGCGAACATTGATGTGCGAGTGGCGGGAGGTGCGGTAGCAACGGGCGTGGTTGCATTGGCGGTCACTGGATTCGAAAATATCTCACCCATGATGATGGGTGTCAATGTGTGTGCATCCCTTGTGTATTTGATTTCGTTGCAGGATTGTGATATGAAAGCGTCGCGTTTCAATCCATTCATTATCGGATTGGTATCGTTCAGTCTCGAGTATATCGTGCTCTCTACTGATTTCAGCGTGGCACAGTTACTTTTGGGCGTTGTTGTGCCCTTGATTATTAAGGCAGACAGATCTATCGATATTACTGCAAGCCAGTATGCTGGTATAAATGACACTTCTGAAACAAGGAGCAATGGATCGATTTTAACGGAATTGTTAAGCCATTCGGATACAAGGGCGATTTTCAATTTCCTTTTGCTTAATTCTACATTCATGTTTATTCAGTTGCTTTATTCTTTCAGATCCAAATCACTAGGGTTATTGTCGGACTCTTTGCATATGGCACTAGACTGCACATCGTTAGCATTAGGTTTAATAGCAGGTATATTACTGAAAAATGCTATAAATCCAAATGGGAAATTTCCATTTGGGTTGAAAAATTTCGAAATCTTGGCAGGTTTTACAAATGGAACATTATTAATTGGAATATCGGGTAGTATCATCTTTGAGGCGTTCGGGAGGTTGTGGAATCCGGTTGTTTTACAAAAGACCAATGAATTGATTATTGTTTCCTTTTTAGGGCTTCTCGTAAATTTGGTAGGGATATTTGCCTTTAACCACGGTCACGATCATAGCCATGGCCATTCACACGGACACAGTCATAACCATGGACATAGTCACAGTCATGAATACAGTCACGATCACTCAGATAATGGTGACCTGTCAGAGAAAGCTGCTATGAATGATAACATGAAGGGTATTTTCCTCCATATATTAGCTGATACTTTGGGATCTGTTGGAGTTGTTATCTCCACGATATTAACAAAGTTCTTCAGCTGGGATGGTTTTGACCCAGTTGCATCAATCATCATTGCCGTATTGATTTTCTTGTCAGCTATCCCATTGATTAAATCAACTGCGCTGTCGCTCCTACTCAAATTGAAATCGGACAAAGAAATGAAAATCAGGTCAGTGCTAAATGATATTGTGCAAGTAAAAGGTATCAAGTCTTTTACTACTCCAAGATTCTGGCCATCCAGTGACAATTCTGATATCTTCGGATATATACACGTTCAAATTTATAGAGGTGAAAATTCATTGTATATAAAAAAGCAATGTGAGAGAATTTTCCAAGCTGAAAGCATTGATGTCATGATCCAGGTTGAAAACGATTTCGATACTTGCTGGTGTCGCTCCGATAGTGCTATTATGACTATATAACTATTAGACGTATTTATTCATTCAATATACCCATTATATACTATAATATTGAGGTTTGCACGACTGCTCATCTTAAATGCTGCATCAACTGAAGATAACTAAGCATACTAGTTGAATAGATATCACATTAAGAAGCTGGCAAAACAAGCATGTCAAGAGTTGGAGTATTAGCATTGGGACCTGCAGGTGTTGGAAAATCCACCTTCTGTAATTCTATTATTACACATATGCAATCTATAGGACGTAGAGCACATATTGTTAATTTGGATCCAGCAGCCGAACCATCGGAATATGAATTTACTATTGACATAAGAGATTTGATTTCTTTGCAAGACGTTATGGAAGAGATGGATTTAGGGCCAAACGGAGCGTTGATTTATTGCTTTGAGTTTTTGTTGAACAATTTAGATTGGTTGGATGAAGAAATTGGAGATTACAACGACGAATACTTGATTTTTGATTGTCCTGGACAAATTGAATTATATACACATATACCTGTGTTGCCGACTATAGTAAGACATTTGCAAACACTGCTTAATTTTAACTTATGTGCTACATATTTACTAGAAGCTCCATTTGTCATAGATAGATCAAAATTTTTCTCAGGTGCATTAAGTGCTATGTCAGCCATGATTTTGCTTGAATTACCACATATCAACATATTGTCGAAGATTGATTTGATCAAAAACGAAGTCTCGAAGAAGGAATTGAAGAAGTTCTTAAATCCTGATCCGTTATTACTAAATGCTAGTCTGGAAAACGAGACAAACCCAAAATTTGCAAAATTGAACAAAGCTATTGCTAACCTAGTTGATGACTTTGGTATGGTTCAATTCTTACCTTTAGATTGTAACAAAGATAGTGATTCCGTGGCGACTATTTTGAGCTACATAGATGATGTTACGCAATGGTCTGAAAGTCAAGAACCTAAAGAACCGGTAGAAGAGATCGAAGAAGATGTTGACTTTGAATAGTGTATATTAACTGTATAAATGTTTTATTATCAATATAAAACCCATTCTATATCGAGTGCAACTAGAATTTTACTCTGAAATTCTGTAAAAGCAATAGCCTACGTATATTATTCGTTGCCTTTATATAATCTACTTGGACTTCAGGCCAAAAGGTATGTTTCTAGGAGGCGAATTGACAGTAAAATTCAATTTAATGGCTACAAATTTGGGTTATAACATATTTTTTGAATTTAAACTACTCAATTCAAACCATCGGTTACTTCTACGGTTCCTTTATCCTATTTAGGTGCCAGGTAAAAGGATTTTCCACTATATACGTTATCATTGCAAACTGAAAAATATATTGGTGTGCATATAATTATATTCAATTTTCATTCAAAATTTCCACTAAAATCGATTATAGTGGAACAACAACGACATCGAAGACTATTAACGTTTACAAATTATTGACAGATAATCTAATAAAGCTATAAGATGGTTCAGATTAATGAAGTAAAAGATACTCAAACTAGAGAAAGTAGAACCGCTGCTCATACCCATATTAAAGGGCTTGGATTAGATGAGCATGGGATAGCTAAGAAAGTTGAAGGTGGATTTGTTGGTCAATCAGATGCAAGAGAAGCGTGTGGAATTATTGTGGACTTGATTAAATCCAAGAGAATGTCAGGTAAGGCTATTTTATTGGCAGGTGCTCCAGGAACTGGTAAGACTGCCTTAGCACTTGCGGTTTCACAAGAATTAGGGCCAAAGGTGCCCTTCTGTCCAATTGTCGGATCTGAATTATTTTCGGCTGAAATCAAGAAGACAGCAGCATTGATGGAAAATTTCAGAAGAGCCATTGGATTAAGAATCAAGGAAACTAAAGAAGTTTATGAAGGTGAAGTGATTGAATTGACTCCTGAAGAAGCAGAAAATCCATTGGGTGGTTATGGTAAAACAATCAGTCATGTTATAGTTGGTTTGAAGACCGCTAAAGGTACTAAGAGTTTGAGATTGGATCCAAGTATCTATGAAAGTATTCAAAAGGAAAGAGTTTCCGTAGGTGACGTTATCTATATTGAGGCAAACACTGGTTCTGTCAAAAGAGTTGGGAGATCAGATGCTTATGCTACTGAATTCGACTTGGAGGCTGAAGAATATGTTCCATTACCAAAGGGAGAAGTTCATAAAAAGAAAGAAATTGTTCAAGATGTAACATTACACGATTTAGATGTCGCCAATGCAAGACCTCAAGGCGGTCAAGATGTCTTATCAATGATGGGACAATTATTAAAACCAAGAAAAACAGAAATAACAGATAAGTTAAGATCCGAAGTAAATAAAGTTGTTTCTAAATATATTGATCAAGGTGTTGCCGAATTGATTCCAGGTGTTTTATTTATTGATGAAGTTAATATGTTAGATATTGAATGTTTCACTTATTTGAACAGAGCATTGGAAAGCTCTATAGCTCCAATAGTTGTTTTGGCATCAAATCGTGGTATGACTACAATTAGAGGTACAGATGATGACAAAAAATCGCCTCATGGGTGCCCAGCAGATTTAATTGATCGTTTGTTAATAGTCAGAACCTTACCATACAACCAAGAAGAAATTAAAATCATTATCAGCAAGAGAGCAACTTTAGAAAGCTTAATTGTTACTCCTGATGCCTTAGACAAATTGTCTTCGCATGGTATTAATAATTCGTTACGTTATGCATTACAATTATTAGCGCCGGCGGGTGTATTATCTAAAACTGCGGGTCGTAATGAGATTACTAGTGACGATATCGAAGAATGTGAGATTTTATTCTTGGATTCCCGTCGTTCAATAAAAATATTGGAAGAAACTAAAGGTTACCTTTAAGTTACACTTACAAAGCTGTCGATTTATGTATTTTATATATTATCTAGATTTAAAATGAAAGTATATTAATTTTCAAGTCTACCTAAGTTGGAGCATTCTTTTAAAAATTCATTCGCAGTTATTATATCTGTGCTACCGTAAGTAACCTTTTTGGTAGGTTTATTTGGTGAGTTTGACCATTCTTGAAGATTTTGATATTCTAAATAATTACCACCTCCAACAACAAACACTTGAGCTTCAAGGTATGATTGTCTTTTAGGTGGTTTAGAATGTCCACCTCGTAACTTAGAGTCCAAATACAAGTAATCATCAGTAAGTTGAATAGAATTATTTGAAGCATTGGTCGGATCCATAATAGCTTCCACTGCGTTTGTAATTGGCAATTGTTGCTTATCAGGTAAGAGCTTCTTTAATCCTGTCGCCAAAGAACTCAAACCTTCAGTAATTCTTCCTTCGGTTAATCCGTATAATTTGGATGATAAACCATTAAATAAGGCTGTATTGTTCTTAGATGTATTCGCATCGAAACTAGAATTACCCGAAGATTGATCATTCAAAGCAGACATATTAGATAACTTCATCACCTGCTTAAATCTTTGAATGTACTTGAATGAATCCAAATTAAGGTCAGGATATTCATTATGTAAAATTTCTTTGCATTCATTAATAAAGTTTGCCGGCAAATCTAGCAACAAAACCAATATTAAGAATGATCTCAATTTATCGGTAGAGTTATCTCTCTTTGATCTATCTTTCAATATCTCCAAGAATTGGCTCTGAATCTTCGGATTATTATAGTTTTGTTCTATTTCAAAAAATTTGTCTAAACTTTTTGCCTCTAATTCCTTCAACAACGTCGCTAAAACATCCATATGCATGTCTAAAGTAGCCTTCCTAGCGGTTAATTCTGGTAAGGCATCCACTGCTTGTTGAATATGAGCCGTATCAGAGCCAGCTTGATTGTTAATGTCACTTAATGAAGTTATACCAGTTCTGTTTGTTAATTCTTGTGCATCCTTCTTATATAAATTTAATTCAACATCAGCATTCTCAACCACATCTGGGAATGGTAATTGGGAATTTTTACCCCAGAAGAAATCCTTTGGGTCAATATCGTAGTTTTTGGTAACTGAAGTAGAATCATCATTGAACTTTGTCAATTTTATTGTATTTCTTTTCAAGTGAAAAACGTCACTCACCATGCATTGGTAAATCCATGAATGTGAAAACATAGACGATAAATCAATGTTACGGTCTAATATAATCAACACGGGCCTTTGTTGAATTGACTGGCTCATCAAATTTCTTGAATTACTTAAATAATCTCTCAATTTTGAATCCAATTGAGTGGCTACTAACTCTGCCGGCCCATTCCTTTGACATCTTATGATTGGAATGCTATCCAATGTGATTATTGATGCTAATAAGCCATTCGCAATATTCTCTGCCAATTTATGAATGTCATCTTCGTTTGTACTTGGATTGTTAAACTTTGTGAAAACTTCAGGCAAATCCAATGAGAATAAATTTGGCTCAGTTACTATGAAGTCCAAATATTGATCAAATACCTGTTTAATCTTGTAAGATTTGCCTGAAATCGATACCTTTTTGGCAAACTCTTCCAATAATTCTCTATTTATACTTGATGTGAAATTGATATAGAAATTATCATATTTGTCGGCTGATAAGTCATCTATGATCACTAATATATTCTCTATGGTTGGCTCAACGAAATATATAACTGAAACGTCGGGTAATGGTGATCTCTTAGAATTAATCAAGGAATGAACAGTGATTCCACATCTTAATAAATCATTCACTCTTAATACGGAAGAAATGATTGCCTGTGACTTCGAATCCAACACCAATACTTTCCAGATCATTTCTTCACTTTTTGATGCCAATGTCAAATCTGGAGATCCATCTTTATTCAAATGGAACATTCGTTCCAATGTAGCTATAGCGGTTAGTAATTCTCTACAAAATACCGGTCGATGCAAGAATTTGAAAAATAAACATACAGATCTGTCTGTCCCTTATGCTTAAATCATCCATCAATGACATATTGTCTATAGATTAACTTAGTATACTGAATCTATTTATGCTACTTTTTAGTTTATCTAATTGTATTTACGTGTTTATCCAAGGACGACTTTGTGTAATGAAAATATAGACTTCCGTTTCGAGTAATAAGTTGACTTGTTGAATTAAATAGAATCTACAAGTTATGGCTGGTTAAAAAAATCGTCTATTGGTAATTAAAGTAACTTTTTTTAATTTCTCTAAAATATTTTCATTTTATAATATGTGAAGACATTTTCCCAAGTTATAAAGATACAAGGAATGTCCGATAAGTAACAACGGCTAAATTGCACCTATTTCATGCATGTCAAGGCGGATAATGAAGAATGGTGACTATGTCTATCTTATTTACTTTTGTATTCAACAATACCTCGTAGAACCTTAATTTTGCCAAAAGCTTCATGTTCAATGGTGTCCCTATCGCTCCGGGAATCTCTTGACTTGTTCCTATGTTCAGTTCCTGGTACTGGCCAAATACAATCTAGACCCAATCTCAGGCACTCGGTACACAGGGGCCTTTTTTCACAGCACCTCTTCTTTCTTTGCCTGCAAGTAAGACAGCCCATCCTTGATCGTTTAGTGATAGGTTTGGTCGCATGTGTTTCGACAGATTCGTCTATTGGAGAGCCATGGTGACTGTCGGATGACCGTGAATACCGTCGAGTATTCTTTTTGGACAGTATAGTAGGGATGGTATTATACGGTTTAGGTTGCTCTGGAGTATGTTGTTCTGTATCAGGGTTTGGCACCATCATATTCGTCGCTATTGTCAGCGGAATATTTGCATTGCCCATGCTAGCGAATGCGCCGGAAGGACCATACGGGCTTGATGCGTGATCTAGCGATGCAGAATATTGTGCTATACCTCCCTCGCCCAGTTGGTCTATGTTTTGTGGAGGAATCAGTAACGCACTTTGTATTGGCATCGACTGTGATTCTGTTGCTTGCATAGCCTGCGCCGAAGAAATCCCCAACAGCATTGGTTGTTCCAAATTAGCATCTCCGGGTGACATGAACTGTTGATAAATCGGTACATGAGGAGTTTCATTCACATTTGGCTCTCTATTAGACTCGCTGTCTGCTCCATCGCTTGTTCCTCCACTTCGACTCAACTCAGTATACCACGGATCCATTATGTCCCAGATATGTACTCCTTATTACGTATATGCTGTCACTATTATTATCGCTGTCAGCCACTTTTCTATCTCTTTTTGTCCGATAATAAACAGAAGTCTGGAATGCTACGTATTTAATAGGAAATGAATTCTATCTCCCTAATATTCATACCCATGTCACTGCTTGGTATTTTTAAAAATCTCGAGATTTCTCTTGAATTATGTATTAAACTGGGGTTGGGGTTCTTGAAACCCGACGACGCTGTATTTCCGATCAAAACTATCAGCCTCCAGTCTTGTTAAACAAATATTATTTTTGCTTAACAATAGAGCTTGTATGAGTTTTGTATAGAAACCTGAGAACTATTTTTCGTTATGCTGCTGATTATTGTTAGTGAGGCTTAAAAAGGAACGGCACAATGGCTTTACGTATACGTCGCCCTAAACTTGCGTATGGAAGATCAGAGATATAAACAAATCATATTGTCCCATGAAAATTCAGATTGCCGAATATGCAAGATCTTTTGGCATAGGCACATGTTACAAGATAAAGTACTTTTTTGCCAAATAGGAAGTTAAAGTCTCAAGGCATGGAATATTTCATCAAAGAATCGGCTGCATTGCATAATAGAAACGTTGGGTGCTACAGTTACAAAGTGTTCGGTGGATGTATATTACTGTATATGAATATTATTTCTCTATTATAAGGCGAATAACTACATCATTGGAGGAGCTCCCATTGGTGGGCCTCCAGGCCCACCAGGACCTCCGGCGCCACCTCCACCTTCTTTCAAGGAGGAACGGCCAGCCTTCAATAATTCATCGCATAATAATAAATTAGACGCAATGCCTGTGGCAGCAGAAATTGCGTTTCTCATCACTCTGTACGAGTCCCACACCCCCTCGATAGAAGGATCCATTGGCTCGCCGGACTTCAAATCGATACCAACGATTCTGTCATCGATCTCGTCTTGGCAGTTAGATAACGTTTCCAATGAGTCTAGGCCGGCATTTTTCGATAAAGTCTTTGGAATAACCAATAAGGCCTCACTAAACGCTTTTATACCAGACTTATTCTTTCCCCTCAAGAATTCGTTCTTGGTGTTCAACAAGTGATTATTGCAGCTCATAAAGAACGCACCTCCCCCAGGTATAATTGATTGATCTTTCAAGACGTTGGAGACGGATCTCAATCCGTCTCTTACGGCATCTTTGATTTGTTGTAAGACGTGATTATTGGCACCCTTGATTAAAATGGTGGCTGATTTAGGTTCTTTGTTTTCAGTGATGTATGTGAATTTATCTTCTCCGATACTATTTTCGTATACTAATCCAGAAAAACCCAAGATGGATGGAGATAAATCGTCGACGGAATTTTGTGCTTCACCGCCGCTGATTAATTGCAATCTTTCCATATTACGTCTCTTCGCTCTTCTCAAAGCTAAAATGCCGTTCTTAGCCAATATATCTAACGACATAGGGTCAATACCCTTCTGGTTTATGATAACGAACCCCTTGTTAGAGTTTAATTCACATACTTCGTTCTTCAAATCGATAATCTTTTTCAACTTTTCATCAACAAATTTTCTTTCTGAAGCAACCAACTTTTCTCTCTGTTCGGCACTAGAGTAGAAGAATCCAGAGTTGACTTCAGTCTTTTCGTACTCTAATGACACGTTCAAAGTCAATACATAGGCGTTTTCGATTCTTCTTGGCATATCTGGATGTCTGGCACCGTGATCTAACACCAACCCCTTGATCAATTCTGTATCTTTGGCACTACCGTGTTGCATGGTCATAATTTCAATCATATGTAAATCCAAATTTCTTTGACCTTCTTCGTATACGGACAACACCGCATCAGTGACAATAGGAGTCAAAACGTCGGTTAATTCGCTATTGACTTTGGTTGACAAAGACGATCTGGCTACTTGCAATAAGAATTCACGGTCAAACTTTTCCGGGGTTGTCTTAAAGCCATCAAGGTATTTTAATGCTTCTTCTCTTGCAATCTCAAATCCATCAACTAATACTCTTGGGTGTACCCCTTCACTGATGAATCTTTCAGCTTCCTTCAACAATTCTCCTACTAACAAAATCACAGTGGTGGTACCATCACCACAAATTTCATCTTGAGCAGTGGCTGCTCTAGCAATCATGACAGCAGTTGGGTGTTGGATTTGCATTTCAGTCAATAAAACCTTACCGTCCTTAGTAAGCTTAAGGTTACCTGATCCATCAACCAATAATTTTAATGTTCCTTTAGGTCCTAAATTGGAAGCTAAAACTTGTTGTAACCCTTGTGCAGCCGCAATGTTTACCTGCAATGCTTGGGAACGTCTTAAAGACTCCGCATTTGGGTTAAGTACTTGAATCGACGAAGACATCCTTGTTTATTCAATGTATCTTCAAGTATACTCTGTTACTTGATTCTTTGTATTTGCCATTTTCTGAACGCGATACATTTTGAGTGAAAAATCTTAGTTGTTACCCGGATATTATAGAAACATTTTGCAGTATATTTAGCCTAAATTATACTATTTATAATCATATATCCATGGCCATGTGTCTATAATAGTTCAAAGGTCATGGTTGGTGTGTTTCAGGCGTTCAAACGCTGTTAAATCAGGCATTATGGGACTACAATCATATAGGGCAAGCGAGAGACACTGAGCACAATTTTCAATAAAAACGAGATTAACTGAAATTCGCAAAAAGTGGTCCCTTGGCCCAGTTGGTTAAGGCGTGGTGCTAATAACGCCAAGATCAGCAGTTCGATCCTGCTAGGGACCATTTCTTTTTTCTTTTACTTTTTATTACCATATTAGTATACTTCAGATTAGAATTACCCATTCCTACCATAATTTTTTTAAAATGGCAGAAGATGCTTATAAAACTGAAGTATTTCAGCCTGCACGAGAGTACTTGTTGAAGTTTCATGACGAAAGAGAATTGGTTATTAGGTTATGTCGGGATATAAATTCATATTCGAAAAAGATGATTTTCACTCTTCACCGAGTCCAAAGTGAGATGTCTTTGGAGTTATATGGCCAATTATTTACCAATTTCAAGATCATTAGTGAAAAATTGTCTATTCTTTATAACAAGTTTCTTTATAATGAGAACTTTGTTCAATTAAAATCGACTGTATCAAACTCAGTTGAGGAGATGATTGAGGCCTTTACTTTTGCATATTACATTATGAATAGAGACGTTTTACCATATGATAAGTTTTCGTACGTAATACGGTGTCTCATATTAAGTCACAATTATAAATTGAACCTGTTCAATACAAAGCTATTAAATTATGCTTTATGTGAGCTATTGTTCGATGTGGTGAAAAACACTATTACAGACGAGGTTGAAGCTCCATACGATAGCGTTGAATTTGAAGTTGATTTCATTTTGCCGGGAGACTACTTGATGGGTTTGTTTGACCTTACTGGTGAAATAATGAGGTACACCATTACACACATTGTCGATGAGAGACTGAAAACCGTAAACCTAAAATCGTTGGAGAATTTGAAGTTCATGAAAAATCTAAACAAGCACTTAAGTGAGCTCTTTCTTAAATTCCCTAACGTTAATATCAATAGAGGTGTGTTTAGTACTGATCGCAATTACAAGGCAGGATCTATAATGGATAAAAAGCTCCTTACATTACAACAATCAATAAGTAAAGTTGAAACAATGATATGCGATATGTCAATCAAAGGCAATGAAGCAATAGATTATAATGATTATAATATATACAATTATTAATACCTACCTAAATTCTAGGAATAGCGCCACCGGGTGATTGGTCGTTTCTAGCAGTTAAAATTTCAACTCCCTCTTCAGTGACTAATAACATTTGTTCAAATTGGGCAGAATATTTACCATCTTGAGTTACTGCAGTCCAGTTGTCAGGCCAGTTCATATCTCTATAAGAGCCTTGACATAACATTGGTTCTATGGTAAAAACCATGCCTGGCTTGGCTACACCCACCGCTTTATTCTTAGCGTAATGCGGAATATTCGGTTGACAATGGAATAATTGGTTGATACCATGACCACAATATGTTCTGACAACAGAACAGTTATTTTTGGTGGCATGCTCTTCAATGACGTTACCTAAGTCTCTAAAAATTAAGCCAGGTTTAACTTGTTGAATTGCCAAGTCTAAGCATTCTCTAGTTGTTTCCACTAAGTTGACAATTTCTGGATTACACTTAGCCTTGTCACCTACGTAGTAGGTTTCGTTAAGGTCAGAGTGGAATCCCAAGTAGTAAATAGTCACATCCAAGTTGATTATGTCACCATCCTCTAGTTTACGTTGATCTGGAATACCGTGACAGATAACTTCATTAATAGATGTACAAATAGACTTAGGGAAATTATAATAGTTCAAAGGAGATGGGTAAGCGTTTCTCTTAATACATTCCTTATGCAAAATAGCATCCAATTCATCTGATGTGATACCTGGTTTAATATGACTGGCTGTAATATCTAATATTTCTCTAGACAATTTACCTACTTTTCTAACCTTTTCGATTTCTTTTTCACTTAATATAGTTATCTTACCAACTCTGTCGTTCTTGATTTCACTAATCGGTCTACCATTTTGTGCATAGTCGGGTACTTTAATATGCTTTGGAATCGCTCTCCTTGGTGATAATGGATAACTTGGTCTCAAATCACCAGAGTAGTTGAAGCTTGGAAATGGATTATAAGGTTCATTCGAACCATCTTCATTCTTATGGGTAGCTTTGTGGTTTCCCCAGTTACTACGGAAGCAAAGTTGGTTACAAAAAACCTTAGTTGTACCTTCTTTTAAACAGACTGGACATTTCAAGGAAGAGGTGGTCTCCTTCCCACAGTTTGAAGCAGCGCAAATGGCAGACATCTCTATAGTTAGTTATTATCTTGAAGCGATAATATTATGGAACCAAATTTTTCAAGATGACCCGTATACAAGTCGTGCGAAATTGCATTATACTATAGATCTATACATTTGTAGATTGATTATTTACTACCTATGCAACAGCAATAGTGTTGAAGGGATTCTCATTCCAAATGAAAACGAGTGGCTTTACTGGAGAGCTGGTTCAATTCCCAAGTTTTCAGGACCAAAACTCAATGGTAATAAATCCTGCAAGAATACTTTGATGAATTTGGATCCATCCAGATTAAACATGAATACAGGCACATTTGGTCCAAATTCTCTAATAAATTGCCTACATATGCCACACGGACTGATTGGCTCTTCTGAATCGCCGCTTATGGCAATTAATTTAAGCTTTTTGTGGCCTTCTGTCTGTCAAATCGTTAGTTCGTTCCATGCTCATTTTGAAATACTTCTCTCGGATTCTAGTTTCATACATACCACTGCTTTTGTTATAGTTGCCCTTTCTGCACAAACCCCCGCTCCATAAGATGCATTTTCGACATTGGCTCCTGTAAACCGTTTGCCTGTGCTTGTCTCTAGCACACACCCAACTCTGTAACGTTAGCATGTCTTCTCGTCAATTACATACTTTATTGTAGCTGTAGACCTGGATATCACCTCAATTTATCAAAATAACGCATATACGTACCTGAATTTCGAATATGGACAATATGCTGAGTTTCGGGCTGCCAGAGTTAGTATGCCTTCTTGTTCTTGTTAGTTCATCAATTACAAAAAAAAACGTACCCTTCAAACATGATTCTCTTAAACTGTCGAATTCCTTGTCTGAGAGTTCCTCGTGGTCATTGTGTATCATCTCTATCGAACTTTACCCTATGTTGATCCCAAAAAGGTTCCTCCTGATCATTTTGGATGCTAAAGCAGCTTGATATGTAAGTTACACAAAATCGCCGTATTGAGATTTCACCAAAAGTTGAGTGGCAAGAGTAATACTTAAAAAGAAGCTATAGCAGTGAAGTATCGTGAATATACCTATTTAAAGAAAATACAGTGTTGATTGATTAGAATTGTATTAATTATTCGTATTTAATTCATTGTTGTTAAAAAGCTAGAAATTAGGACATAAAAATCGAAATAAGCATTGAAAATGTCTACATTAGAAGAATTAGAAAACCAACAAGATGACAGTATAGATCAAGAAATTTTGCAGTCTTCGACGTCAGATATTATGAACAGAACCAGATTATTGGATAATGATATCAAGGTGATGAGATCGGAGTCCCAAAGATTGACACATGAAAAAACAGTTATGTTGGAAAGAATCAAGGACAACCAGGAAAAAATCAATAATAATAAGCAATTACCATATTTGGTCGGGAATGTTGTTGAATTATTAGATTTGAGTGCCGAAAAGGAGGCCACTGAACAAGGAGCCAATGTGGATTTGGATGCCACGAGATCAGGGAAATCGGCAGTGATTAAGACATCGACCAGACAAACGATTTTCTTGCCATTGATTGGGTTGGTTGATCCGGCCAATTTGAAGCCAAATGATCTTATTGGAGTGAACAAGGATTCATACTTGATTTTGGACACATTACCTTCCGAATATGATTCGAGGGTGAAGGCTATGGAAGTTGACGAAAAGCCGACTGAAGATTACTCTGATATTGGTGGGTTGGACAAACAAATTGAAGAGTTGATTGAAGCGGTGGTGTTACCTATGAAACAGGCAGACAAATTCAAAAACTTGGGAATTAAACCTCCAAAAGGTGCCTTGATGTACGGACCACCAGGTACCGGTAAAACATTATTAGCAAGAGCCTGTGCAGCCCAATCTGGAGCAACCTTCTTGAAGTTAGCGGCTCCTCAATTGGTGCAAATGTTTATTGGGGACGGTGCCAAATTGGTTCGTGATGCATTCGCCTTAGCTAAGGAGAAAGCACCAACAATCATATTCATTGATGAATTGGATGCAATCGGTACTAAGAGATTCGATTCCGATAAGAGTGGTGACAGGGAAGTGCAAAGAACTATGTTGGAACTTTTAAATCAATTAGATGGTTTTGGTTCTGACGACAGAGTTAAGGTCTTGGCCGCCACTAACAGAGTCGATACATTAGATCCTGCATTGTTGAGATCGGGTAGATTGGATAGAAAGATAGAATTCCCATTACCATCAGAAGAAGCCAGAGAATCCGTGTTGAAGATTCACGCCAGAAAATTAAACTGTGACAATTCTTCGGTCAACTGGAGAGAATTGGCCAGATCTACAGATGAGTTCAATGGTGCTCAATTGAAAGCTGTCACCGTGGAAGCAGGTATGATTGCCTTGAGAAATGGTAAATCAATCATAAAGCATGAAGACTTCGTCGAAGCCATAGGTGAAGTCCAAGCCAGAAAATCAAAATCGGTTAACTTCTATGCTTAGGTTTCTACGTTTCAGGGCATTCAATGTAAAATAATAATCATTAATTATATATAATTCTAATATACACCAAGGAATTGAATTGCAATTCGTGTAGATCGTATCTCTCCATCGTGACACTCTTCTCTCGCTCATTTAAACACATTCCCTAGGCACTTGGTTTTTGTGCCTTCTTCAATTCTTCTCTTAACCTTTGCGAGAACTCATCTTGGTTGTCATCATCATCCCAATCTTCTTGCCATAAATTTGTTGGATTGATCTGTGGGTTTGGTTCATTGGACCACTTTGTGTCTTCAGGAAAGTCTTCGAATTCATCGTCTTCTTCTAAAGTCTTGATGACTTTCTGTTCGTCTTCATCCTTGGTTGGTAAATTGGTGTTCTTGACTTCTTGTTTTGACATTTCCTGGTACTATTAGTGAAATAACTACTCTTATTGCCACCATTAATCCATTAAGTTCAACCTTGAAGTCTTTTTTTTTTGCACGACCCGATAGATCAGTCACGTGATTAAGAAGATGATTTTTTTTTAAAAAAAAGTTGTACTAGATGAAGGATATAATGACTATATACGTTTGTCATCTATTAAATTGGTAAGGAAAAGAGTGTAATGAAGGAGGTCGTAGTTGATGTTGCTCCTAAGTGCATCAAGGGCATTGAATTCGGAGCTCTATCCGCTAAAGATATCGTTGCACAGTCAGAAGTTGAGGTTCACACCAGAGATTTGTATGATTTAGAAAAAGGTAGAATACCGAAGGACGGGGGAGCTTTGGATACCAAGATGGGTATTTCTTCTAATGCCAATGAATGTGCTACCTGTCATGGTAACTTGGCGTCGTGTCACGGGCATTTTGGACACATTAAATTAGCATTACCAGTGTTCCATGTTGGGTACTTCAAGGCGACGATCCAGGTGTTACAATGCATTTGTAAGAACTGTTCAGCAGTTCTATTGGATGAGCAGACTAAGAGAAGCTTTTTGAACGACTTGAGAAGGCCACACATCGATAATTTGAGAAGAATGAAGATATTGAAGAAATTGTTAGAACAGTGCAAGAAGCAAAGAAGATGCTTTAACTGTAATCATGTTAATGGTGTGGTCAAGAAGGCTGCGAGTGGAGCAGGTCCAGCGGCGTTGAAGATTGTACATGATACTTTCAGATGGATAGGTAAGAAAGCAACCCCTGAAAAAGACCTCTGGGACAAGGAATTTGATGAGGTTTTCCTGAGAAATCCTGAATTAGAAAAGTTTGTCAAAAGAATCCATGATGATTTGAACCCTTTAAAAGTATTGAACTTATTTAAACAGATATCTCCATCTGATTGTGAGTTACTAGGTATTGATTCGGCAAGAGGAGGTAGACCGGAGATGTATATCTGGAGATATTTACCTGCACCACCTGTCTGTATTAGACCTTCAGTCATGATGGATGCGCAATCGAATGAAGATGATTTGACAATCAAATTGACAGAAATAGTTTGGACATCTTCGTTAATTAAAGCTGGTATTGAGAAAGGTATTTCGATTAACAATTTAATGGAGCAATGGGACTATTTACAATTATCGGTTGCTATGTATATTAATTCTGATTCAGCTAATCCTGCATTGTTACCTTCCTCAGGGGGTGGTTCAAAATCATCAAAGCCAATTAGAGGTTTCTGTCAAAGATTGAAAGGTAAACAGGGTCGTTTTAGAGGTAACTTATCGGGTAAGAGAGTTGATTTCTCCGGTAGAACAGTCATTTCTCCGGATCCAAATTTAAAAATTGATGAAGTTGCTGTCCCTGATAGAGTAGCGAAAGTATTGACATATCCCGAGAAGTGTACTCGTTATAACCGTAAGAAATTGCAAAAATTAATTTTGAGTGGTCCAAATGTTCATCCTGGTGCTAATTATGTTTTGAAACAGAACGAACTGGCAAAGCGAAACTTGAGATTTGGTGACCGTGTTAAATTAGCGAAGAACTTGCATATAGGTGATGTTGTGGAAAGACATATCGAAGACGGAGATATTGTTTTATTCAATAGACAGCCTTCCTTACATAGATTATCCATTTTATCGCATTACGCAAAAATCAGACCGTGGAGAACTTTCCGTCTTAATGAATGTGTATGTACTCCTTATAATGCTGATTTTGATGGTGATGAAATGAATATCCACGTTCCTCAAACTGAAGAGGCCAGAGCAGAAGCAATTAATTTGATGGGTGTTAAAAATAATTTATTGACACCTAAATCTGGTGAGCCAATCATTGCTGCGACACAAGATTTTATTACAGGATCCTATTTGGTCTCTCACAAAGATTCCTTTTTCGATAGAGCTTCCTTAGTTCAACTTTTATGTATGATGTCAGATGCAGATATTCAATTTGATATTCCTCCACCTGCAATCTTTAAACCAGTTATGTTATGGACCGGTAAACAAGTTTTCTCCTTGTTAATTAAACCTAATAAGAAATCCAATGTTGTTATTAACTTGGACGCAAAGAATAAAACGTATACACCTCCTGCGAAAGGTTTCCCTAATGAAATGTCGCCAAATGATGGGTTTGTTATTATAAGAGGTTCACAAATTTTGAGTGGTGTCATGGATAAGTCGACATTAGGTGATGGTAAGAAGCATTCAGTTTTCTATACCATATTGAGAGATTATGGCCCGGACGAAGCGGCGAATGCTATGAATCGTATGGCTAAGCTTTGTGCAAGATATTTGGGTAATAGAGGGTTTTCGATTGGTATTAATGATGTCATCCCTGGTTCTGATTTAAAGCAGAAGAAGGAATTAATGGTTGAACAAGCTTATCTTAAGTGTGATGAGTTAATTGATTTGTATAACAGGGGAAAGTTAGAGACCCAACCCGGGTGTAATGAGGAGCAAACGTTGGAGGCAAAGATTGGTGGTTTATTGTCCAAGGTTAGAGAAGAAGTCGGGGAAATTTGTATCAATGAATTGGATTCTGCTAATGCACCATTGATTATGGCAACTTGTGGTTCTAAAGGTTCTACATTAAATGTGTCTCAAATGGTGGCTGTTGTTGGTCAACAAATTATTTCTGGTAATCGTGTTCCTGATGGATTTCAGGATAGATCTTTACCTCATTTTACGAAAAATTCTAAAACTCCTCAATCTAAGGGTTTCGTCAGAAATTCATTCTTCAGTGGTTTAACCCCTCCTGAGTTTTTATTCCATTCTATTTCTGGTAGAGAAGGTTTAGTTGATACTGCTGTCAAAACTGCAGAAACTGGTTATATGTCAAGAAGATTGATGAAATCTTTGGATGACTTATCAGCACAATATGATCATACTGTTCGTAATTCTTCAAATGGTATTGTTCAATTTACATATGGTGGTGATGGCTTAGATCCGTTTGATATGGAGGGTGATGCTAGACCAGTCAACTTTGTTCGTCAATGGGATCATGCATATAACATTACTTTTGACATTGAAGATAAAGGATTGTTACCATATCAAATTATTGAATTGGTAGATTCTATTTTGCATCCATTAGAAGATAGATTGGTGAGGTATGACAATGTTGGTAAAATTATCCCATTGGAAGATAGTGATAAAATTGAATATATTGATCAGAATGATGCTGAAAGAGAATTCTACCAATCCATAAGAGAATTTACAACTAGTAAGGCTACAAAATTAGCAGAAATTAGAGAAAATAAAATGTTAAAGCCATTCTTGACTAAACCTGCAGAAGATTTCATCAGGGTTGACGAAAGTGTTGAAAGTTTGGTTGCTGTTAATCAATTATTGAAGGTTTCAGCAAACTCAATAAACAAGTTTTTGGAGCAATGTATTTACAAATACTCAAGGGCTAAGGTTGAGCCTGGTACTGCTGTTGGTGCTATCGGTGCACAATCTATCGGTGAACCTGGTACCCAAATGACGTTGAAGACTTTCCATTTTGCTGGTGTCGCGTCCATGAATGTTACTTTAGGTGTGCCTCGTATTAAAGAAATTATCAATGCATCTAAAGTTATTTCGACTCCAATTATCAATTCCGTATTAGTCAATGATGATGATGAAATAGCAGCCCGTGTTGTAAAAGGTAGAGTTGAAAAGACTTTATTAGAAGACGTTGCTTACTTCATTGAAGATGTCTATAAGAATAATATGGCATACTTATCCATTAAGATTGATTTAAATACAATTGAAAAATTGCAATTGGAATTGAACATTGAAAGTATTGCTCATTCCATTGCTAATGCACCAAAGCTAAAGATTTTGGCGGGCGATGTCTCAGTTACTGGTAAGGACAGAATTAACGTATTAGTGACCTTGAGAGAACCTAAATCAATCAATTTAATGAAGAATGCTGCTGCTGATTATAAGGGAACTGATGCATCGAACGTAACTTCATTGTTCTTCAGAATGCAACATTTGAAGAGAGCCTTACCTAGAGTCTGTATTAAGGGTTTACCGGATATTTCTCGTGCAGTTATTAATATCAGGGATGATGGTAAGAAAGAGTTGTTAGTTGAAGGTTACGGTTTGAAGGAGGTTATGAGTACCGATGGTGTGGTAGGTACCAAAACTTCGACTAACCATATACTTGAGGTGTTCCAAGTGTTGGGTATCGAAGCCGCCAGAGCTTCTATTATTGGTGAAATTGATTATACTATGAGTAAGCATGGTATGAGTGTTGATCCTCGTCATATTCAATTATTAGGTGATGTCATGACATATAAGGGTGAGGTATTGGGTATCACAAGATTCGGTTTGAGTAAAATGAGGGATTCCGTATTACAATTGGCATCTTTCGAAAAGACTACTGATCATTTGTTCGATGCCTCCTTCTATATGAAGAACGATAAAATTGAAGGTGTTTCAGAATGTATTATTCTTGGACAAACCATGAATATTGGTACTGGTGCGTTTAAGTTAGTAAATTCCTTCAACGTAGATAAAAAAGCTTTGGAGATGAAACCTACCTTGTTTGAAGGTATGTGTGAAGTTTCAGCTACAGCATAAGTTTATAATAATGTATTTTAAATGGTCTATTGTATATATAATAAAGTTCTAGTTTATTTTGCAAGCATTGTAAGGTCGCAAAATTGCGTACAAATAAATAAAAACAAAATCATTACCATTCTCTTTAGATAAAATAGCATTAAACAACCAAATTCTTTATCACAATGAGTACGAGGGATTCTACGTTCTCGTATGTACATTTAGATGATCCGAATCAAGTGATTTATATGGAAAAATGGGAAGATGATCCTATACCTTTCAATGATATCGATACACAGTCACTAATAGAGGCAACAACAACCTTGTTCCCTCAGTACTTACTAGAAGAAGAAGAAGACAGTGGTCTACCAATAAGTTCTTCAACGTTCGGTACAAAAGTATATAAGAATAGGAAACTTTTAAAAGATAAGGCTTGGAGTGATTTGGCAATATTTGATAAATTCATGGACGAATCAAGTTCGTTGCATAAGCAAAAAGATAAAACCATATTGAAATCTGTATACACTAGACTGTCTAATAATGCATATGAAACAGTAGATGAACCAGAAGAGTTTACTATTGCAGAATTTTTATCTAATGGATATAATCCTAGTGATACAATGGATATACTATCACCACCTGATATGGTCAATGATAGTATAATGGGGAATAACGCAGGCGATATTTCAATTAATTCTACGTCTGATTTGTTGGTGCCGGGAAATAATACATTTTCGATGAATTTAAGAACGAATTCTGGAAATAATTCGAGCCATCAGAATGCTGTGATGCAAACTCCTAGAATTGGAAGATCGAGGCAGCCGTCAACTGATAAGATTTTTCAGACACCTGTAACAAGAATAATGAGATAGCGATTACGTTACATAGCTACAATACGTAATCGACTTTGCTGCTACATTCATGAAATCTAAGTGTCCGCTGTATATTAATTAAAGCCTTTCATGTTGTTTGCAAATTAACATAAATATTTATACAAGTAATAGAAATAAATAATTCCGACGAAAATCACACAAGTAAGGTGATCTTGTCTGTTTCTATTTCATTCTTTAATTCAAATAGTCTAATTTTTCTCTTTTCAGCTTTTTCTGATCTTCTTTTAATCCTAACCATAGCTAGCACAAATTTCGACAAAGCTTTGAACGATAGTTTATTGCCCTTTTGTAATTTTTGCAAACTCATTGAGGCATAATCTGGGTAGATGCCGCATTGAGTTAATTTTATAATATCATTCTTAATTAACCTATTAGAATTCTTTATTGCATTCATAACAAATTGATACATGACTTCTAAATCATTAGACCTCAAATTTATATCGTATAATTTTGCCCTATAGTAATGTAATTCATTCTCCAAAAGTTTAACTTTGTTATTATTTGAAGAAGAAATATGGGTTGATGCAAATCTTGAATTAATGTTGTCTAATTTATCTTGCAAATATGAATTGTGTGCTTGTAAATCACGGTATTTGCTTGTTAAATGAGATTTGTTCCAATCATTATTCTCAGATTTATATTTATCATTAATCATTTCCCGTTGCTTGAATTCCTTTACTTTGTTAGCTAGCTTAGAGCAATGCCTTGTAGTATTATTCAATTCTTGTGTTAGCTTTTTCATTCTCATTTCAAGCTGGCTATTTTCTAATTTAACATATTTTTCATTCTTGTCAAGCGCATTAGTAAGTTCAACTAGTTGTTCATTGTCTTTTTGTAGCTTTTCATACTTCCATTTAAAGTCATCACTTGTAGCTATTTGCTCGCTAAGTTTCTGAGAAATTTCATTTCGTAAAGCTTGAGAATCTTCTAATTGTTTTTCAAGTAATAAAACAATAGATGAGGATTGATTTTCATAATTTCTTTTGTTGTGGTTATTATTATTATATATGTCTTCCTCTTGACGTTGCAATAAAATCTCTAGTTTATTCTTATAGAAATTGATTTGAGTCTCAAATTCTTTTTGTAGATTTTCATTCTCAAGTTGCAATAGTCTCATCTTTGATTCATTGTTTGACTTAGCTTTTAGTAACTCGGTTTTTTCGTCATCTTCAACAAGAAATTTCAATTTGTTATTACGGTCAACCTCTCTAACTCTAGTCTCCAAATCTTCAATTATAGACTCTTTATCATCAATAATAGTTTGAAGCTTTCTACACTTTGAGTCTAATTCCCTAAACTTAATTTCATTATCATCAGCTGTGAACTGTAATTTATTTTTTTCCATGAGTAGTTTTTGATATTCAGAGTCCAAATATTGATTGTTAAAATCAACAGGTTTATTATTTTTTGTAAATTCTAATTCATTTGTAACTCTTTTTAAGTCAAATTTTAAAGAATCAACTTCTTCGATCAACTGCCTTCTATCAGTTTCAAGTTGTTTTCTATTGAAGTTTTCCAACTCAATTAATGCTGAATTATTCAGTTTGGAAGAATTACTTTTCAATTGTTTCAGCAATAATTGATTTTCATTTTCTAAGTTGATAATTTTTTCATCAGCTTTTAATTGTTGGCTTTTAAGAGAATCAGACTCCAATTCAGCATTATTAAAGGCTTTTTCTAAAATTTCGTATTCATTTTCATAATATGTGAGCTTGTCTTGAAGTTCATTTTTCTGCTCCTGAAGCCTTTTTAATCTTTGGTCGTGATTGTTCGAATTGGTATTAATTTGGTAAAGCTGATCTTGCAACTCAGATATCTCAATTCTTAATTTGTTATTCTGTTCTGCATTTCTCGTCTCTTTAAGTTTCAAAGATTCGATTTCTGATTCATAAAACTTATAATCATTATCATTGTTAGACGTCCTCTGATCAAGTAAAGCTTTGATCTGGCTCCTCAAATTATACTCTTCCTTGTCTTTCTCTTTCAATTCTCTTGTTAATGAATCAACCTTCCTACCAAGTTTATCGACAATATTTTTATCATCATGAACACTGCTCATCATCTTATTTAAATCATCATCCTTCTGTTCTAGCATATTCTTGGCGTTCATATATTTGTATTCAAGATCTTTAATCTTTGAATTTAAATGCATTATTTCCTGCTTTGATTGGCTAAGGTTATCGTTATTTGAATGTGTAGATCCCTTATATTCAGAATTCAAATATTCATATTTATCCTTCCAGTTTGATAAATCAATTTGCAAATCTCGGATTTGGGCATTCTTATTATCCAATTGTTCGTGAATATCATCGAAGTTATTGCCAACAGCATCATTGTCGTGTTCTAGTTGATTAATAGTGATTTTTAACGAGTCGATCTGTCGTCTTAACGACTGGTTATCCAGTTGCAAATACTCAAGTTTATCCAACAATTCATCAGACACATGGCTGTTACTACTTTTAGAAGCCATCTCGTTTTGCATGGACATAATTTGTCTTTCATATTCGGACAATTTGGCTTCTCTCTCACTCAAAAGTTGCTTATATTCCAGCCTTACTTCCTCTATGCTTTGCGCTGAAAATCCGGCATTCTCCTTGTTGGACAGATATTGTAAATCTGTTATCGTTTCTTTTAACTGTTTTATATCTCTTGCAGATTCCATGAGCTGTTGCTTCAAATCGATGTTCTGCGTGACCAATTCACGTTGTTCTTCTGGCGTTTGATCAAAAAATCGTGTGAGTGTAGCCAACTTAATTTTCAAATTGTAATTTTCTGTTTCAAGCTTGTGGTTTTCCAGTTGTTGTTCTTTAATTGAATTCATCCCATTACTCAAAATATGATTCCGCTCGGGGTACAATTTAGGCGGTATAGACGTTGCCGTATTCTTACTCGAAATAGGTGGCTTCAGGAACGAATTGATAGTCGTGTTGAAGTTATCTAGCGTATTATCGAAACTCGACTCGTTAAACGACTGGTTTATTTTATGTTCGTTTAAGGGTCGTCTTGCTGTATATGTAGACCTTGACTTAGATTTTGGCGGTGATAAATCATACCCTCCTATATTTCCATTGTTTTTGCTTTTCGAAACGCCTATAGGCGTAAACTCAAGTTTATTCTTGTTAGACCCGTTGGATACTCGATGAGGAGTTCCTAACAAATTCTTTCCGGAAAATAAACTCATCGATACCTATAACTCAATTTTCTTCCGGTAAAAAGTTCTTCGTCGAGTTATCTTTATTCGGAAGTATTGTTTATACACCAAACTAGTTATCTTCTAGTTCTGTTTAATCTAAATCAAAGGGTTTAATCCTAATACTGTTATCTATGTGGTTTGTTTGTTTACAGTTGAAGAAAGAAGCGCGACACAAAAAATTGATCACATGATTTCTCTTTCATATGGTTCCACTTGTCCAACAGTATATCATATAACATTACTGAAGCCAACCCATAAACGTAGAGGGGTAGCTGTAAGTTCTTAGGTTTATAGATTGTTGAAAAATGGCATAAAATCCATACTTATTGGAAATCAGTTTCAATGCAAGGGGATTTGTGGAATGAACAACAACTGATGTCATTGGCTGTGAAAAGTTCTGTATATCTAGGAACCTTAGTGTATGTCGTCTATAATGCTATATATTACATATAAATAGTCTTGAATTCGTTTTGTTGAAAGATAGCCATGAATGACTCTTACATATCCTTTATAGCTTCTTTGAAGTTGTCTAAACAACTCATGGCAGCACCACTGAGAATGGATTTCTTTGCAATCTCAACACCTTCAGCCCATGATTCAGTAAGACCAGCTACTACTGCTAATGCTGCACTGTTTAATAAAATGTAGTCAACAATCGGGTGGTTTGGTTCATCATTCGAGTTGATTTTGAAGTCAGGGTGGTCTTGACGTAAAATATGCAATAATATCTCGGCATTTTCTTTGGAGGTTCCAGATTTAACCTTGCTGATTTCGTTTTCTGGTAAATTGAAATCCTTTGGAGAAATAATCTTCCTGGTGATCTTGCCATGTTCGTCGATCAACCAACATTTTGTTATACCAATAGGCGAGATTTCATCGAGGCCGATATCTCCAAATACAACCATAGTTCTGTTGTGAACATCGCTTTCTGATGCCAATTTGGCTGCTGCTTGTGCGTATGACTCGCCTAGTTTTTCACTGTAAACACCTAAAATTCTTGCTCTGATCGGAATTGGATTAATCAATGGACCCAAAATATTGAAAATGGTTGGAACGCCCAACTGTCCTCTTATTGCCGCTACCTGTTGCATTCCGGGGTGGAATGCTGGCGCAAACAAAAAGCAGAAGTTCGTTTTCTTCACGATAGCAGGAACCGTTTGGCTGGTAACCTTCATCAATTCAACACCCAAGCAATTCAACAAGTCACCAGAACCCGATGTAGAAGTCGATGCTTTACCTCCATGTTTACACACAGGTAATCCCATACCCGCAGCCACGATGGCCGATGATGTGGACACATTGAACGTATTCTGGCCGTCACCTCCAGTACCCACTATATCTATGTATCCTCTCGAATCCACTAAATCGGATGGTATGATATTCGAAAACTCTAGTATAGTTCTAACGGCTGCTGCAATAAAATCAGGTTCATGGTCTAATCCTCTCATTCTTAATGCCGTCAAAAATGATGCAGTCTGAATATCTGAAGGTATACCTTTAAATATACATTTTAGTACCATGGCCAAATCATTTGCAGTTAGATTTGGCGGTTCTAAAAATAATGACTTGATATATGGTGTCAAAATGTTCTTACTAGTGGTAGTCATCCTCTTTCAATCTATAATTCTTTCTATTAATTTAACAAAGTAAAATATATTAGTTTCACTTGCATTATGGTGACTAATTTTTTTTCACGACGCACTTTCAAAATTATCACGAATTGATCAATTATATTACATATTATACTAATATACAGTTTAAATACTACATCGATTACTGTTCTTCTTCATTTTCGTCTTCAACTTCTGCTTCTTCGCCTTCTTCGACATCTATTTCAAGAGAAATTTCTTTGTCAGCATCAACATACGAATCACACATGCACCAAATCGATAAGTTATGGTGACCAGCATTTGGAATAGTGAATTCCATCTTTATGCGTTGAGATTCTTTATCAATAGTAGCTTTTTTGATAGCGTACAATTGTCTAGAGCTTGCATCACCTATAACAATCCACCATGACTCTTTTTTAGAGAATGGGTAAAAAGGAGCCACAACATTTAAATCATCCATATCTTCATCTCTTTCCAACTTTATGATGATTTCCTTAGGTTCGTTAGACTTTAGTGTCTCAGACAAATCTAATTCGTAGCTGATATCAATATTAGGGTATTGGTTAACAAATTCTGCAACCTTATTTAACTTGTCATCGCTTAATCTCAATATATCATTTCTTTCTTCATCTTCTAGAGACATGATATCATAAACAGTATCGACTTTACCTTTTTTGCATCTATTCAAAATTGCTTCATCAAAATATGGAACTTGTTTTAAAGGGTTATCTCTATTCCAGACAGCTTGCACGATCATTTGAGACAAATCCATAGCGTGAATCGCATTCAAGTATCCTTCACTAGACAAGGTATCAATACACGCATATAATATCTTAAGAGCGCTTTCCAATACAACTTTTTGGTCATTAGCTAAATCTAGTGGCAATGGAATTCTTGAAAAATGGGCTTGCAAGAGCAAGAATGCTTTGAAATATGGCGACTCGTAGTCAACATCTGACGCTTTAACCGGTACCTTGTTATGTACCTTGCTTAGGATTGCTTCTTCATTCTGTCTAATTGGCAATACATCAAATTCTGATGCTGATGTGATAATCTCTAGAATACCCTTTAACTTTGTCTTGTTTCCTAATCTATTAAATTCCTTTATCGTGTTAAACGAAACATTATAGTAAGCAGAAATCATTGCTCCATTCAATGGCACAATTTCTTCCTCTTCTTCTCCTGACTCTTCGCTGTCTTCAGATTCCTCGATTTCAATTATCTTAGCTTCCTCTAGTTCTTTCAATGTGCCTTCAACCAATACAGACAAGAATTCTGAAATACCAAAATGAGATGTATCCTTAACATCATAAAAGCTTGGATTTGCTAAAAGCCTTCTATAGAAGTAAGTAAATGTTAACCAGTCAATACAGTCCTGTCTAGTCTTGAAAGTCCTCGTACTAACCTCCGTTATAAAAGCGTCATGTAAAGACACATTCAAGAAACTCTCAATTGGTAAAGCTTCGTTTAAAAACTTGTTGTAATAATTCAATTTCGCTGAATTAGTGAATATTAATGACTTGGCTTCATTGACATCATCTTTGCAGCATCCTACCATTTCTAATATATTGTTAATGGAATAGTCAATAAACCTATGCTCCTTTCCTTCAAATTCTTGAGTACTAAGGACAACAATATTATTCGCTGACGGGCAATAATAACATGTGTCTTTTGAAGCAACCAAAATACTTAAAACATTGTTATTAAATAACTTTTCAATGATTAATTTGTCTGTCTGGCTCATATTAATATAATAAAGCCCTATACCATGAGAAAGACATTCCCTTAAACTCTTATCTGTTATCCTTTTCAAGTATGGCTCTAAAATTTCTATATCTGTTCTTAACAATGGCCAATGGTCGTTACTTGAGTGTTGAATATACTTAAAGGCGGTCTCAATACACTGTTTTCTGGTTGGTACAAAAACAATCGATTTACCTTCATTAGTATTATCTTTCAAGAATTGATACGAAGGTCTAATCAATGATTGCATGAAAGAATCATTATCATTGAAGTTAGAAGCCTGAAGTCTAATTTCTTTGATTTTGTTGAACCTATTTGAAGGATCAAAATTAAACACATTCTGCTTCGTGCATCCAATCCATTCTCCAAAATCCCTACCGTTTGACAAAGAATTAGACAAGGCTATTATTCTTAAACCATTCTCTACCTGCGTAGAAATGAGTCTCATACGTGCAACAAGGATTTCATAGGCAATACCTCTAGATCCATTACCAACCATATGCGCATCATCACTTATAAGCATTTCAATTGCCTGAACTGATTTTCTTTGTCTCCAACGTCTTGAAACAAATTCAAATTGTTCAGGTGTTGCCAAAACCAAATGACTGGAAGATAATAAACCAATATCTGTAGTTAGATCACCACTTAACTTATTGATTACTTTGCTAGGTTCCGTTATTTTGGAGTAATTTTTTCTCCATATCTTGAGTTGCCTGTCGATGATCTCCTGGGTAGGATTGATGTAGACAATCCTTCCTTTATTTTGTTTCCAATGATTCAAAATTGCCAATTCTGCGCATACAGTTTTACCACAACCTTTTGATGCCCCAATGAAAACATTTTCATTAGAATTGAATAAAGCTTGGAAAACTTGTGATTGAAATTTGTTGAAATAACTAAATTCAAAGGTTTCAATGAACTCGGGTATCTTCAATGATGCAGTTGGAATACTCTGTAAATCTAATAGATCTGTAAACGGCGGGAATTTCTTTGGGATTTTCAAGTCGGTAATTACCAATGGAACCCTCCACTCAGAATGCAACCACTTCTCGTTTATAAGGGTGATGAAATATACTGGCTCAACGGGGTCTAAAATTGGTATTGTGAATTCCACTAAATGCTCCTTCTCGGCATTGTTTCTATAAATACGCAAGTAGTCTGAAAAGAGGATCTTTTCTCCGTCACAATCTTCGACTAGCAACCAAAACAGCTCAAAATTTCCATGAATGCTTGGATTCCATTTCCAATCAGGAATAACTTCAAGCTGAACTCTAAGTAAACTAGTGGTTATAGGTTGTGCATATGTGTTTAATGTTAGCTTTGGAAATTGGCGTAACAAGTCGTATGCCTTCTGGCTATTGCCTTTAAAATTAATCGCTTCTGCAAGTTCGGAAGCATTAAGGTTAAAATAACTCACCCAAGGCAAATGGGAATTTTCACTTGCCTTCACGATCTCTCTTGGTACTAGTGTTCCAAATTGTCTGAATGGAGAATTTGTTAACCACATTCTTTTTTCCACCATTTTGCATAAGTCTAAGGTAATCTTTGATAATGCCGACCAATTTTTTCGCAATGTAATTTCGTGAATAGCCCTCAATAGCCTTCCACCAGATTGTGTGATATAGATCATATCAGCCATCAATGCAAACCCATCTAAAGTTAATCTCGAGATGTATGCTTGAAGTAAAACATTTACCTTAGCCAACGGATCATTTGGATTTTCTCTTATGGGAAAGGGACATTTTTCCAATAATTTAGCCACCTCTATTTTTTCCTCTTGTCTAACAGGAATAAATTTAAATTCACCAGACATTGAAAAAATCTTCAAAATATCTATCTCTGTCAGCCATGGCTTTAGCTGATTATTGTACATGTTGATGGTCTCGTAATTAATATAATAATGCGATGATATCTTCCCTAATTCTGTAGATTTTATGTCTCCGTTTTCATGACTATATACAACTAATTTGTTCTCATGTAAAATCGTCAAAGCAGAGTGAATCAAATCAACTCGTTTCCAATAAAGATTTTCATCATCTTTATAATCAGCACCAACGTGATATAATGCAGGAGATCGAAGCATCCGAATATACAAGTAGGTATAGCCTAACCAGTTAACAGCATCTTCTCTAGATTTTATTGTTCCTAAAACAATTTCCGCATTAAGATTATCAGCCAATTTAGTCATAAGCTGAGACTCGATTGGAAGCTGTTGATTCAAAATAGCAAGGTAATATTGAATTTCGTCCTGAGAGGTAATAATAACCCCTTCACCACTCTTATCATACCTTGGTCTACCTGCTCTACCAAGCATTTGCAAGATATCTTGAGGCGATAATTGAACCCATGTACCTCTTTCAGGACTATATGTTTCTGTCCCTTTAATAACCACAGTATGTGCTGGTAAATTAACACCCCATGCTAAGGTAGCCGTAGATACCAAAACCTGAAAGTGACCTTGTGCAAACAAATCTTCAACAACGCTTCTTTCTCGTTTATTCAAACCGGCATGATGTATACCGAAACCAGCAGGTACAATTTCTTTCAAGCTTCTGTTGTCCATCTCTTCGGCTTCCAGTTTTAATATTTCTCTAGAACCAGAATCCAGTTTTAAAACAACATCTAATTTGTCTTCCTGTAGTAGTTTTTCATGCAACCATTTTGCAGTTTTATAAGTATCCTTTCTTGAATGAACAAATATAATCATCTGATGTTTATTATTAGCACAATCTAACAATTTATCATAACAAGCTTCATTCATTGCACTTAATTTCTTAATTGCTTTTTTCTCTTTGATTCCAATGAATTGCTGTTCTAATGGGCATGGTCTATATGAAGAATCAAAGTAGAATAATCCCTTATCGAAATCAACTCTCAAAAGATTCGCAACATCCTCATAATTAGGCAAAGTAGCGGAAAGACCAACTAATCTTATAGGATCATTGGTATACTCCACTTGACGTAATGTTCTACTAATTATACTTTCCAATACAGGTCCTCTTTCATCATGCAACAAATGAATTTCATCAATAATAATTAATCTTGTCAAGTTCGTGTAAGATAAGTCAGAGCTTTTTCTAGTTATTACATCCCATTTCTCTGGAGTAGTAACTAAAACTTGAGTTTCACTGATTTGCTGTTTAGATAAACTGGAATCACCAGTCAACTCATTGACGATTATTCCAAAATTTGCTGTTAAACGTCTCTGAAACTCCCTCATTTGTTCTTGAACCAACGCCTTCAATGGTGCAATATAAACAATCTTAAAGTTCCGAAGATCCAATTGTCCAGTTTCAGGATCTCTGTAATTATGAATAGCTCTCAAAATAGTAAGCATCGCAACATTAGTCTTACCAGCTCCTGTCGGAGCACAAATCAATAAATTCTCGTCTGAATTAAATGCCAGTGGGTAAATTTTGGATTGAATACGGTTTAAGGATGACGTTTCCGAAGAAGGGAAAACACATCTAGTCCACTTTGGTAATTCAGAAATAGAAACAAGTTTTTCGTTGCTTTCTTCTAATGATGGGGGTGGTGATGGCGGCGGAATGCTAATCACGTCATATAGTTTCTTGTTTTGTTGATACGAACCTTGGGGAAGTTTTATTTTTGTATTAGTCATTAAGTGCGAACCTTGGTCAAAGCTCATTGAGTCCAAATCAACAATCTTAGGTTCTCTCTTGGGCTTTATTATGCTCGTTTTAGTCTTTTTATTAGACTCATCGCCGTCGTCTTGGGATAGCTTCCTTTTTTTACCAGGGGTTGCATCTTCACTCTGAGTTTCAAATTCCAAAATCAAAGAATCAAGCTTTAATTTTGTCATATCCTCCAAAATTTTTTGTTTGGATTCCTCGCTTTCATTTTCTAGGAATTTAATCTTGAATACCAATCTCCAACGGTTCTCTATAGAAAACTTTATGAGATCAAAATGTTCGTAATTCATTAATTCCATTAACTCATTTTCCAATTCTCTCGTTGATAATTCATAAGATGATAAAAATTGCATGAATTTATTAGTGACTTCTTGTATACTAGAGGGATCCGAGTCTACTAAAGTGGATGAGATTTTTCTTTGAAGGTAAAATTGATCAATTTCATGTAATGGAACCACAATGGTTTCCTTTGTAGAAGGTTTATCGTTAGATTTTATTACTGCCTCGTCATTAAAGCCATTTTCTGCTTCCTCACTAGCTTCTGGTTGTTGTTCATCTTCAACCTCTTCCGCGACGTTATGTTCTGTTCCGACATCTTCTTCCTCGTCACTATTGTCAAACATAACAGCAATGCCTTGATCATTATCTTCATCATCCATATCTTCAGATATCATTTGGATGTCGTAATCAGTAATTCTCTTTGCCAAATTAATCAATCCATTGAACTCAATATCGTTAATTTTTGTATCCAATAATTCTGTAATCTCTTTCCGCTTTTCAGCAGGAGGAGTGTCTTCTTGTTTCAATATTTCTAATACTGAATCAGCCGCTGATATTATAACATCATGACTAGAATCCGGCAAGAAATTGTGGATTTCTACCATTATTAAGTCAAATATATGAGCAGTCTCTTCATTGGTAGGATGATAAGAAATATTCTCCAAAGTCCCAGTATACGAATAGTTATTAGTATTTGACTGCTTCGGTATATATTTTTCTTTTATTACTGGCTTATCATTAGTCTTTTCTTGGGAAACCCTCGTACCCATATCTTTAACTGATATTTGGCCCGCTAATGAAACTGGATTAGACTCATCCTTGTCATCTCTTCGGCGAGTACGATCGTCTCGCAAAACCTTGTTTGACATTTCCTCATACTTGTATTGTTTGTTAAACTCTGGATCGGGTTCTGTCATCTTTGTTCAATAAGTCTATGTTGTATTCAGTATCTAAGATATATTTCACTATAAACTCATTACTGTTTTGCAAAATTAGTTTTGTGTAACTTTTCATCTTTCATGGTGAACTATCAAACACTTCATCAAAACAACTTGTTCATGACAAGAATGCCGAATAATCACTCCAGCGAGTGAAATTGTTGCATAGTGCAAGGCTATTCTACAGCAGAGTACATTTCATATTAAATTTTGTTTTATTAAAAGAAAACTAATAAACAATGGATGATGGTCATAATCTATAGAATGGCATCTCGTTTTAGTGGGATCAAAAAAATTAGTAAACCCTGTTGGAGAAAGTACCCTTTTCAAAGTTCCAGGTGTCATCGGATATTCTACCTCTTAATTCCTTGATTTCAGAGCCAGGAACGTAGACGTCTTCGAATAAGATATCCATCTTAGCTTCAGGTGGAGCATCGGCTTCAGCTTCAGCAACTTGTTCGTCGACGTATTTTCTAGCAGCCTTATCGTAAGACTTAATTTCTTCTTCAGTAGCAATGTCTAATTCTAATAAGGTGGCCTTTAATCCAGAAATTGGATCGTTTCTAGATCTCATGTGTTGAACTTCTTCTCTAGTTCTATAAGTGGTACCAGGGTCAGACATGGAGTGACCACCGTATCTATAGGTTTCGTATTCCAAGACTAATGGACCGTTACCCGAGGTACACCAGTCCTTAGCAAACTTGGAGGCTTGGTAACAAGCCAAAATATCCATACCGTTGACCTTTAAACCAGGAATGTATTGACCTCTCTTGTAGTATTCGGTCATAGCAGACGATCTTGAGGCAGAAGTACCCATACCGTACTTGTTGTTTTCACACGCAAAAACACATGGCAAGTCCCATAACTTGGCCATGTTGTACGATTCGAAAACTTGACCTTGGTTGGAGGCACCATCACCGTAAAGGTTGAAAGTAACGTTTTTGTCACCCCTGTACTTGTGAGCAAAAGCTAAACCGGCTCCCAATGGAACTTGTGCACCCACAATACCATTACCACCATAGAATCCTTGTGCATACATGTGCATCGAACCACCCTTACCGTAAGAAACACCTGATCTCTTACCCATCAATTCTCCCAAAACTTCCTTGACAGATGCCCCTCTCATGTATGTGAATCCGTGACATCTGTACGACGTAATCACGGAATCCTTCTTGTTAATAGCAGCCTCGATACCAACAGCAACCGCTTCTTGTCCAATCGACAAGTGACAGAACCCTCTGATCTTCTTGGCCTTGTACAAAGCGTCCGAAGCCATTTCCATTCTTCTGATAATGATCATGTCCTTGTACATCTGCAATAACGTATCCTTTTCAGTCTCGAAGCTTAATTCTGGAATTTCCAAGTTGTACCCTTCGAATGATGATTCTGGCAATTTGATGCTAACTAAGTCGCTGGATGCGCTGGCCATGGTTCTTCTGCCCATGACACCGGCGCTCCTAGCCAATTGGTGTGTAATGCTACGGCTAATCATATTATCTCCTTCCAATTATACTTTAACGTAATAATATCCCGGTATGTTACTTCTTCTCTTCTTATATCTGGCTCATCTTGGTTAACGGATTGTAGAAATCCGCCTACTGGGAGAGAACCGGACCCGTCGTGCAAGAACCGAGCCATTCTTCGGGGGTGTAAGTCCAGAGTTTTGTGAACGACGTCGGTTGAAAGTTCCGCGCCGAACGAAACTAACGCGACATTATGTGAATGTCGTTCTGGATGATGTCGTGATTGTTTTGGTGTACTGGTTGGTGTAAGGTCTGACTTAAGTGTTTGGAGTGTTTTCCCAATTAGGCAGGAAGCCGCAGATTCCCACAAAAGTTTGTTTCAGATTGTTCACTAGCATATTAATTAGATAGTGATGATCATACATTACGGGGATTATGACCAGCATGGCGAACCTGCGCAAGAAATGGACATAAAAATTCACTGGTAGCCCACATTTGGAAGACCCTGAGATATATTTGTTAAGTCCTTGATCAACACATATTTCAAACACCGATAGTGGTGATAATTTGCAGCTGAACAATAATTAGGTCCGATGTCGCAACCAAGTACACCGGAGAATCGCAAGGCCAAGGTTAGTTGGCGGAGAAAGCTTTTAAAAGGAAGTGGAAGTAGAGGGAGTGGTAGCCTGGACGGAGACAGTGGGATGATGGGAAGGATAAGTCCAAGTACATCCAGTTCGACGACTGAAGGGGGGTCCCCACGAGCCAAGGGGAGGAAGACAGGAAGGTATATTGGAGGAGGATATAGCAGTTATTCTGCGGATGGTAGTCTGTGTGCTAGCGAGCAGGGAACGCCTAGGAAGTCAGGAATGACGTTTTTGGGACTTCTTCACAAGACGAGGACTCCCAATGGCGAATCGTCTAATATGGGGGAGATGATGGACCCGTCGCACGATTTGGACAGCTTGTTCACTGGATCGGCCAATCCGTTTTTCTGTAATGCGTCGTTGGCATTACACGAGATGGTCAGTCCAAAACAGGGGGCGAGAGGACCCCAGGTTAAGCCGTTTATCTTCACTCAGTCCCACCAAACGACTACAAACCGACCAGGTCTGGGGACTCGGTGCCTTATATGCGACGAGTATCTTCAAACAAAGCTTCTGGATGAAAAGATAGTGGACTTAAAGTGTGGGGACTTTGTTCACAGTGAATGTTTTCAGATAACGATAAACTACGAGATCGAACGGTTGGCTGAAACATCGTCGCTCGACTCGAGCAGCGACCATTCGACGTTGATCGAGAAAATCTTTCCCAAATGCACCGGCAGGGAATGTATGGTCAGTGGAGTGATCACACCCATGTTACCCATGGATGAAGGCTACGTGGACGAGATTATTGTCAATGCATTGATTGCCCAACAAGACCACGATTCGAAGTCAAAAAATAGCAATCTCGCTGCCTTAGGTTCAACTTTAGAATCTAATAAAAACCACGATAGAAGAGCGAAACTTCAATCTGATTTGGCCTCTGTGAGTCCCCTTATGACACCAAAGCTATACAAACAATTACGGCCTGTTTTTGGGTCATCAATTTCAGAACCAGTCATTCCAATTCGTCCATTGAAACCAAGGCAGAGGGTATCACTTATACGGGAATCCTCTATCAAAACGAGGTCCCCCTCACCCAATTCTAGTATTTCTACAATGAACACCGAGACTATCAAAATCACTAATTACAAAGGAGTATCTATTGAGACCTTGAAGGATCAGTTTATTCAATATTTAATTGACAATTGTCCTCAATTCAGTTTATCGACCCTTTTGAAATTAGGCCCTTTACGGTTGGTCGATCAACTACTAGTCAGCACATCAAGTTTAAAAATGTTTGAACGGAAGATTTGCTATCTATTCACAAACTTTTTGGCCATATGGACAATCGATGGCCCATATCCAGTATTATTTCCGTTGGATGCAGAAAAGCTATCTATTAACATCCACAATGAGTCATTATTGAAATTGAAGACTACTGATTCAGGTTCATATATCAAAGAAATATTGTTAAATTCTGAAGTTGATTCGATTATCGAAAAATGGGTAGTTGCTGTATCAGACTTTCATTTTTGCTTCCCTTCTGATGTTCTCACATCAACCATTATCTTACCTAAATATAAAAAGGAGTCTTGTTATATTGATGAAGTTCTTTTCCCCAAGCCTTGTTCTCGCCGGAATAGTTCGAATACAGTTTCTTCTGTAAAGAAGAGTAATTCTACGATAGATGTGATTGATATCAATAACGGAACACCTACTATTTCAAATCTTTCATTTCCATCACCTTCCAAAGTAGATATGGTGGATCCCAATAGTGATTCTGATAGTGACTCCGATCTAGAAAAGATTACAAATGCGCTAAATTTGAAGCATACGGTTGGTGCTTCAAAGAATTCAGTTACTTCAATCAATCCTAATAATCTTTCTTCCCATAGCATTTATAATCAAGAAAATGCTAGTGATGATGAAGATTCTGATCAAGAATTGATCGATGATATTTTAAAGCAGAAAAACGAAAAACACCAGATCGATAGTTGCGAAAATGGTTGGAACGCTTTGTTTGCAGATATTACTCTTGCCCTTGTTAATAACCAGAACTACTAGATGATGTATATATATTAAGATGTGTATTGTAAAATTACTCTATACTTGCGAGTGATTTAATAAATAAGTGTACAATAATTAATCTATTCACTTTTTGCAAAGCGATCGATTTCGGTTGCAATCCTTTGAACCCATATTTCCCTTTCCTGCCTCGATCTGGCCATAAATACAATACTTTTACCGGTAACTCCTAATCTGTTTATCATCTTGACTAATCCAGGATTTTTTTGTGATGACGTCTTTGCTTCATTTCCCTTTGAGTTACTATATTTTGCCGCAGCTCTATCTTTCCCTACTATGCCTCTTTTCTTCCCAAACCATAACGTAAAACACCTTACAGGCTCCTCTTCTGAAGACTTCCATCCATCTGAGTATATTCTCGGTAAAGAATGTTGACCCGGGTTCCCGGCATGAAAGTCTTGTTCATCACTTAGTAAATCCAACGTTGTAGTTTGGCCTGAATAAACATAACAATCAGATATAGGAATTGTCAAGTAGTGTTGAAAATAAGGACTCTGTTTCCATGTACCAGTCCTTTTCGACCTCTTGTATAAGGTAAACAATACCAAAAACCCTGGGCATAGCACAATAAAATATTGGCTGAAACTTGAATGTTTTTTCAGCTTCTGATATAAATAACCACTCATAAGTACACAACTTGACATAGCAATACAATTAATATTAAACATATTAGAATCAGCATGGGCCATGTGTGGTCCCATTACATCATTCTCTTGGGTAATATTTGAGTCAATGTATTCATTAATTTTCAAGTCCCTTTCGTTTTGAAGTCGAGTACAAATTAGACCATTTAAATCATTACTCCTTCTACTTATCCAATAGTCTCTTAGCTCTATCAATCTAGTTACCCATTCATCTCTAATGATTCGTGATGGTGCTTGAAGTTTTATAATACTGCCATTCTTCATTTCAATTTCAAACAAAGAATCCACAATTGAGTCATCATGAACTAATTCGGGCGCTGAGTACCAAAGAAGGCATAATAGTAAATTTTGAGCTTTTCTGCTATTTCTAAAGGGAATAGCTCTAACATCCACAATCAAGCAAATATCAATTAGAGCTTCTGCTTTGATGATTTGTTGTGCCCTTCTTTCTAATTCTTGTATAGCATTCTGATCATGAAGTTCAAAATTCTCTTTATTTAGCCAAGAAATGTGTTCATCGCTGTTAATTGGAAACGGGTTATGTTCATACACTGATGGTAATTTATCTAATATTCCTTCAGTATCGTCTTTCAATAATGCATTATTTGGAGAAGGCGGTGTGCCTCTGAAAAACTTTGTGAAAAAAAGTATATCGTCTGCACTATAAAAATATGAAATTTTATGAAATGACCTTAGCATCGATCTTTCAGACCCATAAGTATTCGTTAGTCTAGATAAAAATCCCTCTATTGGAATGGGCTCTGTCATGTAATTCCCCTGTTCCATTCTTGTATGTCTTTCATGATGTGCTTTATTTCTAAATTCCAATTGAAATGACCTTGATAATAGTTGGTTTTGAATGAAAAAAATACCACTATTATTAATGACCCATTCCAATCTGTCATACTGTTTAAAACAAAACCAGGGATCAGGGTTTCGCATTAACCAATCCGCCACTTCTGGAAAATCTTTCTTTCTCTCTAGCTCTGCGAGAACCGCATCCTTTAAATACTGTATCATGTTACTATATTCAATTTTATATCCCTTCTCCAACCTCCGAACCTCTAATACATTATCATGTTGAAGCAGTTTAATTAATTCTGACTCTGGAACTCTAAGTATCAAGGATAATTTCAAGCCTGGGATTGCAACACGAAATGTTCTATCAAAATGATGACGAATAAATTGAGAAATGAAGTGTAACCATCTAAATGAGGTAAATTGATTGCTGGGTTTCATTATATATATCATTGCACCATTCTCTTTTGGAACGCATAAACTTATACTTTTGTCAACACCACTATAGAAACGACTTCTTACGGCATAGGTTAGCTTGAAGCTAAATTCTGGCTTGGTTTTAGTATCGTTAGTTGTCGCGCGGATATCATACAATTGTACAGCCAAGGGTGCCTCTATATTCTCTGCTTTCCTCAATACAACAATATACTCCTTCCATCGTTCGTAAACTCTAGAATCACAAGGCTCATTCTCTCCAAATCCGGTAGCATTACTAACATTATACGCATATTTGATTAACACCAACATTTTGTCCATTCGCATAATCTCTCCGACTTCATAGCTTTTCCAAATATTGTTGTATATTCTCAGTCGCAAGTCATTACCTTTTGACTTTGCCACCTTTCTGGACCCCTTTGCAAAATGTTTGAACTTTTTCCGAAATCTATGATTCTCCTTTTCTGCTTTGAGCAAATCTTCAGCAGTCATTTCATATGGCGCTGGAATTGCGATTTCTACCTTTTTCTTGCGAGAGGATGCCTTTGTTGTAACAGTTGGATCGAACGTAACACCTAATTTAGAACCCTCTTCTGCGGCAGGCGCATTAAATACAATTGTTGATTCTCCAGCCAGGACTACTGATTCTCGCCTAGCGTCAGAATTTTCAGGCGTCTGTAAATCCACTATATCATCCATTTCTAGATTTTCGGTATTGAATCCACTAAAATCACCATTTCCGTCTTGGGATTTCATATCAAACTTTGCCGGATAAAAAAACGACTTTACTGGCGAAGAAACCTCAGTTACAGGATCATAATAGCCCAAAGACGACTCAGACGATGCAGCAGTAGTATCAAAATCCCCACTGGGCACATCAAAATCATCATTAGACTCGTAATTTGCGTTGTTTATTTCCTTTGTCTCTCGATCCTGTTCAAGCACAATTTCATTAACTATCTTATTGATGTCATTTCTTTTGGAATCCTTGAAAAACAAATTAAATCCACCCTCCGGTCCCTCCCTGAAATTATTATTCGTCTTGTATCCTGAATTGCTTCGTATACTCTTATTCACCGTTCCGACTGCAGTCTTGAATCTTTTCTTGACCTTGCTTTTGGCATGATTCGTTGCTCCCGTGAAAAATCCTAGTTTATTGTCCAGTAGCCATAAATTAGGAACACTTCCCAATAGTATACATTTCGATGTATCCGATAAATGTTTTGGACTTTGATAGGTCAACCTAAATGCTGTAAATGACGATTTTGGAATATTAACTATATCATCTTGATAAGGCAGTGCCATACTATTACGACAATTATTCACACCTATTATATTTAACGCATCAGCCGTATACTAAACACAGATAACTATCGTTAATAACGACTCTAAAGAACAAATTATATCTGAGGACTTTTCAAATAGTTGAAAGGACAAATTTAGCTTACTTTCTGTGGTCCAGAAATTTACTAACAGAAAATTGCTACACCGCGTACAGCCGCATTTTGCAATTAGCCAACAACTGTTGAATTGAAATGGCAGGCTTTGTACAAGGAAGTTGAGAATCGTTTACTAATGTCAGGCTACATGAGAGACAGCGTAGCAATATTTATTTGAATTTATAAAATACAGATTTCACCGGCAATTTAAACTACGAAATGCTATATACATAGTGTGAAAAAGCAAACCTAGCCGCACCTCCATTCTCTAAATTATATCTTCATCATTGATACCAATAGCAATACCTTCAGGATTCATGTTTTCCGGAGGAGAAATGCTAGGAATAGCTTCTAAGCCGATATAGACCAATCCGACGACGAAAATTAAGAGACCGGCTATAATTCTGAAAGCACTACCACCATTGATACTTGCACCAATTAATGTGTAGACTATAAACTGTTAGTACATGCATCCCAAACCACCATCGCTAATAAATACATACAGATACCCCTACCAATAAACGAAAACAAAAATGATGCATAGGCATAAGCCTCGGCCGGAACCCTAAATTCTAGAAACAGTTAGTTAACATCCAACAACGATCGTAAGATTATACATACCAAGAAGACCAATTATACCGCCAAATGCGATTATATAAATTCCAAGAACAAACTAAAACTGTTAATACCTACATAATTCCATTTACCTGAAAAGAGTACATACCGATTGTCTATATAGTTAGTAGCTGATCCGTGTCAATTGCTAAAATCGTCCGCAAACGGGTATCCACATGAAAGCAATGGAAATAAACCCCATTGATCTCGATTTCTGATAAATTACTTACATTCCACTGAATAATTGAGAAAGGCCCGATAAAACCTAGATTCTGTTAGTATATTGATGTCTAATTGCAATACAATCACGGTTTACGTACTGATAAACCTGCCACTGCCAAATTGGCAATCTTGAAGGCTCCATTTAGATCCAGTCCATTTAAAGCGTCTAAATTCATATTACTTCTTTTAGTTTATACTATTATTATGTTTTCTATTAGTGTACGATCTATTAAGGAGCCACCTATCAGTCGGATTTCTATACCCGATGAAAAATGGCAGACGGGTTCTCGCAGCCACTACCATAAGTTTTCTTATCGAATACTCTGGGCAAGGAAGCCGACGGGGAGACATAAATACACAGTGGTTACGGTGATTTTATAATTCCTGGTATTGTGTTGTTCTATGGGATTTTTTAGGATTTTTTTTGAGTTGTATTTGTAACATAATTTGGTTTATGAGAAATTTACATCAATCGCTAAAAAATACAAAGCTATCTCATAGAACTGATATAATAAACAACTTAATGAAGAAACATATAACATGATGAAAAATATGAAAAACATGATAAAAATACAACTTGAATAAATATAATAAAAAGCATAATAAAACAAGATAATAATAATAACCACTTCAAAGGAGCTCTGGTACTCCTCATTTGGCTTACGAACATACTTATAAATTGCATCTAGTCCTCTCTTAATGTCATTTAATTGGTATTCGCTAGTACTAAATGTCACATAAATGAATGAAATTAGCCCTTCCCTCAATGTAAGGCCAGATGGGTGACAATCCAAAACTCTATAATTTGATGCTATGAATTTGCAGCTTTCAGAGCCTGTAATTTTTTGATTGACTATCTGCAAGCTTCGCTCTATATCTTTTTCATATTGTTATATATGAGTCGGTCAAGACCTTTTGTTTGTGTGGAAGAAAACATTTCCGCGACAACTTGAATAACTTCACCATTCTTGATTTCGCAAAATTACCTTCTCACCTTTCAAGATTGGTAACTTTTTTACCTCCACGATAGCGAGTGATCTTCGATGTTTCCATTTATCATAAGCCACAATAATCGCGGGTGAATCGAATATATCGTTAAATAGATGTGGTACTTTGGTGTTGACTCCTGTTCGACCAGTAGTATTTTTGAAACGGACATTAATTTCAAAATATAATATTGCAGCTACGTATTCACATATAGGGTTGAATAGGTACTATTTAAAAATTTCTTTGTATGTATCCTCATCAGTGGATGAGGTCTCTGTCGCAAGCATATAATCTTCTTTAAGCAAACTCCAAGCAATTTAGTTATTATATCATCTCTCTGGTCTTCATTAAAAGTATGTGAGAATATATCTGTTCTCAAATATTTTGCAAATTAAATGCCAATCTACCTTCTGAAATTTTTTCGTTGAATGATTCAAATTCAATTTCAGAAAAAGTTTCAATTAGGATATTGTCTTTCTCATGACGGGGATCAATAGCAAGAAGAATATCAGGATTTAATAAATTTCCATCATCTTGAAATTCGTATTCGGTAAAAGGCATTACAGAAGAAGATGAATAGTTCCTTCCATTTATGTTCATAATTGTTATAATATTGGAGTTCTTTACTGGCTACTCGGTTTAAATGCTTCTTAACCTCAAAAACTTGCGCATCAAGCTTAAATGGTTCACATTTTCATTTCTGTTCCTGTCAAAAATGGTTCTATAGTCGAATTAGGTAATCTCAAATGTATCAACATCCTTATCCATATCAGTTTCAACACCAACATCGATATCAGCATCCTCACCACCTCTTAAAATATACTGTCTGATATTCTTAGCAAAAACATCGCCGTCCATTTTGATAAATGATGTACAATATATAAATTGACGAAATAGCATAGCTAATACCCTTTAGTTAACATAGCTTACATGCGAAAATAATAGTGGAAGGGTAACACAGCTTTACCATCTCTATGTATTATTTTTCACGCGTAGATAGTAATACTATAACCATCGGTAAGCGTAGTATTAGAGTACACGCAGAATTATATGACTTGATCTGCTTTTTAATTATTCATACGAAACTCTTATTCATGAGGGTCTTCGTATTGCTGTGGAATTTCCTGATTAAACACTCGACATAATTTTCGGTGTTCACTATTCGTACTCCTTGGATCAGCAGTTACTGGTCGGGAACCTTTTTCAACAATATTATAATCTGAATACCCAAAATCAATAAAATAGATCTTGTCTTGTGAATAAAGAATATTCCGTTCACAAATATCTCCATGAAGTATTCTACAACTGTGAATGATTTTCAATTGCTCTTCAGCTTTCTCATATGTCCTTCTATCTTTTGGCAATCGATTATATTCTCCTGTTTCGGGCTCTATATATTTTAATATGATGAATGGCCCTAGCGCATGGTAATGTTCACCTATATTGAATTTACCAAATACATATTTTTGGTCGACATAAACGTTATTGAACAATCCCTCCCCTGATAAAATCTCATATGCCAGTTTCTCGCACAGATAGGCCTTCCGGCATGTGTTGTAGGCATCTGTTCGTTCAGCCCTATAATGCTTATGATCCCTTTTCGCTTTGATGGGGTCGAAGACCTTCACAATGAATTGGTCGTCACCATCGATAGGCTTGATAAAAAAAGCCTCCACATCTTCCCTGTTCACCTTAAAAAGTTGAGAATTGAACGTAAATCCACATTGAACGTCAATTTTGTCAAAACTTCCGAGTGCAATTTCAATAGCAGAAATATGCCGTCTTCTATTTTCTACTGGATGATATTCAATTGCATTAATACAATAATCCCTAAACGGCATCTCATGCTTTAATGCTATTTCATCCAAATATGTCAAATACTCTTCATTTGTCTTGCGAATAAACCTATAGATCGTATCCAATCCTCTCTTAATTTCTTCTAGTCGGGCCTCACTTACAGCGAAAGCTTCATATATGTATGAAATGAGACCACCCCTTAAAGTAAGGCCTGATGAATGACAATCTAGGACTTTATAATTTAGAGNAACTGGCTTGCCATCATTCCATTCCGCATTCTGATCGATTATNTCCAAGGACCTCTCGATATCGATTTCAATTAGTATTGTTGTNTATGAATCTGTTAGCATGCCTTTATTTGTATGATTGGAAAACATTTCTGCCACAACTTGCTTGATGAATTTCTTCATTTTTACATCTGTAACGTCCAATATTTTTCTAGAGATTAAAATCGGTAATTTTTTGACCTCNACTAAAGCTAGCGACTGATAATGTACTTTTTCAGCATNCGCTACCATATCGGGATAAGAGTAGAATAAATCTTTGGATTGGTGTGGTACCATAGTATGAACTCCAGTCTGACCGATAGCATTATTCTCTTCAANTTCAATTTCAAANGCCAATAAAGCTGCAACATATGCGCATATGGGTTTGAATAAATAGTTCGTAAAATNATCTCTATATGTGAATTCTGCATTTGATCGAATATGTTTAACAAGTTTGTAGTCTTGTTTAAAGCAAACTCCAAGTAATTTTGTGAGTATTGTTTTACTTTCATCTTCATTAAAAGCCTTCGATAATATATCTGTTTTCAATATAGTCTGCAAATTGGCTGCAAGTCTGCNTTCCGGAATTATCTGCTTAACTGATTCAAATTCAATCTCTGAAAAAGTCCCAATTAGATTGTTTTCTGTTGCCTCGCTCGTACTAGTTCTATGAAGAGTAAAAGGATTTAGTAATTTTCCATCATCACCCTGAAATTCATAGTCGGTAAACGGCATAACACAAAAGAATATGAATAATTCTTTCCATTCATTCGGATTGAAATTTCCTTTAAACCTTCGAAGAGCCTCATCGATATATGACTCTTTTTTAATACTAAAAAATTTAAACATCATTTCCGTATAAGTGACATTTTGATTCACACCTTTGTTGAAAATCTTCCTGTAGTCGAATTTGGTTATTTCAAAACTATCGATATCAATATCAACATCCATATTCACATCAATAACAGTATCATTATCATCATCCATATCAGCATCTTCACTACCTCTTAAAATATACCGTCTGATATTCTTAGCAAAAACATCGCCGTCCATTTTGATTAATTTGAATATATTTCAAATTATATTCGTCCATTTTCTATCGGGGGACTCTTTCAAATTATAGGAAACTATAAGAAAGTAAGCATAAAAGAATTACTTGTTTCAATGTGCGTAGATATATAAGACTACGCTAGTATAAGCTATATCATACGACTAGCAAACTAATTCAGAAATCGCGGATTTAGCTCAGTTGGGAGAGCGTCAGACTGAAGTCAACTTCAGTCCAGTTAATCTGAAGGTCCTGTGTTCGATCCACAGAATTCGCAATTTTTTTTTTTGAAGCTTAACCTATTATTATCTATATATACGTTACAATACCCTACTCTTCGACGTTAGTATAGATAATATATACCAACAGATAATACACCTGTTCTTGAACTATTAACTCATATATATTAGACATGATTGTAGATTGTAAAATCTCGTATTATCGACGAGTGATATTCGTTACTGTTATCACGTGCATTTGTTTTTTTTCAATATAAATCCATACTGTTGAAGTTGGATATCTTATACGTTGATTACTACATCGGATATCTATACCTTCTATGATGATAAAGGAGGAAGCTGAAGGGATTTTGAAGCAAAGGAATAGCAAACTAGAAGAGTTGCTTCATCTCGCTGCTGATCCTTTGCTTACCGATATATCAAGTCATAAGTCTAGAGTGAATGAGTTCTTGAATGATAATGATATCACCAAGGAAAAAACGTTTGTAGTTTCGTCGTTACCAGGGGTATCTGGGAGTGGAAGTTTTGCGGAAGCTATGCTGCAATCGGTCTCCAAAAGCATCTATAAGGTCGAGGAAACTAAGGAACGGACGGAGGATACAGCCAGTGAACAAGGATTGAAGAGAAGAACTGAGTCGATTAGCGACGATAGGAAACTTAAGGTTTCGAGAAAGAGCTCTTCGCAATTGAGTGATTCGAGGTCAGGTAGTATTCCTAAGTCAACTTCGGAGATCACGAAACCAGTAACTATGGCTCCACCAGTCAAGTCGCAAAAGGAGAATATCCATCTTGAAACCAAAGATTTCTTGAATAGGGATATAAGCGAATTGGAGATTTTGTCCGTCCCTGAGCATTATCCAACGAAACCTCCGAACGTATCGTCTTTGGCAGAACTCTACTATCTCACGCAGACTTTACCATTGATCAAATTGTTGCCAGGAAGTCACAAGACATTAATAACTGAAAATTACGAGCTTGCTTTACTTGAAGGGAAAATTGCAGTATTATATTCGAGAATTGAAGAGTTGAAAAGACAGGGTAAATGGTCATTAAGACAGCCTAAGAGATACTACGATCCTTATATCTATACTAAGAGTAACAACGGGAAGAAGACATTCCATGGTGATAGTCTTTTAGAAGAAGGAAAATGGATGGCAGCTGATTTCAAAGAAGGCTCAAAATACAAAAAGGCTTGTTGTGTGACTATGGCCCAGGCTGTTAATGATTATTGGACATACGGTAAAGTGATGTGCATTCGTAGGAAAAGGATATGGCATATAGATGAGAAAAGAGAAGAAGAAGAAGAAGTCCGTGGCGATCTTGAAACCAATCCAGCCGATGGCTCCGATTCTATGGCCATTGATGATATAAAGGTTGATAATGAAAGTGCGCCTTTGGGAATTACAGGAAACGAATTGCAGAATATAGCGGTAACCGACAGTAAAGTATCAATTGAGCCAATATCAAACGATGACCCACAGCCTAAACAAGATGATATTATTGATTCAGCAGAAGTAGCAGATCAGAAGGTGTTAGAAGATCCATCACAGGATAAACCAGTGGATGAAATGACAGACTCTCCAGAAAAACCAGATGAGGAAGTAGAGCTTTCTTCCATTGATGTAAAGTTGCTCTTATCTAGACCCAAACCAGAGGATGAAATTATACCACCTAACCTACCAACATTCACGGAAGATGATTTGAAGGAGATGGGACGAGATTCAAAAGATTCTGCTCCGTTCAAATTGCATGCAAATCTTAATGATTTGAAGAAAATTGACCAATCCATTATTAAGAATTTGCCCAAATTTACCGCTTTCGACAATGAAGACAGTAATATGCCAGCACCAGCCTTAAAGCCTGTAGATTCTCCAATGATTGCAGTTTCAAGACTTTTACATCCGTTTGAAGAAGACGATGAGTGGTATAAAATAGTCCTTAAAGAAGGCGATAGTCATAAGTCAAAATCCATTTCTAGTGGACCTCCAGAGTACCAAAAGGGTCTTTTTGGATTTCAATCTCACCGTCGATTCAATTACTTGAAGCCTCCCAAGCCTCCATTGATTAAAAATATTGAATTCAGATCTCCTACTATCTGGTTACCACAAGATGACAAATATTTAATCCATTACGTAGCAGAATTCTGCTTTAACTGGGACTTAATTTCTGAACACTTACTGCCATCAGCTGCTACGCTTAGGAAATATGAATCAAATATTGAAAGAAGAACGCCTTGGCAGTGTTTTGAGAGGTATATACAGTTAAACGAAAAATTTCAATTCTCTGATATGAAAGGTATTTATTCATATCAGGCTCAACTGTGGTTAGAGCACGCTCACAGAGCTCAACTGACTACAAAAAGAAGAATTTCACCGTTAGGGGTTGGTAACGAATCGATCCAACGAGGGCACAGAAGGTTACGTTGGGCATCATTATTTGATGCTATGAGAAAGAGCATGAAAAAGAGAGAAGATGCCATAGCTAAATTGAATCATAGAAGAACTCCTGTTGACTATAGCGCTAATAACACTAATGTCAATTCGCCTGAAGCATCAAATAATGGCACGCCTGGACCAAATAATGGAAAGCGTCCAATGGACCGCATACCAACACCTGCTGAGCTCTCGAAATTGAAGTTTGAAAGAGATAAGTCAATTCAAGAAGCATACCTCAACCAACAGGCGACAAGATCAAGAATGATAGCTGCCGTTGCACAACAACAAAAGCAACAACAAAATATAAATAACCAAGGTAATATACCTCGTCCTCCGTCTCAAGGACCAGGATCGAATGTCAGTGTACCGCCACAACAAAGAGGTCAAATTGGTGTCCAAGGAGGCGCTACAAATACATCTGCAGGATCCGTTGGTAATCAGGTACCTCCACTGCAAACACCACTGCAGGCGGTACAAGGTGGTATGACTAAGAGACCAACCACACCTAACGGTACGGCATACACTGCAGAACAAATACAACAGTTATTGCAAATTCAAAAACAAAGAAGACTTATGCAACAGCAAAATCAACCTGGGAAAACAGGAATTAACCCGAGCCAATCAAATACTCCTGCATTAATGCAAAATATGCCGCTTAGTTCTAATAAGACAACAGTGAGTGGAAGCAATATGCCTCTATCTGGAATTCCTAATCAGACCCAACAAGTACCACTTCTGCAACAAGGTCAGAAACAACAATTGGGACCAGGTCAACGTCAACAAGTCCCCGTATCACAACCGTCACAAGGACAGGGATCAGCCACAGGTGCACCGGCGAATAAATCACGGATACATTTTGCGCCTGCTCAAGTATCTGCGATCATAAACTCGATTCAAACTAAGAACCCAAATTTGACTAAAGAACAAGTCACGAAATTGGCAGCAACTTATTTGGCAAACATCCAGCAGCAACAGCAAAATAGAGCAAATCAGCAGCAACAACAGCCGCAGCTGCAACATCTGGGTGCAATTGGCCAAGGTCCAGCAACCCATAGACCCGGACAGAATCAAACCCCATCCACCCAAAAGAAACCTCAGGTAGCTACGTTGACGCCCCAGGAAAGAAACCAACTACAGATGTTGAAGGCTGCTAAGACGGCACAGCAGCAACAGCTCCAACATCAACAACAACAACAGCAGCAACAACGGAGGTCTGGCTCGCCGATGGTACCAAACGCACCTCTCGATCCCAACAATATGGCTAAACTTGAATATGAACAAAGAAAGAACTTACTAATTCAAAAGCATCAACAGCAACAGAGGCTAGGTAACAATTCGAACATACCGGGCCAAACTACACCAAACTTAGCTTCTATACCTCCTTCCTCATCGTCTTCACCATCTTCATCGGTCAGTGGTCCTGCCTCAAATTTACCAAATTCTAACAAAAACGTTCCTAAAAAGTAGTCGATGAATACAAGTGAATTATCCACTACATTACGTATTCCATATTGTATACTATCTCTATTCTGTAATATAAACCTAACATTATCGAAGAGTAGGCTGGATAATAGTAGTAGTAACTTATAGCACGTGATTACATCAAAAATTATATTAAACGAAATAAATGATTAATTTCTATGCTATAGCCCATAAGTTGGTGGGCCTACACATATGACACAGATAGTTGGATAGAAGAAGACAGTCTATAATATCAATAGAAAGAGAATAATGAGTGTACGACATCGAGGAGATGTGAGTAATCATGATGAAGTAGAATCTATTGCTTCAAGTAGCGGGCCAATGTCGCCTGCTAGATCGATAAGAAGACTTACTTCTACATATATTGAGGCTTATCCAGAAACAGAGAGTACACGATTCATATCATTTAATTTCCCAAAGAGAGTGTTTAGATGGATATACTCGTTTTCATTGGTTCTTTTGGTGTTACTTACGCTTGGTTTCATCGCAGTTACACCAATCGATGTTATTGTGCAGACATCCGAGTCATCGTATTCTGCGGTCAAGATGTTTATTGTGATTATTGTTTGCGTAGTGTTTCTAGTGGCGGCATTAATCATATATTTTCTGAGGATTGTCCAGAATAGAATTGCATTGAATGATATACCATCCAAGTCTGTATATATTCCATTTGAAGGTGATATGCCGAGGACATGCGTCAAGGCGATAGATGCCAAACTAAAAGAGTGTGTGAGTGAAATAAAAGTCAAAGCTGGTCCTTTGCACAATGAAAAGATTATTATAAATCATCCAGGGGTGTCTCCCCCAGAGTACGTTCAAAAACGAAATATTAGTGAGACCGGAGAGGGTACTTTGCTACCACCGAACGCTTGTTATGAAGATGTGATACGAAGTTTAGGTGATAGATTCAAGCTTGATGGGCGGGTTTTAACTCAAGTTGATTTTCCAAATCATCTTTCTTTAAGAGAAATCATACTTTTCTTATCAGAAAAGTACCTAAATGATCCAAGTACTGATAAAAAGCAAGTACCTAATTTAAAACTTATAATTGAATTATATGAAAAATTTAAGTTTGGTCCAGATTTAATCAAAGAATGGGAGCTTTTAGACTTCATAATTGAATTTGACAAACTTGGACAGTTTTTTCAAAATAATGTGGCGAGCAATATCAGCAAACCAGCTAGGAGAACCCCTAGATCAAGATCTTACTACAGTGATACAGATATGTTGGAGCAGTCACTATTTGGGCCGGAAGCGTCTAGTAGATCCGAATTCCATTATCATAATAGCGATAGAGAAGAGGATTACGACAAAAATGTTCCAGCAGAGTATCAATTTATTACGCATAGACCGAAAGATAGATACTACAACAACTTAGAAAGTTCAGATCAATTGAATCCTCAGAATAAGAACTTGTCTTCAACATCGTTTGGCTCGTGGTCTTCCTCTTCTGTGAAGCAACCTAGAAGACGAAAATTCAGTACAAGTAGTGCTGGCAGTTCAAAGTCTGTTATTAAAAATAAATTGGCATTACCCAGTATTGTGGATAATGGCAACTTCAATGTGATGAAGTATAACGGTGACGCAGAATCTAATAATAGGAGGTACAGTGGATATATCAGTGATTCAGAAAATGAATTAAACTACTAATAGACAAAAATAAGGTCCAATCATCAGGTATGACGAAACATACTTATATTACTATATTCCAAAGCATGGCTTTATAGTAGAGCTTTTAGCCTACTATATTTGTCATCTGTTTGGAATAAATTTGCATTAAAATACAGGAATCTCTAATTTATAGATATACCCAGAGTCCGTAAATAATATACTAATAGTTCATTAAATCATTAATTTTGACGAGGCTTCACAATACCATCATGTATAAAGTAATACACTACTGTAGCATCATCGTTCACTAAGCCAATCGTAATTCTCTGAGGTCGTATCCTTGGATCCGAAAGTTGAGATATCTGAACGAACCAATTGTCTATTTCTGTAATTTTCATATCATTTTTCGAACCCATCAGTTTTGGTATCACCCACTCGGTGCTATTATCCGCATCACCTGCCTCTAGCTTAGCAGGTGGTTTTCCTCTTAGTATGGTCATCTTATTATCATTGTAGTTCAATATTTCGTGACTTTCCACATTGTTCCAGAGATTATGATGGACCAAGTTGGTCTTCACCTGGTCTGCTAATGACATTGATCTCTTTTGTCCTTCGTCTCTGTGCTGCTAGATGCTATCAATGTCGGTGACAATCCTTATACTGATTGAAGATCATCACGATGATTTTCACGCAGATCACGTGCAATATCCGGAACCTCTCGTTCTACTGTCAAAGATGCTATCTCCATTCAAGCCAACTCCTTCAAATGATATTCAGCAAAGAGGCAGGGATGAGGCACCCCATATGAGCCTCCTACATTCATAGAACCAGTATCAGTGTAATTCGGAAGAAAAAGAAAAAGAAAAAGAAATAGTACCCCCTAGTTCTAGAACTGAGCCTCGCAGGATCCTAAAGTCCTAGAGGAAAGTAAATTATTGTAAGAACAGTTCCTTACCTAACTGACACGTCTCAAATATTTGTATACGGTGGTAGATATTGTTTGTTGATATTTCTGCTTTAACGTGAAATATTTTTGCTCAGGCAGATCTAGACCTTTTCTTTTTTTCGCTTGGGTGCAACCTGTGGGCTTGCGTTCAAATCAATCGATGGGTTCATAATACCCGTTTTTTTTTTATTGCTTTCTCTGGTTTAAAACCATCCATTAGGGGAAATGTTCGTAGCAAAGGTCCATGTGAAAGAGGTCAACGGTTTTCAATTTCTTTTCTCACTAGGCTGAGTTGGATAATATGTGCCCTTTTTGTAGTATATTTCGGTAAAAAAGACTAATTCTTAGTTTGGTAGCTCGGTTCTGTACAAAGTAGCATGTAACTAGCTATCTTCTGTAGTATAGGGCTTATAGGATTGACCTTGTATAAGATCAAAATGAGATAGAATTACTAAAATAGTGTTACTATTACTAGGTATGGTCGAGGATATCAATCAATAGGTAGTTGCGCTTCTAGAAGATCAGATCAAAAATAATGCACAATGGCTACAATAGGAAGCAGCCAAAGGAAACGAAACCGAATCTGGACTGTCAACGGCGCCCGTAAAAATTCGGAAGATTTCGTTTATGCAAATAATTCTGTCCTAATCTGGTAATATTATGTGATCGAGGAATGGCAGTGGAAGACCATCTGTCAATGCAGAAAAAACTTTTCAGATTTGCAACTCTTCTGGACTAAATCTAGAATTAAATTTTGCCACTATGATAGTGAAATGGCTGTCAATGACAGCGTAGGCTTTTCGATTTGTAGGAAGAATGGAACAAATTAAAAAAGTATATAAACCGGGCCAATTCTACGATAAGATGCAAATAACTTTTTGAAACCATTAAGTAATCACTACATTCATTAATACAACAAGATAGCTTTTACAAGCCCCTACATTCATTCGTATTTTGATTCCTACTTGCTTCATTCATTACATATATAAAAAAAAAATGTTGTTTTCCAATTTCGCAGTCTATTTAAGCATCGCTTTGATTCCAACTATTTCTGCTGCTCCTTTAAACAAGAGAGGTGGTAACACTTGTGATTTCCCATCTAATAAGGGTTTAGTCCCGGTTGCTTCAAAATCTTCTAATGGAGGATGGGCAATGAGTCCTGATCAGCAATGTACCGAAGGAAACTATTGTCCATATGCTTGCCCACCAGGTAAGTTGATGGCTCAATGGGACAGTTCTGCTACTTCATACTCATACCCAGAATCCCAAAACGGTGGTTTAAAATGTAACAAAGATGGTACAGTTTCTAAGCCATTTTCTAACAAAGATTACTGTGTTGACGGTAAAGGTACCGTCAAAGTCAACAACAAAGCTTCTGATAATGTTGCTTTCTGTCAAACCGTCTTACCAGGTAACGAAGCTATGTTGATTCCAACCAACGTGGATGGAAGTGGATCTCAAACTCTCGCAGTTCCAGGCTCCGACTACTGGGATGGTACTGCTGCTCACTATTACATTAACCCACCAGGTGTCTCCACCGATGATGGTTGTGTCTGGGGTACAAAAGATAAGTCTCAAGGTAACTGGGCCCCATATGTTGCTGGTGCCAATATGGATGACTCCGGTAAAACATATGTCAAGATCGGCTGGAACCCTAAGTACATTGATGATTTCAGCAACAAGAAACCAAACTTCGGTATCAGAGTCACCTGTGATGATGGTGACTGTGATGGTTTAGATTGTGAAATTGATCCATCAAAGAAAGGTTACAACGGTGTTGAAGGTTCTTCAAGCGGTAAGCAAGACGGTGCTTCTTACTGTATTGTTACTGCTAAGAACAAGTCCAAAGCTCAAATTGAAGTCTTCACTACCTAGGTTTTTAAGATAAAATTGTATATTAGATTGGTTTATATATAGAGGGATAAATATAATTATATGGTGATAATAATGATTGTAGACACAGTAAATAATTTAGAATAATTTAAATGGTATCACCAAAATTAAATTGTTCGTTTGAATTCAATTGTTGTTCAATCATTTCAGTCCATGGACCGACGAAATCCAACCCGACATTTTTGTTATTAATGAACCAGTCCATGACTTCACTATCTCCCATCAAGCCTTGTAATGGGGTATTATTATCTTCATTTGGAGTTATATTTGCACTTTGTGAATCATCTGGTTTTCTAGTTGGCTTATTAAAGTACATGGAGTTATCATAATATGGAAGCTGTTCGTTTTGCATACTTCCATAATCTTCATTATTAGTCGCATGTATAGGATGATTTGCAATACCGCTGGATGCATCAATTATTTCGTTTGGGGCACTTTTTGATGCTTTATGTTTTTTAAGTTTAGTATGAATTTCATCATCGTTATCATTATTAGACTTCGATTTAACTTTCATCTCTGAGCATAAATACATTAACACATTGGAGTATCTTGTACATAAATGCAATTCGTCAGGTGAACAGTCTCTTAATGTGATTGCTGCCCGTTGAATACTATCAGTAATTTCTTCAATAGAAATTAACGATAATGATAATATAGTAGAGTCAAAATCATTGAAAGAATTAATACTTGCATCGCTGTCTGCGGTCTTTTTATGGGCCGTGATAGTTAGATAGCATTTAACAATAAATGCGACAGCCCGGACAATTCTTGTAACCCATCTAACTGGCATAAACCTTAACATTTTTAGTTTGTGTATTCTATGGGCGACTGACAACATTTCATTAGCTGAATTGAAAGCCTGTTCAATGTATTTAGCGGATCTAGAAATTTCGTCTAGCTTTAGGCTGAATTTACCCGATTTTCGTTTGTTTTTCTTATCAGAATCATACATATTCTTTGGTGATGGACTTAAGGCTAGAGAAAATACGTATAATTTTGCATAATGAAACTCAAATATGAATGATTCCTTATCAATAACATCCGCTAATTCTTTCGCAAGCTTTGATTCCGGATTAGTAAGATGCTGCTGCAAATTAGAAACATTATTTAGTATTTTTTGGTTCGATGGGACTAATAGATGTTTATATTTCTTAGACCAGTTGTTTAATAATGGACTTATGATACTAAGAATCGACAAGTTTTGTCGCTGAGTTAAACTACCTAGCTGTGCCTTATGCCCATAAAGCGATTCATGACCTAATGACATAATCTGCAATAATTCAATTTTAGCTCTTTGGTTAAAAGTGAATTTAAGAACATTTTCTTTGATTATTTTCTGTAATTCCTCTTCATTCATATTCAAAAATTTATATTCATTTTCCTCTTCATCCTGTTCTTGCTCTTCAGTAATCTCATCATCATCAATATCAATTTCGGACAATGAATGGCCTAACATAGATCGTCTACTAATATTCATTACACTATTAATCTCAGCTATGTGGGTTGCTAAGAACGTCCGGGTACTTATCTCCATAAATCCCATATCTTGTGCTAATCTAACTGCGGAACCAATTAACATCCATGCCATTCTATAGCTTCTTCTCATTGCACCTAATCCGGCTAGATTAGGTTCATCTTGACTGGACGCAAGACTAGCTCCAAATTCATTGGAAGCACCTGGCGAGCTATTTTCATTTATATCTTCTGCTTTATTAGCATAATCGGACCACCTCCAATGAATAGCTCTTGGATTCCATTCAGTAAATAGTAGAAATGCAAAGACGGTACCAATCGATCTTGTACTAGCCTCTGCCCACACAGTTTGCGAAATTAACCTTTGTACGTATAACCATAATCTGTCATGTACTTCAATATTTCGAGCAACACCACTCGTATTTGGATGTGTGTCTAAAGTATAATGACGAGATGCTATAGTTAAAATTGCACATAACAAAATTGGATACCCCGATAACGTAGTAGGGGAATGCAAAAATTTGGGTATATAAGGAAAATACGGATGCATTGTAGTGAAAAACAAATGAATCAACGTTTCAGCCTCATCTTCAGTCAAAATACCTTTCGGTCCACCAATATATTCAATATTCTCAAGCTTGTTGGATCCTTTGGGGCGTACCATGTATCCACTCTCAGCCGGCATAGATAGCGTCTTACCTATATCTAACGGCTTGGTATATGAGGTAATAGTCGGTGATGAATATTTAGTACTATCGATGCTATGGTTACTGGAGTTATTGGGTGCCTCTAATTCGAAATTATTGTCATTTGTATTCTTTGAACTTTCAGAATTTACCACAGAATTGTCATTACTAATCCTCGCTTCAATTTGCTCGTGTTTCGCCCTGGCATCAATATTATCTCTCTCGTCAGCTTTGGCAATAGTACCAGCTGCTTTAGCAAGGAATACCAATGCTCCTTCCATAGTTGAAAAGTGACTGTTCGATTCGCTTCCCCTGTTATTATTGCTCTGTTGCCCATTATGTACTGGTGTTTGGTCTTCCGAAGAACCTGCATTTTTATTATCATTTAGAATACTCGTAACGGAAGGTAAGACTCTGTGTGGAACCGATGGAGCATCATTAGAATGTGCATATTCCGTAGGATATTCGTTATGTCCTTCAGACCTCCTTTTTCTCCCATTCATTACATTTGTAGCTCCACCCCTCCGTGATTCGACAAAAACACAGTCTTTACGCTCCCTTAGGCATCTTGCACACTTTCCATCCCGTGGATTGTCAACTGAGCCTAAATCACATTTAACTTTCCGTACTCTGCAATTCAAGCATGCTCTATAATTTCTCTTATATTTTTTCGATGATGGCGATTCAGACCTTGAATATTTCCTATGCTTTTCAGGCAGCATCTGATTACCATCAGACGGCGACTGATGTTGCGACTCCATTAGTATATGATGAATTTATTATGATTAATTTATAACGTGTAGTGATCCCATATATGAATTTATTTTTATCCGCCTAAACCCGCACTTTGTATGCCGATGCCAGATCTAAAGCAGGAAGGATAGAATTACAATAAACACGTAGTAAAAGATATTTAAATAAGGTAATATTTATTCACTATAAAACAAAGTAAATTAGCGTTTATTTAATTGCAATTTTTTAACTTGATCTTCTAAAGTCTTCAAATTAGATTGCATCTCTTCAAGATCTTGGTTCAATCTATTTCTTTCATTGACAATATTTGTCTCCCATTGTCTGAATCTTTGTTCTTCAGCCTTGACTTGCTCAGTGAAAAATTTCTTTAAAGCATCTTCTTCATCTTTAAATTTAGGATTGTATAATCTTCTTGGTTTTTTGTAATTAGCAGGCTTCTTAACAACTTCACCATTTTCATCTGTTTCAGTAATTTCTCTACCGTTTGCACTTTCTTCTTCATCGCCTAATTTCAAAGATCTGAAAGTTTCAAAATGCATTTCATTGGTCGATAAGATAAGATCCAACATATTAGTTCTTAATAGTAAGCTTCTTAATTTCTTGAAGTCACAATGGTTTTCATTTTCCACTTCAACGAGACCCCAAGGGTATTTTCTCCCTTTAACAAAGTTACCAGGGCTAGCCTCGAACTCATCTTCAGATCCAATGACAGCAAAAGGCATACTTTCAATCAACTGTTTGGAGTGTTCGGCACTAGCAGGGTCATCCAATTCCAAAGGAGGAGTATAAATATTAATATCTTGTGCTTCGATGATATCCCTTATTCTGCTCTTAAACGCATCTAATTCCTTAGGCGATAAGGTGTCTGACTTAGCAATAACTGGAATTAAATTAACTCTGCTTGACAATCTCTTCATGATTTCGATATCAAGCGGTTTCAACGTATGACCCGTTGGTCTAATGAAATATAAACACGCATGCACCCTGAGATCCTTCTTGTTAGTTCTATATGGTTGTTGTTCTTGTTTCATGTAAGCCTCATGTTGATCGTCAATAAAGTCAATAATCGGAGTCCATGAATCATGATTATTTACGTTATTACCAAATCCTGGAGTGTCAATGATGTTCAATCTAATCTTGAAGTTCTTTTCTTCCAAAATGGCTCTAACTATGTCGATGTCCACTGTTTGGTGAGAACTGGTGAATTTAGAATGTCTCTCGGTTGGCTCCTGATAACTTTTCAACGCTGATTGAAACAACGTGTTAATAAATGTAGTTTTACCTAACCCACCTTCACCTGCAACCATCAATGTGAAGTTGGCGCCTTCTTTAAAAACAAGTTTATACCTAGAATGTTAGTACACGTAATCCTTAATTATTGTTCACATACACCAAAATTTATGGATTGGTTTGGCTCCATCATTTAATGAACATACCTTTGATTAGGCAAATTTGCAATCCCAACAGCTTCCGGCATTATTTATCTAATTTAATAACAAATCAACTATTATTGTTTTCTTCTTATACCTATTATTGACACTATTTGTTTTCGAAATCTCGTCAATAATTTTAAGACCCGACGAAAAATGGCAGCAGTTCAAAAAACGCGTTTACTATTAACACTTGGTTGTATGAGAAGGCAATGTTGTCAGAATCAAGTGGAATGAGAGTAATTAGTAGGTCATGATAGAGATAATGTAGCGCTCGATCATCCATGAGGTTTGATTGGGATCTTCTGTATTAATGTATCCATTTACAAATCACTGTGTAGAGTAAAAAGACAATTTATTTTGTTTCAGTAACATTTGTATATAGATATATAGATATATGTATTATAAACATATATATTGTTATAATAACTCATAAGACTTGCAATAAGAATCAGTCAAACCTTTCAAAGCTAATGGACATAAAAAACAATAATACAATCACAAGTCAACCGATAACAAAAAATTTCAACAACTAGATTATTGCGAGCTAATGAAAGTTAAAATAAACAGAAACAAATAATTCAAACAATAAATTATAATACTACTAATAATAATGGTAATAACAATACTTTATATTATAACATGGTTCATTTATTCTTCATCGGCTTTTGATTCTGAAGGTTGTTGCTCTTCAGTTGGGGCTGGGGCTTCGGACAAGTCAGTCCATAAAGTTAAGTTATCCCTCAATAATTGCATAATCAACGTAGAATCTTTGTAAGAATCTTCAGACAAAGTTTCCAAGTCAGCAACAGCATCATCGAAGGCTTGTTTGGCTAAATGGCAGGCTCTGTCTGGAGAATTTAAAATTTCGTAGTAGAAAACAGAAAAGTTCAAAGCTAACCCTAATCTAATTGGATGAGTAGGTGGCAATTCGGTCACAGCAACATCTGATGCGGACTTGTAAGCTTCTAACGACATGTCGGCGGCATCTTTACGTTTTTCAGAAATGGCGAATTCGGCCAAGTAACGGTGGTAGTCACCCTTCATTTTATAATAGAAAACCTTGGATTCACCAGTTTGAGCAGATGAAATCAAGTGGTCGGTTAAAACCGACAAGATGTCTTCACAGATCTTGGATAATTCAGCCTCGATCTTAGAACGGTAGTCGCGAATTAACGAAACTTGGCTTTCATTGCCCTTAGCTTCTTCCTTTTGCTCGATCGACGACACAATTCTCCATGATGCACGGCGTGCACCAATAACATTCTTGTAAGCAACCGATAACAAGTTACGCTCTTCAACAGACAATTCTTGTCCAGACGAAGCAACGGTCTTCATGTTTTCGACCATTTCTTCATAACGTTCAGCTTGTTCGGCTAATTTGGCAAGATAAACAGAATCTTCTCTTAAGGTAGGCATGGTCTATATATAGTTAGTATTTTGTCTCTATAGCATATATTTTACAAAATCAATTTCTTCCTGGTTTGTTTTGAATCCGTGGTGAGCGAGCAATTTAAGTCAACTTCGCAACGCCCGTCTGATATCACTTTTTCCCCATCTCCCCAATTAACCAATCAATCAATCAATCAATTAACCGGTTCATCATCTTCTTATTCTATCCTCCATATCCGTGTCTACTCCTACTGAAACGTCAGATTCTCTTAAAAAAAATTCCTCCCCCCGCCTCCCACTATTGTAAGGGGCTAAATCAACACGAAATCAACATCCAATTTCGTCGTACTAATCCACTTCAATTCATCTTTCCACGTCTTCAAACAACCAAATACGCTTAGTGCTTCAATTATTACATACATTAATTAGATTTTTAAAATATAAGTAACAAAAATAAAAGATATAATTGACAGGTATGTTATTTATTTCAGAAACACTTCCTGAGAGTGGTCAGAAGTTTTGGACGTCCAAAAAAAACCCGGCGTGCGTGACACAAAAGAAAATATGACACAAAAGCGACGGTATGAACAAATTTCGTCATAGTGATTAGCTAATACTTGCTATACGAGGGAGTAAGTCTCGGAAGTGGGGAGATTAGTTACGAAAACTTCACGTGTTTATTGTGTTAGTGTGTATTCCGGGCCACCGGGAGTTGATAGAAATGGTAACAGTATGCTGATAACTAGCTATACAAGATGCAAAAAAAACGGAACTGGGGGAATAAGCAGGGATTGTAGAGAGATTAGTCCATTTCCATCGATTCCGGGGCATCGGCAGTAAGCTTCATTGGCTGACATTCCTTGACCTTGATTCCGAAACGCTTGTCCTTGGTCAATTGGAGCAAATGGTCGACTGATTCCTTGCATTGGGGGTTCAACAGGTAGCCGGAGTGAACCCAGCACGGAGCGGAGTTGTTACCACCGGTCAATCTGATGACTTCGTTGGCGTTGTTGAAGGAGTTCAATATGACGGTGGTCAGTTCTCTGGCGTTGGCGATGGAGGAGGAGTTTTTCAACAAGGCCTTTAACTTCAACGACGAGATGCCGAGGTTTGGCAATGGAATCTCCATACCAGGCAAGGCAGGCTTGTTGGAGTCGATACCGTGCTTACCGGTTGGGTTGGAGGTCTTCAAGATGGTTTCGAACGGAATAAACTTGGTGACTTGGATTGGTTTGGCGTTGATCAAATGTCTGTTGGCGAGCTCGGACAAACCCAATTTGTTGGCGACCAATTCCTTCTTGAGAGCGGCAAGTTCCTGGGAGTTAGTGGCAGGAAAGCTGGGGGACGTGTGACTCAACTTGAATGGAAACACGGTGAATTCTTTGTCGATTTTTCCCAAGAGCGACCTCGAGTTTTTCAATCTCAATTGGTAGTTTATGGCGTAATCTCTGATGTAGATGGTGGACCTGGTTTTGAATTCGTTCGACTTGTTGTTGAGACCGGTGAATTCGTCAATTTCTTCCAAGGTCACTAATCCGAGTTCCTTGAAATCGCTGGTGGAACACATCTTGATATCGACGTTGTAGACTTCATCCGCAGCGACCACAAACTCGTCAGTTGGGATGGCCGATGAGTTATTAGTAAATTCGCTTCCTTGCTTGTGTAAAACCAATTGTTGGTCGTCGTTTTTGTTGTACTTGTTTAATAACAATTCTTCTTGGTCAGATTCACCCCAGACCACCCCTTTGAAGTCCTTTTCGGCAACTACACCTTCGGCTTGACCAGCTAAGAATCTTCTGATTCTTCTAACCTTTGATCCTGGAACAACGGTACAGTTGAATGACTCGGCAATGGAGTTTACTATGTTTCTGATTTGCTTACCAGTAACCAACTTGGTGTTATTAGGGTCTAATTGGGTAGGTAATTTTTCTGGAGTCAATGCCATACCTAATAATGCAACTACGGTTTCAGTGGCAATATGAGCAGCACAGATAGAATCCGCCTTAGATCCTAATAATGGTCCTGGTGGCTTCAATTCATTGTCAATAGTAACACCTTGTGGATAGATAACTACTGTATGGGATACATTTGCAGCATAACCATCAATATGGACACCCAATGTAACGGTAACTATATCACCAGCACCGAAAGTAAATTTTGAAGCATCATCGATTTCTGGTGCAAAGTTTCCAACGATTTCATTCAATTCAATAGAAACTGGATTTGAAATACCCTTTTCTCTAATATCAGTATTATACACTTTGGCCAATAATCTGGTCACCATAGAATCTCCCATCACACATAATTCCTGACATGTGTACGGAGTTTCAGTTTTACCTAAATGGTATGAATCGTTAATTAACGATATAACGTATTTTAAACCAGTTTGGGCGATTTGACCGGCCACTCTATATTTATCTAAAATTGATTCATTTAACTGATTTCTTTCCTTTAACAAGATATCAGCATCATCTTGATGAACTGCAAGTTGCATCTTTTATACGGAGAATAATAAACTTTATATATAATTAGAAAAGTAAAATGAATTGTGTATGAATAAATCAAATATATGATAAATTTTTTTTTCAGATGCGATGGAGATGGGTTGAGAGAAAATTTCCAAAAATACTGTGCGGTTCAATATAGATTGTTGCAAATTGTTTTTGCCATATGATAACCCAAATAAAACTCTTACAATATCTGGGAGCTTTAAATGAACAAATAAACGGTTAAATGAAGACTCTGCTGTCTCAAGAAAACGGATTGCGAGTAAAATTTGATTAGCATATAACCTAGACATATATTTTGTAGTTTCTCTGAACCACACTATACATGATTTTAGGCCAACGAGCAAATAGTAGCTTTTTATTTTAAAATTGGTAGCTTTCCACTTGGAGAAAAGACTGAGTTTACATCAATTCTGAGTTATTGTAACAGAACGGTATTAGGAATTGAGTTATGGAACCAGAAATAAAAAAAAATGGCGACAGCTGCAGGATTCGAACCTGCGCGGGCAAAGCCCAAAAGATTTCTAATCTTTCTCCTTAACCACTCGGACAAGCTGCCATTTTTTTGAAAACTTTGAATCGATTACAACTGATACTGCTATGCTTTTGACAATAATACAAAAAATTGTGTTTTTCATTTACAGTCTATATTACAAGAATAGTTACTAATGAGTTTTATTAATAAATTAATTAGCATAGCCTGAAATAGTATATAAAGGTATATGTTAGAAGTCATCTATTAATTCCAAACTTCTATTAAACCATGCATAAATATTAATAATGCAATAAGACTAATGTACAAATGTTAGGATGAAGCTTATAACTCGGAGTTATCTATGAAGAAGTAGGTACCGGCTAATTTTTGTTCTTTATCCATTTGGGAATCCAATTTATTAATTCTTGGTCTATAAGAATTAGGATCTCTTCTAAATGTAACATTCAAGTTCTTCAAGAATCTATTACAACCAGTTAATAATGATTCAGGAGCCTTAGCCAAAGCATCCTTAGAAGGTTTACCTTCGAAGACAATAACTCTGTCAGCCAAATACGTAGCCATAATGAAATCGTGTTCAACAACGAATGCAGTCTTTTTGGAATGAAGAATAAATCTTCTGATAACTTTAGAACAGATAATACGTTGTTCAGAATCCAAGTAAGCAGAAGGTTCATCAATTAAATAGATATCTGCAGGCATACCTAAGGATAACACAATAGCAACTCTTTGTAATTCACCACCAGATAAGGTTTGGACTTCTTGATCAATAATGTCGTCGATCTTTAATGGCTTAACAACATCGGTTTGGAATTGTGGGTGTAAGAATGATGCTCTGATCTTCTTGAAGAACAACTGTCTGACAGTACCTGGGAATTTTGGAGCAATCTTTTGTGGTTTCATGGACACATTTAACTTAGGAATTTGTAAGCCATTGTCTGGTTTAATAGCACCAGCCAATAACTTACAGAAAGTTGTCTTACCAGTACCGTTCTCACCCATCATGACCAAAATCTCAGAATTGGTGAAAGCACCACTTTCAACCTTCATGTGGAAATCACCTTGAGTCTTCTCCATAGTTGGGTATGACAATGCATTTGATTTATCTAATTCCAACCCTTCAGCAGCGTCAGCCAATTTGAATTGCAAGGATTCAGTTCTGAATCTCATGTTTTCAGTTGGAATATGACCATCAAGGAAAATATTAATACCTTCCCTAACAGATGATGGCAATGTAACAACACCATACACTGATGGAACCCCGTAAAGAATACAAACGAAATCAGACAAATAATCCAAGACAGACAAATCGTGCTCAACACAGATAACATAACAGGTTGGGTGCAACAAAGATCTGATGATTTCAGCAGCCCTCAATCTTTGTTTGACATCCAAATACGAGGATGGTTCATCGAACATGTAAACGTTGGCTGCTTGAACACAGGTCATACCAAGAGCAAATCTTTGCAATTCACCACCAGACAAATTGGCCACATCTCTATCTAAAACACCTCTCAATTCCAAAATGTTAAGAATGTAGTCCCATTGGTCCTTTCTTTCCAACTTGGCCTGCAAAATCCCTTCGACATGCTTGACCTTAGATTTAACTAAAGCTCTTGGAATATTATCCACATATTGAGGCTTAATGATAGCCTTAATGTCATCCTCTAACACCTTGGTGAAATAATTTTGCAATTCAGACCCTCTGAAATGCTTTAAAATCACTTCCCAGTCAGGTGGGTCATCGTACTTACCCAAGTTTGGCTTCTGTTTACCTGCTAAAATCTTTAAAGCAGTAGACTTACCAATACCGTTGGTACCAACCAACCCAAGAACTTGTCCTGGTCTTGGTGTTGGTAATCTGTGCAACTTGAACGAATTTGCCGAGTATCTGTGGGTGGTTTCTGAATCTAAGTTGGTAGGTAAATTGATAATATTAATAGCGTCGAATGGACACTTTTTCACACAAATACCACAACCGATACATAAGGTTTCCGATATAAACGCAATCTTTGAAGCTGGTGTAACTTCAATACATAACTTTCCTGTCTTCACAACTGGACATGCTTTACGACATTCCTGTTTACATTTTTTAGGTTTACACCTATCCGTGGAAACAATCGCAATTCTAGTATTCTTATCACTCATCTTAAATTATTGTTTCTTGTAATATATAGATGTTTACTAAGTCTTAATATTTAGTTTTTCAAATTTTTTTCAATGAGACTAAATTGAAAAAAAAAAAGACAAATATGCCACAAAACTACTGATTTAGTTAGTGACATGATATACACGCGGTTAAGCATATTTTAGTGCAAATGCGCGGCCAGCTAATGGTAAATTCCAGTACATTACTAAACTCGCACTTTCTATTGGTCGAATCTACCATCATCTGGGATACTAACAAGATGACACCAAAAAGTGATTCTATTACAACATTTATTCCTTATATACTCAAACAGCATATACAACCGACACGATTGCCATATAACTGAATACTTGGAAAAGGGCAAAATTAGATTTATATCCGGGTAATCATTAAGTAATAAATTCGTGTAATAACCAAAACAGGTACGAAAAATCTCGATCAATCAGACTCGCCCTTATTGAAGAAATATTTCCTCTCTAATAATACCATATTCTAAGTAAACACTTGCAAAAAAAAGATCGGTTTATATCGAAGTAAAGCACTGATTATCGATAAAAAAAAGGTACCAGAATAAGATGAGATGATTTAATTCGGTAAAGTGCTGGTCGGAACAGGATTTGCGACAGCTTCATCGTAGGAAGAAAAATAGCCGCTGACCCAAGGTGGTTGTGAGATCTTTAATGGAGGAGTCTGGGGTTATTTTTCGTAATTATGCAATTGAAGTATTGTTTCCGAAGCTTTAAGCATGGCCTTCCACAGTATGGTACGTCTAAGAAGGCGTGGAGCTATCTTGATGGGAGGGACCACATTGCAGGATATCCGGTGAAGGATTATGGCGGAATATATACGATAGGATTCGGCAGGTACGCCCTAGACCATGACAAGACGGCACCTCGTGTGGCGAATTGTCCGAAGACTATCTCTGGGCCCGACTGGGGGCCGGATACAAGCTGGAGATAGTGCCTGGGAAGTGTTTTAAACTTGTATTGGAGAATGCAAGTAGCCATTGGCTGCAAATTACGAGATACAAACGAATATCCAGACGATTTTTGATAGACGTAAATGCCAAAGTGGTTAATAGACACACGAAAGGAGACTTGAAGATAACCGGCCGTGCAGTTTATTTTAGGGATAACATTGATAATGTGTCCAGATGTATAGAATAATTTAAAGAGACTGAATAGACAATTATGTATTGGTCAGAATGACATATGGTAGACAACATGTAAGAAAGAATAATTTTAAGCCCGACGAAAAGCGTTCTAAATATTGAGTCTACGGTAGAAATTAATTTTTTAATCGTCGTTGTCGGCGGTTCTCCCGCAAAATTGAATTTATAATAATCTTTTTCTTCGTTATAGGCTGCATATTTTTACAGTATATAGAAGATAGTTATTGTATATTGGGAAGATTTGAGTCGATCCAGAAACAACAAGCTTAACAGTTAGTGAAAATTATTGACGCTAAGAGTGGTACTAATTTGCAGAAAGAGCAGAATTGGTGGATACTTGATTTCACATAAAATTTGGTGATAACGACAGACTACTAAGATATAAAATCTTTACAAAGAGTAGCCTGACTTGGGATTAATCGAATATCTTATAACATATTATTGACTTTCATTTTGCATTTGAAAAATTTACCAGTCTATTTTAATTTTTCACTCTTTGGATAATTTATAACTATGGTCAAACCTTTAATTCCAGAAGATGCTTCGCTTAATCCAGAACTATACGGATTGAGACGATCACACAGAGAGAGACGTGGTCCAGCTATAGTAGAAAGTGATATCAGCGACGAAGATGACGTTGAGAACAAACCTACGCGTAAGAAGAAGAAGAAGTATAACGATGAAGATGGATTTGAGGATGGATTTGATGATGATGATGATGATGATGAAGACGATGATGAAGACGAAGACGACGAGTTTGTTGTTAGTACAAAAAAGAGAAAGTCTAATGGTAAAACATCTAAATCTACGAAGAAGACGAGTAATACACCAACCATGGCAGAAATAAGGTTCTCTTCAAGAAACAGTAAACAAGTCAATTATACAGTTGATTATGATGAGGATGATGCTGACTTACTTGAAAGTGGACCAGAATTTGATCACGATGAAGAAGACGACGAAGCTAATGGTGATTATTATTATTACCAACAGGCAGCAGAAGCCGAAGACGAGAGAGGAATTGATCAAGTAATGGATCACAAAATAAATGAAGATAATGCCGAATTAACTAATGAACCCAAATTAGATTATTTATTTAAGGTTAAATGGTCTGACGCATCACACTTACACAACACATGGGAGACGTGGTCTAGCTTGAAAGATTTTAAAGGATTTAGGAAAGTTGATAACTATATCAAGCAATTCATAATTATGGATCGTGAAATCCGTAATGATCCATTAACAACGAAGGAAGACATAGAGGCCATGGATATTGATCTTGAGAGAAGACGTGATGAACAAGATGAATATACCGAAGTTGAGAGAATTGTCGATAGTGAAAGAGCCGAAGTAGATGGTGAGAGCCAGTTACAATATTACTGTAAATGGAAGAGACTTTATTACGATGAATGTTCATGGGAAAACGCCGAAGAGATTGCTAGAATTGCTCCTGAACAAGTGACAAGGTATCAGCAGAGGTTGAAATCAAAGATCTTACCTAATTTGTCTGCAAACTATCCATCAAACCAAAGACCAAGGTTTGAGAAATTGGTTAAACAACCGTTATTTATTAAAAATGGTGAGTTAAGAGATTTCCAATTGACAGGTTTAAACTGGATGGCCTTTTTATGGTCAAGAAATGAAAATGGTATTTTAGCAGATGAAATGGGGTTAGGTAAAACCGTTCAAACAGTTTCATTTTTATCTTGGTTAATCTATGCTAGAAGACAAAATGGACCACATTTGGTTGTTGTTCCGTTATCTACTGTTCCAGCATGGCAAGAAACCTTCGAAAAATGGTCACCCGATCTTAATTGTATTTATTACTTAGGGAATACTGAATCAAGACGAAATTTAAGAAATTACGAATTTTACCAGGGTAATAACAAACCAAAATTCAACATTTTGTTAACCACATACGAGTATATCTTGAAGGACAGAAATGAATTGGGACCAATTAAATGGCAATTTTTGGCTGTTGACGAAGCTCATAGATTGAAGAATGCCGAATCTTCTTTATATGAATCGTTAAAGCTGTTCAAGGTTACAAATAGACTTTTAATCACTGGTACGCCTTTACAGAATAACATTAAAGAATTAGCAGCATTATGTAACTTCTTGATGCCGGGAAAATTTAATATCGAACAAGAAATCGATTTTGAATTCCCTGATGATCAACAAGAACAATACATTAAGGATTTACAGAAAAAAATTCAGCCTTTTATTTTGAGACGGTTGAAAAAAGATGTGGAGAAATCACTTCCTTCGAAGACTGAAAGAATTTTGAGAGTTGAATTGTCTGACTTACAAACCGATTACTACAAAAATATCATTACCAAGAATTACTCAGCATTAAATGCTGGTAATAAGGGGTCACAAATTTCGTTGTTAAACGTTATGAGTGAGTTGAAAAAAGCTTCAAACCATCCATATTTATTTGACGGGGCAGAAGAAAGAGCATTGGCTAAAGCAAATTCGAATGCAAGAGATAATGTTCTTCGTGGTATTATTATGTCGTCTGGTAAGATGGTCTTACTTGAACAATTGTTAACTAGGTTAAAAAAAGAAGGCCATAGAGTTTTGATCTTCAGTCAAATGGTTAGAATGCTAGATATTTTGGGCGATTATTTATCGATTAAGGGTTATCAGTTTCAAAGATTGGATGGTGGTATACCTTCTTCACAGAGAAGAATTTCGATTGATCACTTTAATGCTCCTGATTCAAAGGATTTCGTCTTTCTTTTATCCACAAGAGCTGGTGGATTAGGTATCAACTTAATGACGGCTGATACAGTCGTTATCTTTGATTCTGACTGGAATCCACAAGCTGATTTACAAGCAATGGCAAGAGCTCACAGAATTGGTCAGAAGAACCATGTTTCTGTGTATAGATTTGTGAGTAAAGATACTGTTGAAGAAGAGATTTTAGAAAGAGCGAGGAAAAAGATGATTTTAGAATACGCAATTATTTCATTAGGTATCACGGATCCAAGTTCGACGAAGAGTAAGACAGAACCATCTGCTAATGAATTAACTCAAATTTTGAAGTTCGGTGCTGGTAACATGTTTAGAGAAAACGATAACCAAAAGAAGTTAGAAGACTTGAATTTGGATGAAGTTTTAAACCATGCTGAAGATCATGTAACGACACCTGATTTAGGCGAGTCAAACTTAGGTTCCGAAGAATTTTTAAAACAATTCGAAGTTACAGATTATAAGGCAGATATAGAATGGGATGACATTATTCCTCAAGAAGAATTATCTAAATTGAAAGAAGATGAGAAGAAGAAAGCTGATGATGAGTTCCTTCAGGAGCAAATTTCTATGTATTCTAGAAGAAAGGCAGCAGTTAGAAAATTACAAGATGGCTCAGAGAATGTTAGCGAAGATGAGGTTGCTGATTCAGATAACCAAAGAAAGGCCAGAAAGAGAAACGATGAAAACTATCAGTTATCTGAGAAAGAGATCAGAGGAATCTATAGGTCGATTTTGAAACTCGGTGATTTGACAGGAAAGTGGGAACAGTTAGTCGAAGACGGAAGTATTTCTAATAAGAACCCAGTATTGATTAAGCACGCGTATAATGAAATTATTAACATTTCGAAGCAATTGGTCAAAGAAGAAGAAGCAAGAAGAGCAAAGGTGTTAGCGGAATTAGAAAGAAAAGCTATGGAACTGAAGGACAAGAATGTTGTGACTGTTGATGGATCTAGTCCTATGGCATTATGGGTGGCCAAGAAGAAAGAGAAGAGAGCTGTATTATTCGAATACCAAGGTGTTAAGAATATTAATGCCGAATTGGTATTGGCTAGACCTCAGGATATGAAGCTACTTGAAACTTTAATACCAAAGGAGAATCCAACTAGTTTCGAAATACCGAAGCCACCCAAACAAGTATCATCTTGGAACTGTGAATGGGACACGAAGGATGATTCCATGTTATTAGTAGGTGTATACAAATTTGGATACGGATCGTGGGTGCAAATCAGAGATGACCCGGTTCTAGGATTACAGAACAAGTTATTCCTTGAAAACGCTAACAGTAAGGAAAGCAAGGAAGACAAGTCTGCCAAGAGGGTTCCAGGTGCAGTTCACCTCGGTAGAAGAGTGGATTACTTATTTACACTCTTGAAAGAAGGTGACGAAACCCCTAACGGAAACACATCTAACAACACCACCACCAAAAAGAAGGTCAGAAGAGTCAAAAACGAAACTCCTACACCTGCCGTCAAAAAGAAGCCTACCAAGTCCCAATCGCCAGAGGTTAACAAGAAGCCAAAACACAAGAAATTGTTACCAAAGGATTCACCAACGTCTTCCTCCGCAAACTCTCCAAAAGACCCTAATGGCCATGCCCATACCCATACCCACACCCACATCAAAGAAGAACCACCCGCGGAGAACGACTTGGAATACGAAAGTATGGATGAGGCCGAGTGCAAAAACGCATTGAAGCCCGTTTCCAAATCTCTAATGAGATTACATAAAGGAAACAAGGGCTTTGAGAAAGCCGAATGGGCCAATATCTTGAGAAAAGAGTTATTGACCATTGGTGATTTCATTGACCAAACTACTGGTTCAAAAGACAAGCACCTGGACAAATTAAAGAAACATTTATGGTCTTATGCTAGTCTTTACTGGCCCGCAAAAGTACCAAGTAAAAAGATCAATGATATGTATAATAGAGTTAAGGTTCAAGTAAGAGCCCCAAAAAAACCTAAGAACTCTTAGTACTTCTAATACTTCTACGTTTTTATTGATATTAATTGTTGTATAATTTATAATTTGTATTTAATAGTAATCCACTGTAGTTGATACCCGTATATTTAACCGGGTAACTTCATCATGAAAATGAAATCAAAAAATATCCAAAAAAAAAAATCTTTTTGTGTCATTTATTTTGAAACCACAAAAATTTTCCATCTGAAGATACAAGAGAAAAGATTTCAGAACTCCTTGTCAAAGTAAATTATCAAGAGGTTTAACAAAGACGATAGTCATAACTATATATCTTTTAAATCTAATTTACCCATTTCTTCATTTATTTTCGTAATAAATTGAAATACCAATTCTTTTAATAAAAAAAAAGTAAAAAAAAAAAAATGTCTGCCGCCGACGCTAACCAAGTTCAAGAATCATTGGAAAAGTTGAACCTTGATTCTGCACCAGTAGCATCCACCGAGGAAACAGAACAAACTGCTAGTGGCGAAACCGAAGAAACTGCTGACTCTGCTCAAGTTTCAGACACTTCTGCTTCATTGTACGTTGGTGAATTGAACCCATCGGTTAACGAAGCATTATTATTCGAAATCTTCTCCCCAATCGGTCAAGTTGCCTCCATTAGAGTTTGTCGTGATGCTGTTACCAAGAAGTCGTTAGGTTACGCTTACGTTAACTTCCACAAGTTTGACGACGGAGAAAAGGCCATCGAAGACTTGAACTACTCTCTTATCGAAGGACGTCCATGCCGTATTATGTGGTCCCAAAGAGACCCATCCTTAAGAAGAAACGGTGACGGTAACATTTTCATCAAGAACTTACACCCAGCTATTGACAACAAGGCTTTACACGACACTTTCACTGCTTTTGGTAAGATTTTATCATGTAAGGTTGCCACTGATGACATGGGTATTTCCAAATGTTTCGGTTTCGTCCATTACGAAACCGCTGAAGCTGCTGAAGCTGCGATTGAAAATGTTAACGGTATGTTGTTAAACGACCGTGAAGTTTACGTCGGTAAGCACATCAGTAAGAAAGACCGTGAATCTAAGTTTGAAGAAATGAAGGCTAACTTCACTAATGTTTACGCTAAGAACATCGACTTAGACTTCTCCGAAGAAGAATTCAAGAAATTATTCGAAGCTTACGGTAAAATTACTTCTATCTACCTTGAAAAGGACCACGAAGGTAAGTCCAAGGGTTTCGGTTTCGTCAACTTCGAAAACCACGAATCTGCAGTTAAGGCTGTTGATGAATTAAATGACAAGGAAATTAACGGTCAAAAGATTTACGTTGGTAGAGCCCAAAAGAAAAGAGAAAGATTGGAAGAATTAAAGAAACAATACGAAAACACCAGATTAGAAAAATTATCCAAATATCAAGGTGTCAATTTATTTATTAAGAATTTGGATGACACAATTGATTCCGAAAAATTAGAAGAAGAATTCAAGCCATTCGGTAGTATCACTTCCGCCAGAGTTATGGTTGATGAAACTGGTAAGTCTAAGGGTTTCGGTTTCGTTTGTTTCTCTTCTCCAGAAGAAGCCACAAAGGCCATTACTGAAATGAACCAAAGAATGATCTACGGTAAGCCATTATACGTTGCTTTAGCTCAACGTAAAGATGTTAGACGTTCGCAATTAGAACAACAAATTCAAGCTAGAAACCAAATGAGAATGCAAAATGCTGCCGCCACCGGTGGTATCCCAGGTCAATTCATTCCACCAATGTTCTACGGTCAACAACCAGGCTTTTTCCCACCAAACGGTAGAGGTAACGGTCCATTCCCAGGTCCAAACCCACAAATGATGATGCCAAGAGGCCAAATTCCACCACCTCAAGGCCAATGGCCAAGACCAGGTCCAAACGGCCAACCAGTCCCAGTCTACGGTATGCCACCAGTCTACGGTGGTGACTTCAACAACGGTGCCAACGGTGGCCGTCAACAAAGAGGCTACTACCCAAACAGAAATCAAAACCAAAAGGGTCGTCAACAAAAGGATTTAGCTGCCATCATTGCCAATGCTCCTGCTGACCAACAAAAGAGAATCTTAGGTGAAGAATTATACCCAAAGATCGTCTCTACCGGTAAGGCTCAAGAACCTGAAGCTGCTGGTAAAATCACCGGTATGATGTTAGATTTGGATAACGAAGAAATCTTAGCTTTGTTAGAAGATGATGAATTATTTAACACTCATTTCGAAGATGCTTTGACCGCCTTTGAAGAATACAAGAAATCTTCTGAAGCTGCTACTGCTGAAAACTAAGCTTACTATAGGTAGGCTATTTGTTATTTTTTTCTTACTTTTTTGCAAAAGGTGAAAAGAATTGTATTCTATTTTTGAAAGTATATAATGTAATAGTTATTTTTTGGTAAATGGGTTAATGGATTTATTATATATAACAAAAAAAAATAGGAAAAAAATTGAATAATTGTTTGAAATCGATTTATTATGTAGAGTACACCAGAGTAGGATCGTAATACCTGATCTACGACAGGTGTATGGTAAGGCTGCATTGAACGATTGGATTTGTTAATTGCTGTGAAATTTAGTATGTAGAATTTCGCGTGATTTTGATTGCTAAGTATGCGATAATTTAGGACAGCATAATGAAAAATATGTACTCTTTATCTACTTATATTGTACGAAAGCTATAATTATTGAAAGATTATCAAATTATTGACTCGGATTAATCCTTCAATATGACTAACGCTTTGAATGAAATTGAGAACATGTCAGCATTTCCATCCGATGGTAAAACGGTATCCCCAAAGGATTATGCCAATAATGATAAGCTAAAGTTAAGTGGTAGGATCATTAATGTGATGACACTGTTACCAACGCAAATAGTTAAGAAGACTGATAAATCAGGGAATGATAATTGGGATGTAGAAACTGTGAGAGGAAATTCTGCCCTTTATTCTTCCCAATTTTTTTTGGCACAGCAGACAGACTGGGAAAGCCATTTAGTTGGATGGACGGGAGAATTAATAAATAAGTCATCGAATTCTAAGAGTATTACCAGTGAGAATATAAAGGAGGATCCGTTATATTTAAACGAAGTGGACAAGACATCGTTGGAAGGAAAAATCAGGGACGCTAATAAGTCTGCCCATATACATCCGGTCTGGTTACTAAGGAGAGATCAAGAAAGGTGGAGGAATTATGCGGAAAACATCTTATGGCCTGTTTTCCACTACATCCAAGGGGAACCTTCAGATGGTAAAGACGAAGCAAATTCATGGCATGATTACGTCAAATTTAATGAAGCGTACTGCCAGAAGATCATGTCGATTTACAAGCCCGGTGATGTTATATGGATACATGATTACTATTTGTTATTACTTCCACAGTTATTAAGAATGGAGATTCCCAATGCTATAATTGGTTTGTTCATGCATGCTCCATTTCCGTCCTCAGAATACTTTAGATGCCTTTCAAAAAGGTCACATTTATTAGATGGTATGTTGGGTGCCGATAAGATTGCATTTCAATCGGAGGCATTTCAAAGACATTTTTCGTCATGCTGCACGAGATTATTAGGATGTGAAATTTCTAAAGATAAGCTTATGGCATATGGTTCGGCTATATCTTTGGAAACTTTGCCTATTGGTATTGATACCAAAAAGATTGAATATGATGCGTTTTCTTCTGACTCTGGTATTGAACAGAAAGTTCGTGCATTAGGGGAAATTTATGCCGATAAGAAGATCATTGTAGGTAGAGATCGTTTGGATACTGTCAGAGGTGTGGTACAAAAATTGCAAGCATTTGAAATGTTTTTGCAAATGTATCCAGAATGGAGAGATAAAGTTGTATTAATTCAAGTTTCAAGTCCTGGATATTCTCATTCAGCAAAGGTTGAGCAAAAGGTGACAGAGTTAGTTCATCATATCAACAGTGAATATGGTAATTTAAACTCTACACCGATTTTGCATTATCAGAAGAGGATTAACAAGGATGAATATTTAGCGTTATTGAGGGTTGCCGACTTGGCTCTTATCACGTCAGTTAGAGACGGTATGAATACGACTTCCTTAGAATTTGTGATATGCCAGAAAGAAAATTATTCTCCATTGATCTTATCGGAATTTACAGGTACCGCCTCTGTCTTGAGTGAAGCCATATTAGTAAACCCATGGGATTCAGTTGGGATTGCAAAAACGATGAATGATTGTTTCTATATGTCTAAAGATAAGAAGAGGGCATTAGAAGAAAGGTTGTATAAGCAAGTTACAGCAAACACAATTCAGAATTGGACCTCAAATTTCATAACTCATCTAATTGATCATGTTAACAATACTCATCAAACGCATTACACGCCTGCCTTAAATAGACCATTGTTATTGAATAATTATGTGAATTCTCATAGAAGATTATTCTTATTTGACTATGATGGGACTTTAACACCAATTGTTAAAGATCCAGAAGCAGCTATTCCTTCATCCAGATTAAATGCCGTGTTGGATATTTTATCATCTGATCCTAAAAATCAAGTTTGGGTTATCTCTGGTAGAGATCAGGCGTTCTTGGATAAATGGCTAGGATCTAAGAATATTGGTTTATCAGCTGAACATGGTTGCTTCCTTAAAGACATTGGCTCTACAGAATGGGCCAATTTGGCAGCATCTTTTGATATGTCATGGCAGAATAAAGTTGAAGAAGTCTTCAAAGAATATACTGAGAAGACACCGGGTTCAAATATCGAACAGAAGAAGGTTGCATTAACTTGGCATTACCGTAGATCTGATCCAGAACTTGGCAAGTATCAGGCTGAGAAGTGTTTAAAATTCTTAAAGGAAACAGTTGCTACTGAGTATGACGTTGAAGTTATGCCAGGCAAAGCAAACATTGAAGTTAGACCAAATTTTGTCAACAAAGGTGAAATTGTTAAGAGACTAGTGCTAAATCCTCACGGTGCTAAGCAAATACCTCACGTGGTGACGAATTATAATAAAGATGTTCCCATTGATGAATTACCGGACTTTATATTATGTCTTGGAGACGATT